CATGATCCTATTATGCGATGTAGATGTTGAACCAAATCGAAATAAAAAATACCAAATGAACACAACTACACCGTACAACGAACTGGTGTAGGACTAGCGTTTTAGTTTAGATTTCTCCTATCTCTAGGTAAAAATGATCTACCTGCATCATCTTGCGCATGAAGGCATCTTTGTTGGGCGTGATGATCAGTTTGTTGATCGATTCCATAGCGCGGTTCTTGTACACGAGGCCTGTAGTGTTTTGCAGCCTCGGTGTAACGAACGTGTTCTTCATCCACTTATTAGAAGAAGGAACTAAGGTTATCGATCCATCTTGAGAGTCATCCCAGGGCCTTTCTCCCCTTGAAAAGCCTCGCTAGGATGGTCCATGAGATGGATTAGTGGAAGCCTTAAACTTATTCGCCGTTTTGACCTCGCCTCCGCATTTGGTGCACTCCCTCGGCGAGCGTCCGAAGGTCGGGACTTCTCCCATAATGGAGTCACTGCCAACGCACATGCGCTGCGCCTCGCACGTGGCCTTCGATTCACCAGTCGGGACCCAGGTTTTGCCGGTGCCGGTGCACTGGGCCTGGGTCATCAGGTAGTCGTAGCAAGCGCCGTCGCGGTACACGAGGAACGGGTCCGTCACCTCGCCGCTGCACTTGTTGACCACGACGCGCGCGTACTTGTCGTCCGCGTTGCATGGGTTCATGGCATCCGCGACGTCGTCCATGTCGATTTTACAGACGTACTCGAACCAGTACGGCGTACTCCACTCCACGAGCGGGACGAGACATTCGGACATCATGAACGTGTCGTTTCGTCCTTGGTTAGCGCCAGTCACGTTTGTCTTGAGAGCCATTTTTTCGGCCGGGCGCGGGCCAGAGATCTCCTTCGGAATGCCGCCCATATCCATGCCCCGCATATCCATCATGAATGGGTCGCTCGCGGCCAACATGTCCATGTTCGGCTGGCAGAAACCGCCGGACTCGCACTCTGCCTTCGTCTTGCACGTGGACCGCATCGAGGGGCGGCACTTCAGCCGCTGCGAGATCTTCTGCATGGGCGGCGCGAAGTCCGCCTGTCCCACAGCGGTCGCTTTGCAGTCGGCGCCGGCGATGTCCTCAATGCAGGTCAGGTACTGCCACTTGCCGTTGCAGTCGAACGCGTACTTATTCGGGTCCAAGCAGACGCCCGCGCCGGTTCCCCCGTTCACGTCCGGGTAGTAAATCTGGCCACTGGCGGTCGAACAACTGGTCTGGTTCGTGACCTTCTTGATGCAGGCACCTCCCGGTGCACTCCAGTCGTTCCAGTCTCGCTCGCACCCTTCGCACATCGCCGGGAAACCGCTTGGCTCCTTGCACTCCTTGTTGATGCCGCACTGTGCTTCCGTGACGCCGGTGACCTTCAAACCCTCGATCTCGCAGTAGGCCGTGCCAGCACATTCGTCACTCGAGTCGTACTTGCCCTCCTCAAACATCCGTCCGGTGTAGAAGGTGCCGCCGAACGCGGACGTGCACACCGACTGAAACGTGTTCACGTGCGAAGCTTTGCGAGGTTTTTCATCACCGTAGATGACGTAGCCCCAGCCGGAGTCCTGCATCGTTTGCTGCATGTTGTTCTGGGTCACACCCTTCTGCTTGATCACGCAGGCGCCCTGACCGTCTGCCCAGGTCGCGTGCCACTGAGACTCATAGAACGATTGGTAAGTCGAGTTCACCTTGCTCCAGCAGTCGCTCTCAGTGACGGTCGTCGTTGTGCCGTTTGTGTTCGCGAAGTAGCACATGTCGGACGCGCACTCCGCTTCGCCGCTGTCCATCACCTTGGCGCGGACGTTCTCAAGTCCCGTGATCGTGCGCAAGTCCGTGCATCGGGAGGCGGTGGCAGTTTCTAGGAAATCCCAAGGCCAATCGGCATAAGAACCTCCATCGAGTACGCCATTCGAGAATCCAGTATACGGTTTGTTCGTGCCAGCCGGATTGACGAGATATCCCGGAACGCAGACTGGAGGAACGTACTCGGAGGGTTCACCTGGGTTATTTTTCAAAATTTCTCATTTGCTTGTCCGTTTTACTTCTACTTCTACTTGAGTCAATCATTTAATTCTACTAGGTAGTTGTCGGAATCGGTATCGGAAACCATCCATCCTATTAATGAAGCAAAAGTAAGTAAGTAGTTCTTCTTCATCTTGCTTGATGAAAAAGGCGCGCCCTGCAGCTGCACCACCTAGAGGTACACCATCATCAGTAAGTGATGTAATAAAGACTTGTACCAGTGGCCCAGTCGGATCTGAGCTGCTGTCTCTCCAGCATCCAGTACTGCGGACAGGCCCCGTCGGAATCAGGGTCCATTTCACAGCGAAACTTTTGCGATGGCTTGAGGACAGAGAGGCATTCTCCAAGGCAGTCGCTCTGCGTTCTCGCGTTCGGAAGACCGCAACCGTAGATCGCTTTCTTCTCAGGCATTGTGAATCCTGTCATGTCTTCGAAGTTCATGCTCATAATCTGAGCCATGTCCTCCCTGAATGCGCCGCCGAAGACTGGCGAGAAACCGGCATTCCCGACTGCAGCGCAACCGGCACTCGAGACGTTGAAGGTTGACATGACGCCGTCCTTGTCCGCGTCGGTCAGTCTCCTTGTGCCCCACCAGAGCCCATAACCGCCCCACTCATCGTGGGTGTCGGGAAATCCGAAGATCTGACACATTGCAATTATTGATTACATCAAGATATCTCCTATAATCATGTTGAAAGAAGGAAACCCAAACTTCATAATCTTTTCAGAAGTATTTTAAGAGGAGGTAGGAGTACAAGTACAACATCAACACTGCTAGAAGGTTATAAAAACAAGATTGTGATAAATAGAACACTCATCTTGAATGATTATCTTATGTCATAACTTTTCTAACATTATCGTTTCTCCAAGAACAACTTGGAGTAAGAAGTATTGCAAACTAAGTAGTTGCTCTACATCATGACGAGTATAAGTACCTTGATCGAGCTGGCTTTACAAACCGGGGACTTTGTGCGAGACGGCATGCCATAGCGGGCGCCCTCGGTGTCAGCGCAAAATTTGGGTGAGTCGGGAATCATGTTGAGGCACTCGGCTTCAGTGAGCTTCGTGCCTTAGCGGTAGGTTTTTGGTGCTCGTTTATCCCGCTTTTTATGCCTGTCTCCCTTAAGGAAGCCATAAAAAGCGGTAAGAAAAGCACCTTTAACCTACCCTTAAGTGCCTGTGGGTGCCCAATTGCACTTCGTCTCCTGGGTGCATTTTGTAGCGCAGTCCGCGGCATCCGTGCACGTGCCGTACACCTCTCGGACGAAGAAGTCGTCCGCGTTGTAGAGCCAGCCAGTCTCACCCTCGCACGTTTGCTGCGTGTCCGTGTTGATCAGCTTATCGCCGATCACGTTCAACGGCGCATTGGCGTCCCCTCCGGCGCCGTATTGCTCGCTCAGAATCGCCCAGGCGGTGGACAAACTGCCAGCGTCACTGTCGAAACGATCCTTGAGACACTGCGCGAGAGCCGTGCCAGCCGTCTCCATGGGCGCGAGTGCGCAGAAGTACTGCTTGCCCTTGGTGGTGAACGGTCCGCGGTCGCTTGTGGTTCCTGCTGTGAAGCACTTCTTGAACTTGTTGGGAGGCGAAGCATCCGACGAACCCGTCGAGGAGGAGCCTCCACTGCTGCCACCGGAACCACCAGCAACACTGCCGCCCGCAGAAGATCCGCCGCTGCTTCCGCCACTCGTCTGGGTCTTGATGCAGGTCCCGCTGTAGCAGTCCGCGTCGGTGGAACAGGTCTGGATGCTGCCGCGCTTCGACGACCCGCCGCTGGCGCCGCCCGCCGCAAACATTTCCTCAGCGGGGTCATTACCAAAGATGGTGGCGTAGCAACATTCTGCCGCGGACTTCAGCGCGTTCAGCTTCCTCTTCTTGCTTTCCGCGTTCTTGCCAAAGCAGTCCTGCGGGTTTTGCGACACCTTGGCGACCGAACGTGCCACCTCAATCCCGTCGATGGCGTCCGCACCGGCGTGCGGACACGAGAAGCCAAAGGCCATGTCGTTCACGCTGCTGCTCTTGACCTGGATTTCCACGTCGCGCTCCGCGCAGCACTTCGTCTTCTGTGCCTCCAAGTTGCAGCAGGGGTCCTTGCACCATTTGTTTTCCGGGTTGTCCAAGCAGAACGCGAACGGGGTCTGGCCCGCGAAGCAGGGCTCCGGCGGCTCGATCGTGCAGCGCGTGCTCTTGATCGTCATGGTGTCGAACGTGTCAGTCAGGCCTGCATCCACCAAAGCCTTGCAGTTAGACCACCCGTCCGTGCCCTCGAAGCGGGAGATCGCGTTCAGGTTCGTCTCCATCTGGCCATCCTGCATCGTGGTGAGCACGCTGTTCAAGCTGGCGGTGGTGCCGTTCATCGCGGTGAACTGGCAGTCGGGCTTTTTCGGCAGAACCGGGAGCGGCTCCTTGAAGATCCGCTCTCCTCGCGAGTTGTACAACCCGTGGACCAGCGCCACGCAGTTGCCTTCCTTGAAGTTCGAGGGCAAGCCCGCCGTCATCGACTTGTCTTCGGCCAGCGTTCGCAAGTTGAAACGGTTTTGGAGAAGAACAAACGGCACCATCTTCGAGCTCAGACCCGCCAGCGCAGTCGTACGCTCACTCGCTGGACGATTATAGTCTGCAACGGCAGGAGAGCGTGCGCACTGTTGGAACTTTCCAGGTCTTGGCACTTGCACGGCGTTGACCAGACCACCACGGAAGCACGTCTTGGCTTTCTTCGGCTTGTTGCTGCTAGCTCCACTCGTGCCCATCGTCATGGGCGCCTGCAGATTTCGCACACCTCTTTAGCGCTCACGACCCTGTGATCCATCTCGAAATAGATCCATCTCGAAAATTGAACAACGTCCTAGGAGGAGGAGCATCTTCATCCACCCCTTGAAATGAAAAGCTTCTCTCCTTCTCCTAGGATGTTGACTTCTCTGATGAAGAAGATCATCAAGATGGATCATTGTAGGGGACGCCTGCAGCTTAACTTTTCTGAGAAGGGCCAGCAGCTGGAGGGCGCACAGCCTCAGGATCAGGAGTCATGGCCTTAGGATCCATAGCCTTAGGATCCACACCCATGTTCATGGGATCGTCCATCATCATGTCTCCACCGCCAAACATGTCCTCCATCATGTCCATCTCCATATCTCCCATGAGGCCTTCCCAAACCATTTTTAGAGGAGCTACTAACAATTCTGAACAGAACAATGCAAGGAAGAGAACGAAAAAGCTATGGAAAAAAAATGGAAGGAATTTCATTTCTTGATCTTGCCTGCATTTCTCCCAAGAACCCTAAGAACGAAACAGGGAGAAGCGAGAAGTAAAAACGAATTGTATACTCGAAAAACTGAAATAAGCGAGTAAGTAACTGATCAGAATAACCGAGATACTGATGAGAAGGAAAGGTAGCCTTGACGTTAAGCTACCTTGCTTATTTCAGTCAGTAACTCGTTTATTTTGAGTTTTCGAATAATTCACCCTTAACATCTCTTGCTTTTCGTCTATCGCAGCCTGCAGCTGTTGGTAGTTGGCCTGTCCCTGCGAACCGCCGATCTCAATCCTGTGCACCTCCGCTACACCAGCCTAGATAGAAGTCGATGTAGGTGGAATAACAGGAGTACTTAAGGTTAAGGAGTAAGAAAGATGAGTAAAAAGAGATGAGAGTGAAAAGATGAGAAGAATGATTATGAATCATGTGGATGGTCGTGCTGCATAATAAAACACTTATCCATAAGCATACCATAAATATCGATATCTTCGGATGTTTCTGTTCATTCTAAGTTGTACTAGAAGAAGTATCTTGTTGGTGACGTCGACAAGAACCGTGTCTTCACTTAAATCTAAGTACAACTAGAAAAAATGAGAAGTGCCTTGTTGGTGACGTCGACAAGAACCGTGTCACCTGGCGCGGTTGTAGGGACTCCGCCACTGGTAGCTTCGAGAGCGAGAATGAGATCAAGTGCCATAGCCTCCTCCGGAACTTGATCTGTGTACCCCGCAATGCAGCTCCAGCTGACGCCGTCCACTTTGTTCAATGTTACTTAGAACAAGAAGAGGTCGTCACGTCAAGAAAAAGAATGATCATGTTGTTGAGAATGTCTATGTGATATTATATGGGTGGAGCCAAGCTAACTAGGAAAAGAAAAAGGAGAGTAGGTAAAGGATAGAGAAGTACAGATATTGTAGCAATGGCCATGCTAAGTAGGATCCATCTATTCTAGGCGCCGCGTGTCGTATTGATAGTATCAACAGAATCTTCACAAACAAATCTTCACTAAATGAAAATGAACAACCTCCATATGCGATGCAGCTACAACCTCCATATTTGTATTTCAGAAGAGAGAAGCAAAGAAATGAACAAGCGAAGAACAAGACCACGGATGAGGTGAGAAAAGTACAACTCCTGTTCTTGGCCTCCTAATCCTATTTAGAATTAGATGAATTATGATTCATTAAATAGTGATTCGTAATTGACGAACTCGGTTCCGTTGTGTGCCTCCGAACTCCCTCCGCTGATCGTCTTCGTGCCCGGCCCCAGCTTGACATAGAACTCCTGCCCATAAACGCACTTGTGTTTGAATCCAGTCGAGGTGTCATTGCGGGGACGAGACTCGGCGTCCGTAAAGACGGTGAATTTTGTATAAGGATCCTCATTCTGCCCCATGGGGAACTGCGACATGGCGGTCGGGTTCAGATAGCGAAACAACTCTTAGAAGAAGAGGTTCCCACCACTGTTTAAAGAAGGGGTTGTTCCCACCACCGTTTATTGATATTCTTGTCCTCAATTTGATGATCATGTCAGTCACTGTTTGTAGAATACGAATATTATCTACTATGATCCTTTGACCTTTTTGTTTTTCCGGCATTTGAAATAAGTATTAATAAAGATCGTAGAAGATATGCTCTGCGAAGATTAGAACAAGATGGTAGGTGAAATTTCAAAACCCTTAAATTTGAGCGACCGTGTCAGTGGGAAAGGAGGCCACGGGCAGTGCCATCTCTGAGGGGCCCGCTGGCGGCTCCAGTTCTATTTCCGTGCCGTCCGGCATCATCATGAGCATCATACCCTCTGGGGATAACTCGAATTCGGCTCCGTCGGGGACGCCGCGTATATTAGAAGGTGGTGAACAACAAGGTCAAGGAAACATCAATACATAGCATATAACCGAGGAAAATTCAAATTGTTTCCTGGATATATAGGTTCTCTTCTAGTTCCAAGGAATAATTTTCATACTTGTAACTAATCGGTTCTCTTCTGTTGAAAATCGAAAAGTATTCAATTGTTGGACGAGCGACTATCTAGGTAGTCGTGTTAGTCATCGAAGAAAGCCTTAACTTCAGGCATTTGGAAACCCATCGCTTGGAGTTCCTCTGTGCCCAAGTCAGCCTCCATCATCTTCTCCATGTCCTCGGGATTTAAGTCGTCGAAATCCAACATCATCATATCTTCGTCATTGAACAAAGGCATGTCGTTCCTGTTGCCACCGTTACCTGGCATGCCGTTCATGCCATTCATGTCAGGCATGTTTTCCTTGTCAGGCATGTTGTTCATGTCAGGCATGTTGTTCATGTCAGGCATGTTTTCCTTGTCAGGCATGTTGTTCATGTCAGGCATGTTGTTCATGTCAGGCATGTTGTTCATGTCAGGCTTGCCAGAGCCATCCGGCGAAGGTCCACTGGGCATAACACTCGGTTTTCCATTCGGGTCAGGCGAGTCAAACTGAAGCGCGCGTTTCTCCGCCTGTTTGCCAGCCAAAGTCTTCGCACCGCGGCCGCCGCGCAGATTCTTCATCTTCTTTTTCAGCATGCGCTTCTTCTCGAGCATTGACTGTGCCTTCTGCAGGCGACGACGACCCTCCGCTAAGAGCTCACGCTTCTGCGTCGGCGTAAAGTATTTGGCTGCGAGCAGACGACGCTGCTGTTGCATTGCCGCCTTTTTTTCCTTTTTCTTAGAGGGTGCATCTGCATGTATTCATCTTCTTGGTCCCCTCATCTCGACGACGCCTTTTTTGCCCTTGTACTTCATCTTCACGGGACTACACACAGGGGACGAGAGGAAGAAGGGTGTCAAGATGATGCTGTGTGAGATCTACTGAGATGAAAATGAATGAAACAAGCCTCCCATAATTTTGCATTGTTTGCGGTCGATTACCGTTTCACCCTTGATTTTGGTGTCCTCTACTATGTCTGCAGCTGCGGTAAGCGCACGCGTCCTCGCATAATCGCCAGCATCCGCCACTTCGAGACGACGCATTCCCTCTTTGGAGCGGTAATCCGCCAAAGGTGGCAAGACGTGAGCGAAGTCCTCGACGGCGCTGGCTTTGTGCGATCCGAAGATGTAGTGCAGGTTGTACTTCTGCAGGCGGCGCTCGCGGCGCTGGACTTGCATATCGGCGAGGTACCGAATCGGCGCGTCGCGGTACCATTTCAGGTGCTGCATCGCCTGCACGCGTTCCGTCCGAAGCGCGCGGTGCAACGCTTTGCGCTCACGCATATTCGTTTCTGCGAGCTTGCGAAGATTCATCGGACCTGCTGCCACGCCAGCACCTTGTTGACCCATTCCACCTCCTTGTTGACTCCCACCGCTGGGCGTACTGCACTTGCGAGTAGGATCCTGGTTCCCCTTGGATTTCTCAGGCGGCTTTATGCAGCCACACTCTTTGATTTCCATACCGACTCCATTCATGCTGGCCATTTCACCTGCAGCACTGCCATAGTCACGCCACAAGTCGGTGTATTTCACAGGTGTACCTTCCTGCGAAAAATCCAGATCTGTGCCCAGCCCAACCATCGTCATGTTGCCCTGGGTGGTCGTGTGGAAGAAAGTTGATCATGAAAAAACTCTTGCACTTATAATTGTACTTGAGTACTTAATATAATCAAGAAGAGTATGTTGATGATCATGTTGACTAGTACAATGAAGATTGAAGAATCCTTAAGAGTAAATAGGAGAAGTACTTTCTTCCAGCTCCCAGACAAGCACTTGACTTCCGAGAATTTGTACTGCCAACCCGAGGCCATGCCTTCGAATTCAACGGCGTAGGTGTCGCCCCCGGCCACAGTAGAAGCACCTGTCGCAGGACAGCAGGTCATGGGTATCTCATCCTCGTAAGTGATTCCTTTGCAACCCTTGACCGATGCTCCATTCTCATCATATGACGAAGATTAGCGAGGAAAGGAGCCAGTATCATACAGCACATAATCTACTCCAAGAAGAACTCGGTCGTGGTGCATCTCCAAGAATGATGTGGTGTCCAAGTAGAAATGCAACTTCTAGTTTTTAATAGAGCTGGTGGAGCTGCAGACCTAAGAAGTAGAATAGAAAATATTGATTATACATAATTTTCTCGCCTCTTGTACTTGTAGGAAACTTGCAGCGATCAAGCTGCACGACTACAAGCAAGAAGAACTAAAGATTGTCTCCGATGATGACGCATTACAGATATCGAGCACGACTACTAGTCTAACACTTCTGTAAAGTAAGGTGAAAAAATCTAGACTGCCTCGTCCATAAGGCCACTGCAGGGTGTATCCAGGTGCGGGTTTGCTGTTCTTGTCGATGTTGAAGTTCTTGAAGCAGGTGTCAGTAATATTCAGCTTCCCGTTGGAGAGAACGTCGCTCGAGGAAAATGTCCCCGGTAACATGACCATAACCTTGCGAACCAACTCCTTACCGGCTCCGCAAGTCGGCAACTTCAGATAAATGTCCTCCGTTGCATGCGTCACGGTCCTTAGAAACATGCTGATGACGAAGAAGATGGTTCTACTAAACGTTGAGTAATATAGCTGCTAAGCCTACGCGTGAGAGAAGAGCCGGAAAATACGAGAAATTATAGGTTTTCCAAACCTACTTGTACTTACTTGCTTTCTAGATTACTTGGTATAATCGTTATAATAGTAGTTGATGACAACTACAAATGCTATGTATTTATTATAACATTAGTATGCTCTTCAACGTTGTCTGCCTTAACTTAAGCATGTCGAACTTGATCGTGAAGAATTCGTTATTTTTCTCGGGACTGTTCTGCGACCATTCTTGAACACGCTCGGAAACAGAACCCGGCGCAACCTCGGCGCTTTCCGTCTGTGCCTGCACAAAGTTGAGGACATTGGTCGTCAAAGTCGTAGTATGGAGAACTAACGCAACCGTTGAAAAAAGCGTCTTCCCATGCCGACCCAGTAGAGGTCGGCGGCCTCCACCACCCGTGCGTGCCATCTTCTTCGAAATATGTAAAAATGTGAAGATGTACTCAGATTCAGATTCAGATACTGATTGATTGATGATACTGATTGCTGATACTGATTGATGATGATGTGATTTTCTTCTAAGAAGCAAGAATGGACTTCCTTTTTTTTTTTGTGTGGTACTCGTAATGGGCAACGAGTCCAGGACAACTCCTGTCCTCTTGCCACGTTATTCTCCCCCGGTAGAACTTCGAGTGTCCCAAGAATGGAAGCACTCGCCTTCTACTTTTGACTACGACCTAGAGCTGATGGAAATGTTGGAATTGATATTGTATGGACAATCAAGTGCTGAAGAGAACAGAATCTTTTCGTATTTTATTTTATATAATTAGCTCTACTTATTATATTGCAATTGCTCGTCACTCATCGTTATTATTCATTAGCTGACAATCTAGTAAATGCATCAATTGATATTCTTGCGTTACGAGCAAGAACCATCGATTTTGATGCTACGATTTTTACTTGAAGATATAGATCCGCCAAGAGCAAGACATCCACATCGAAATTCCTAATAACTTAAAATTGAATTTCTTAATTTTCTAATTCTGTATTTCTCCTATTTTCTAATATGAATGTGTTTTTGCTGTGCTTTTGATTTCGAGCAGAACTGAGTGCTCGTCGAAGAAGGAAGACAACTAGAAGTAATAGTGAAGTTATGGATGTTATTTTTGCGAAAGAAAACAACCATAAAGATCCTAGATCTACTGAACAATAGTGGAAATTAGTTCTAGTCAGCGAATGACGCAAACATAAGATCACATGTGGGTGCTCAGAAAAACGAAGAAGAAAAGCGGAAGAGGAAAGCCTAAATTTAGACAAACTACGTCCTTTACCTCCTGTTGAGTACATCATATTCGATGAAGCCGATATATCGAGACGAGTGTTAAAGGCAAAGTCGTGCACTCGCTCGTAGAGAGAAATTCACGGATAAACATGAAAGTAAGACCACTCGTTATAGAAGATATACATATCGACGGCTACAAAATCCAAATCTAAAAACCAATCGCCTATTAAAAAAGCTAAAGTAAACAGACTAAATCACTCAGGACGATAACTCGTTGGGGTGCAACAGAAGTCCGGAATAACACCATGATCGTTGGCAGGTTTTTCTTTTTTGCGCTCTCAATCTCCACTCGTCCTCGTCCTCTCTTCGAGTCTGCATGTAAATTCCGTATTCTCTTCTTTCATCATGACAATGTTGACGATATCATACGATACAACAGTAACAACGATTTCTTGTTGATGTGACAAGTAGATGATAGATCGCGACAAAATACTACCGAAGATTGGACTTCTTGCAGCTGCTCTCTCAATATATATCGAAAATCCCGTGCAAAAATATCACCGCCAAGCCTTTCGTGCTGTTTCTTGATGTGATGATGATCCTCATCCAGATTCAACACCTATCCGTTCTCGTCATATTATCATTAATATGTGCTCCTCATGTTGTAGTGCGTGTAGCTGTAGTTGTATCTCTTGCTCTTTTAGTGTGGACTACATCACGACGACTCATTCAGAACTTCCAAAAAGGAACAAATCTACCAAAAAATCGCCATGGGAAAAACTAGAACGATATTCTTATAAGCAAAATGGTTCGGCACACAATTTTCGTTGTGTATTCTTGTGTCCAAGTTGTCAACAGAAAAAAAAGAGTGACCTCAGGATTTCGGGGTGTTCGTTGCTGATGAAAAATTCTACTCAAAAGCTATGTATTGAAGAATGTAGATGAATATTGAACACGAAGACGGAGACGGCCACCCGATCCCAACATCAACTAAACTGTTCAAGTACAGTGCACTTTTGCCCAGTCGTCGTCTTTTTCTGCTTCGGGCAGTGGTGGCTTCTTACCGGTCGACTCAAAAACCGACTTCAGATCGGCGTATCGGAGAACCTTTTCGCGCATTGAGACGGTCTCTTTCTGGACGAAGGTTCCGTATGAAGAAAGGAGAAAAAAAAGGTTCATGAAGATAGGGATACCTGGTACAAACAGAAATATAGACGATATCATGGTGGAAGTGTATTCCGAAGGTTGTAGGCGTTTATGTGAACGGAACTCCTGTGAGCTTAGAAGTACGAGTTTAAGTTATTGTAAAATTCAACTGCATTTTCAAGATCAGAGAAGCAATTATTTGCATAAGCATTTCGCGCCGTCCGGATGAAGATACTCTTTCCCTGTCGTTGGGTTTACTGCTATCGTTTTTGTGTAGAAGGTTTCGCCTGTTAAGGACGTGCTGGAAACCAAGAATTTCCGCGTCCTGCTTTCGTTAGACCTTCCGGAGGACGTGGTGGAAACCAAAAATTTTCTCATCCGCGTCCTGCTTTCGTTAGACCTTCCGGGAATCCATCTGGAGAACGAGCGTCATCTTGGACCCGTTTTCCCTTTAAGTAAGGAAGTATAAGTAAGTAGGTGTTGAGATTGAGTAAGTAAGAAAGATCGAGGGCAGAGGGGTGAGAAGAGCCAAGATGCTTCTGAAGATGTATATCCGGCAGCCATAATTTCATCCTGGTGCTTCATCGAGTTCTTCAGCATATTAATGTCCTCTTCATTAATGTCCTCTTCTTCTTCTTCTTCTGGTAGAGTTTGTTGTGGTTGTGCGTCTCGTTTGTCGCCAGTTCCTGAAGACACTGGCGAAGATGTGGTACTGATCGATCCACCCACGATTGACGACGTGGATGTCGTCCACGAGATCGACGTCGTGTCCTGTCCGGGTAGCAAAGAAGTTGTTGTACCTCCGCTTGTTCTTCCCTTGATGTTACTCCACCAAGAAGTGTCCGGTATTAAGAGCTGTGTAGTACCTCCACTATTTTTACTCCGTGCCATGTCTAAGCTCACGTTCTTGCCGTATTTCATTTCATCTTCGCGCACTGTCTGAATCGTGGTCGTGGCTATAAAAAGGACGAAACCGAAGAGAAAATTAGAGCTACCCCTAGTAAGTTGTTCATCCCTGCGTCGGAGAACCCTCAAGAGTATGCGTATACCTTAAGATTCTTTCCCTGTAAACACAATTATTCGGATGCATACTACGGCTGAGGCATGCCTATAGAGAAAGAGATGGACCAGGGGAAGCCTTAAGGAAAATGAGTCCGGGTATCAGTTTGCCCCGTGCAAACGTATCCCCTGGTACGGAAAGACGCAAGACGAAGTAGGCTGGGAAGACGTAGGCTAAGAGAATGCCGAAAGTCGAGCCCGCGTATCCCAGAATGACCTGCACTTGTGGCACCAGGACCGCGGTGAGCAATGCTAGAAACATGATCACCAGTGTTTCCGCGACGTGCTGCGGGGTCGTCGCTCGATGGCCGTCGCCGAAAATGGACCGATGTAGCGATGCTCGACACGGATGCACTAGAAGCGGATACGTGAAAAAGAGCGCGGCAAAAAGACAGAACCTCCCGACATTGGGGAAAGTTAGAGCTCGCTCTTCACTAACTATTAATACTAATGATCTTCCATCTTCTACGGTTAAGATAGTGCATCCTGGGTGCCTTGTTTTCCCCTTGAAAACACTTCTCTGTGTTGAGGATGGTTCCAATTCCGAATAAAATATGTATTAGATTTAGGAGAACAAGTCGTAAAAAAAAGGCTGCCGCTGGAAAATTCTGGAGGATATTCCCCTGCACCCCCTGCTGGCACACTGCTTCTTCCTTGTGTGCGTTGAAAGAATAGACCTCATAGCTAAGTCCGAAGTAAAAGCCGCAAACCGCTATTGTCGCATAAAGACTGCCACTGATCATCATCGTTCGTCGCAGCACCTTCTTCAAACGACGCTTGGTAGGTTTCCGCATCTCTGCGAACACAGAAAACACAAAGAATTAGAAGGTACAGGTAACGTAATCGCATAACTACCGAAGTGTTAGACAACAAGGAAGTTCCGACGCAATCTAACGAAAAGATGAAAGAAATCAAGAGGAGGAAGATAAGCAAGAACATAATGTATCTTAATTGAAATGGCAGAGAAACGCGGAGCAGAAGTATGGCAGGCCCATTAGCAATCCTGGGAGATTGAGAAAGGTGCTAGTTTTGTCCCAAGCGGCGGTTGATCGCTTCGCAAAAATTCGATGACACGGATGATTCCGCTCGTCTGTGAATGGATTTGGACCTAGCCATTCTACTTTATCATTCACCTCCCGCCACTCCGTTTCCGTTTGCAGGATGCGCTCGAGAGCATACAGACAGATTACGAGCATGAGCAGAACCGAAGTTAGAGCTTCAAACAATATATTATAAGTATTTCTTGCTACCTTCATTGATGTCTTCAGAATACCAAACTACAAGAGCAAGAGGGAATCAGAAGAGCATGTATGAGCATTAGAAATGAAGGGAAGCAAGGCCTCGCCTCAGGGTGTCACCCTGGCACACGAGGCGCAAAAAAGACGCTGCAAGCCCCTACGCTCGAGTTCGAATCATAGCTGACTATGCTCGAGTTCTTATTTTCTAAATTACTCGCTTATTTTATAAGTTTTCGAGTACTTACCTTCATTGATGTCTTCAGAATACCTCCAAACAAGAATTTCTAATGCTCATACACATACATGCTCTTCTGAATACCAGGAAACGAGGAAATCAGAAGAGCATGTATGAGCATTAGAAATTAATTGCATCAAGTCTTAACATGGCGCCGATCGAGAAGAGACTCGCGAGTGCAACACCTGCCATCTGCCGCTTCACGCACAGAGGGGCGATGACGACGACGCAGATCGTGATCCACAGTGTTCGGACCGTGAGGACGTCACAAGTTTCGGTCCCGCGCATCGTCTCCTCAGGATTCAGTCCGAAAACGGTTTCCAAAATGGGCAGCATGGTGTCGGCCCACAGGTTTCCGTACGCGATGGCAGCGGAAAAGGTCACTCCTAAAATTAGAGTCAAGTTCTCGACGAAGATCACTATGTTCTTCATCTAGATCTACTTGATAAAAAGCATGTTACTCTCGCGCATTTTCGTCCACTTAAAAGAAGAAGGATCAAAGAGAAACGTGCTTCTTCAGTAGATGATGAATTGCGTTAAGCCTTAATATAACAGAGCACAACGCCAACGCTTTACCGCTTTTCGCCCCCATCGTGGTAACTGCGATTTCTTCGTAGGAATGCAAACCCGTCTTTCGAGCAGCCATACCGAGAAGATAACCGCTGTACCTGGTGTCAATAAAGTCTCATCTTCCCCAGAGATTGAGATTGTCGAAGTGGCTCCTGTGCTAAAACAATCTTCAGAGACGAGAGAGATTGTCGTAGTAGTTGTGGCTGTGCTAGAAAAGTATCCAGTAGCTCCCAAGAGCGTGGGAGAACGAGCGCGTACATGAGAAGTATGATGAGTCACAAGCACATCTTCATTCTTCAACATCCAGATTCATAATGATCTACCAATGAAGCTAAAAGTAGTACCCAGAAAGGAAGCCAAGAAAAGCGAGGAGCGCGAGACCGCCAAAGAAGCCCATGAACTGAAAGGCGAATGGGCAACTGACAGCACCTGCACCGACAATAGATCCCGTTAACGTGTAAATATTAGAGGTTCATGCGGTATTTTTGGATTCTTCAGATCATCCTTGACTTTTTTCCCATGAGGAAAAAGAAAAACGTCAAGAATGGTAGTGAAAGAAGAAGCCAATAATTTGGTCGGAGCCCTTAAAAATAGCAGTTTTCACGCCCATCCCGTCTTCGCGATCCCAGTCCACTAGAGCTAAATTTTGGTCCACCAAATCGTGGAACTCTTTTGACGTGAGTGGTGGAGGATCGTCCTCGTCGTCATCATCGTCGGAACTAGACGACGATATAGTATTTCTACGACCAGACATCCTAAAATTTGCGTAGTCTGGAGGAGCAAGCTCTGTTGATGTTGCAGTTCCTGCTGATAAAACACCGGAACCAGCAGCCCGAGCCTGTGCTGTAATCGTCCTTGTAGTAGTAGTTGCACTAGCTGCACGACCACTAACTACAACTCCATTAGAAGATATTAATTTTCTATCTAAATCTACTCGGTCTGGTGACTGAAGAAGCCGCTCACCTCTATCTGGCTCCTTTGTCAAGCGTTGGCGCCCATTCGCGACTGTTCTTGAACCATCCGCTGAATGTTCGAGCAGTGGGGCACGTTTGCCCCCTCCCCCCGAAGGACTCGTCCGACTACTCCTGTTCGATGATGTTCCTGCGGACTTGTCGAAAGCCTCTGCAGACGTCGAAGCCGTATTTATTTGAGAAGTCGACTTACTAGATGAGAGGACCTCGTCACGATCAGCGCCAGCTGCGGCACCCGCCTGTGGTCCCTGGTCTGAAGAGAAGGGCTCTAGAAGTGGTAGTGCCCCGCCTTCTGCTTTTATTGTGCTTCTACGGTTACTACTTGCAACACCTCGACGCTTAGGCGAGACGCTTCGTCGTACCATCTGCTCAACACGACTTACTACACCTCCAGATCCAGAAGTGCCAGTACCTCCATTTCCAACTTGTACTAGCGTCTGCTCTTTCTCTTTGTTCTCAAATTCCACCTTCTCGCCTTCGCTATTCCTAGGACCTGCACGGTGGTGATTTCGCAGTTCCAGGAGCCTAGCAGCAAGCTCGGACGCCGAAATATTCCCTTGTTGAAGGTGTGGGCTCATGGCTTGCTGCAAACGGCTCGGTGACGTCATATGAATGATGAAAAGCACTGGATCATCTGTCGTTTCTTGATCTGTCGTAGAGCTAAACAAAGGACGGTTTCCCTAGGTGGAGTCAAAATAAAGGGGCACCACGAGATCGACGACAGATAAGAAGGCGAGGGATCCAGGTTTCCTAGCCATAAATCATAGCAAATTCTCGCTTTCTAGTCTCTAAATCGTCTTCGTCTTCTAAGTCGTCTGCTTTTGGTACAGCACTTGGCCTTGCAGTACCAGTGGATGATGTGTCGTGTGGTGCCTCGTCCTGCTCCTGTTCTTGCGGTGCAGGTGAGAATTGCTGTGGTCCTTCGTTGACTCTCTCCAGTGCTTGTTCTACTTGCTGAGGCTGTGAGTTTTTCGTATGAACCTCTGTCGTTGAAGTTCTTAATGAAACTACTGGGGATGTTGAATCCTCAACAATATCAATACTTGCAGCCGGTCGTGGCCCTTGCTGAGCTTGAGCTTTTTCAACTACAGTATCGGGTTCTTTACGACCAGCTTTACCGTCCTCTACCTCGGCTCCATCGAGAAAGAAATCATCCTGCTCTCCGCGAGGTGTATCGATCGGAACGCCACTCGAGATACCTCCGGTCACCTCTTCCGTGTCCTTTCCCGAGCTTGAAAATGATCCTTGTCCTTCGGCTTCAGATGCTATTTTCTGTGCGAGTTTTCGTGGACTACTCGGCTCTTCAAGCAAAGGGTCTGAGCGGTTACCCTGCGCGTCCCTGGTGTAAAGTCCATTGTATACCCCCTCTGCGGGGGAATGCACTCCTCCACCGGGCGCACGACGCGGTCCCATATTCTTTGACGATGAAGCACACATCAAGGAAGCACTACCATTCTTGACAGAAGTACATCCAGCTTCATCTTCTTGCTCCCCGTCTCTCTTCATCGTCGGCGTGTCTTGGTCTTCTTAGAGCAAGAGCTCCCCGTAAAAATCACCCATCTTGAGAGCCATCTCGGATCTAATTTCCTCTTATGGGACAGCTTCGAGATGCTTCCGAAGATTTGCTTCCGAAGATGGGTTCGTGGTAGGGGAGAGGACCTTAATTTTCCTCGTCGTCCGGACCAGGCGGCTGCAGATCTCCTTCCGACGACAATCGGCCGTCAGCAGAGTAGAGTACGGCGCCGGTCGTCGGATCGTGTGTGCTGGCGCACAGACGCTCGTCAACGAGGACATTGATATCTTCATCGACGACGATTTCATCGGCCACAACATCTGGTTTTGCAGCGACAGCGATTTCTCCACCATGATCTACAGCTCTGGTAGTTTCAGAAGACCTCTTCACATCATCGTGCGTATCGTCGTCCGGAATATTAGGACTCGGCGTGGCCGGAGGAGCCTCGTCCGCAGTAATTATAGCCTCGTCTGATGAAGACATTTTGCTCTATTTCGTATTCGTGTATTTTAGAAATATAGAAGTTCTACAGCATGATCTTCAACTTCTTCTTCCTCGGCTACCCACAGGCGGCAGCCGTCCACAACATGATCTTCAACCTCCTCTTCCTCGGCTACCCACAGGCGGCCTTGGTCATGGTCATGCACTTGAGGTCCGACCCTGGATGGCCGTTTTTGAAGCAAAACTTACACAGAGGTAAACTCGTCATGGTAAGGAATTTATAGTCATTCAGTGACGAGTGCGAGTCGCATGAATTCTATTTTGAAATCATGTGCAGGTTTCAGCTTTCATTTAGATTTAGTTCCACCCCTTGGTAATCTTTTCGACGTGTGTCATCTTTTGGCCAGCGCAAGAACAAGACAATGCACGCGCGACCTAGACAACTCATTGTGACCATCGCAACTGACGTTCTTGAACGACGAATCAATACCAATACCTACTGTTGTGGTGATTATTAGTACAAAATCCAGCGTAGCGCACGCTCGGGGATTCCGTTTCTAGAGTGAGAGCTAGATCTTGAAACTGGATTCATAAAAATTGCCTGTTTTCTGATTAAGCACTTCTTCCGAATAAGACTAAGCCATCAGTATACCTTTACATTCCGTGACGCAAATTTGCGCCACTTTTCAATCACATACAAGAAAACGTAAGCCCTCTCCTCCCAGCTAGAATTTGAAAGAAGAAAAAAATAAAGGGCAAGCTATTTGCTGCCTGCTTCTTTATGTGCCTGTATTCCATGACGCATTCAATCATGCAGGTTCATGCTGGTGCACCATGCGTCTGATAAACTCTTTGTAAGACAAACAACTCTGCTACATTATGTTTATGATTTACGTGACTCACAATAATAGTGGCGGGAAAACGTGACCACTAAAATTTCTAAATCTATAATGGCCAATGAATCATCTATATTTTTATAGGATCCGTATACTCGAGAAACTAAAATAACCGAGTAAGCAAAACAATAAGACTTGCAAGCGTTTTCTTTTTCTACACATGGGAGAAAACGGGAGGAGATACGTGTGGGAGGGGCCTACCTGGGTCAAAAACTCTCTCTGTGATGGATAGAGTAAAGGACCCCCAGAAGAGTGAGCTTTTTCGGGACCGCGGCGGAAAACCTAGCGTAAACCCCCTGGGTATCCTTACACTCAGGTCGCCGAGACTGGGCCTTCCTCTTCAAGCTTGAGAGCTTAAGCATCTCCAAAACCAAAGTGACCAACACAATCCCGGACACTTAAGGGGGAAAATCTCCAACAAGACAACACCTCCAAGTTTTATTTTTGAGTTTACTCGGCTATTTTGATTTTACGAGTATTCTACTTCTAGGAAGCTATGGTCCAAACCGAAAAGGACCAAAAGCTTCACAACATTCTTTCAAACAAAAGATTATGGCAGTCAGACCCGACTAGAATCTTCGTGGTCGAACTTAGCAGTATCTGGGGACTTACAATAATCATGCTCATACTTGCGAAAATCAAAAATATACCTCCGAGTAAACCAATTGTTAAAGTAAGTCCTCCAGCCTTCGTTCCAAGCGAAGACCTTGGTCTCCTTCCAGCGGTAGACTTTTTTGCTATTCTGCTCGGCATAGCGTAAGTTCCATGGGTTTCCTAGAAGTGCTTGTGCGATTAGGTCGATCGCCGGAATGGCATCCGACTGCTCTGATTTCCCTCTCTGCGACACCAATGGCAGGAGCATCGTTTCGCTGAGCGCCGCTATTTTCTCAGCCGACACCTGCGCGCTCTTTTGCAGGAGCCAGCAAGATGAACAGTCCACAGACGAGGGGTGAATGATCAACGAGTGGTCTTAATAGCAGATAAAGGCCAAGAAAGACATCACGCACCATCAACTTTTGTAGATCATAGACTGACATAATTGAGCCAGGTCTTAATACATCGACATCTTTGCCAGGTCTTAATACGTCCACCTTACTTCTATCTTCTACCGTCTAATCCGATTGTCAGCATCTTCCCTCTGACTCTGTGCAGATTTCAAAAATCAAGATCGAAGTACTAACACAGCATAATTCTTGTAGTAGCATCCCGCCTGCGGTTAATTTTGGCTCGTTCTGAATGTTCGAAAAAGAGAGTTCGCCCACCTTCGACTGAGTCGGCTTGTTCAACTGTGACTGAGTCATCCGCGAAGATATGAGCAGGTACCAATCTGTGGAGCGTCGGGAACTTTGACACGACACAAGGACGAGCTCCTAACGGTAAGGTTTTATTCGAACATAAAATACACTAAACACGGCCAGTGTCAAAACGCACCGCCACAGAAAGGACTGCACCATAACCAAAATAGAACCAGGACATGCCTCTCGTTTCTCCAACATTTCCAGTGCAGCTTTTTCTTGGCACGTGTCTTAGAACTGATGTGGTCTTGTTCCTTGCGACGATTTTCGTTTTCATGCATCATTGAGTCGAAGTTGAAATCTTGTTCTTACCGATGACAAACTGAACAAGTTTCCTGGGTGAGTGACAGCCTAAATTGAATGAAAGTAAACAAACATACCCTAGTGCTTTCGTGGAGTATCAGAGTACTCGCCGCATTTTAGTCCCAACAAGTCAGCTACTCGTAGAGTATTCGTGAGGGCTCTGACGATACTAACCGCCCAGCTGAAGGAGTCCCCTCTGGCACCACTATCGGCAACAATCCGCTTGAAATCGCCTAAATGGTCCGGGGACATGTAGGCCCAAGTGCCAGCCTCGCCAACAGAGTCGCGGCATGCCGTCACGTCGCCTCGAACTGGATCTCCTGGTCCTGGTGCGGTGATCAGGTCAAAAGCGCACGCAAGGCCCATGTCGGCCGCCATCCATATATTATCAGTGAGCTCGCCTCCACCTTGAGACAGGAAGTTCTTGGGTTTGATGTCTCGGTGGAAGAACCCGCTTATTACAAGTACGCGAATGCTCTGCCAAGTGTACCAAATCGCGTTCCTCGTCTCCTCACCCGCCGTGGAAGGATGCAGATCAGCGAGAAGAACTCCGCTGTTTACGGGATCCATGGCATTCATGCAGAGTGCCATGTGATTCCCACGGTCGATCTCCCGGCGCAGGTGCTTGCAGAAAGGGAGCCCGATGCTGCTGTCGACATTTACGCCCTTGTGCTGATGCATCTCGATCTTCCATGCGCTTGCGAAAAGAACAGTTGCCGCGCATTCGCTTTTGTTCTTTTTTTCCAGCGAAACCCACTCTTCTACTGTCTCTCCATTCTTGTTCTCCCTGACTTCGAGCTGTTCGCTCTTCAATTTTTTGCAGAACAAATTGCGGGTAAAGGTCGTCGTAGGCGCTGAAGCGTCGCTGGGAATATCTGGAGTAGCCGTTGCGCGATAATGCGCGGGAATGTGCTGTGCCGCCAGAACCAACAATCCGCCATCGTTTTGTGCGCCATCAACTTGCTGCTCTAAAATATTATAGACCGCATAGGTTCGACACAATTCTCTCCCCTCTGGAGCTCCAACAAGGTTAAACTGCCAATCGTTTCTTATTTGAGGTACAGGGCACTCGCAGTAGAGCCACACGCCCTGTGCGAAAAGCTGGAGCAAACGGTTTCTCTTGCGATGAATCATGAGGATGGATCATAGTATGGTAAAGCGACTCGGGTAAGCCCCTTGAAAATCATTCAATACTTACGTGATGATCAAGATCATCGTGAACCACATACAACATGAAGTAGGTAAAGGACCTGCGGGAGCGGGCTACGCTAAAAGAATTGAAAACTGTCTGTTGTCTGATTGGAAGCTTGAGAGGCTAAAGACGTGAAGAGAATAAACGTAAAACCACGCAAGCTGTCTCTGTGCTACATATTGTTGGTGATAGTCAACGACCAAGTATTTCGCCGTCGCCAGTTTTGTTCACGTTCAAGGAAAGAGAAAGACCTGCGTCAACATATCTTAAATATTAATGGACTCAGCAGGAGCATGATTCCACGCATTCCCACTCAACAATGTTCATCTTCATATGGATTGAATATGAATTGCATGATGCGCCATAATGAGTCTCCTCGTTGAATTTATTACCATCAAGAACAACTTTCGTCAGCGTCGTCTCATGAGCTTCTGCATCTGCTTTACGTGCACATTCATATTTCTGAAGAGAATCCAACACCAGCTCGCGGTTTTCCTTATTAAAGAGTAACTTCATGGCTTCCCCAACGTTCTTAGTCGGATCAGCGTTGCGTTCATCCGGCTGCAACAAAGAAAGCTCGAGCGCACCTTGGTCTCGCTGCAGCCACATGTCGTCAGTGACACAATGTGAAAGAGGAAGAAATGAGGGGGTATTGGAAAACACTTAATAACGTCTCTTTCCATCCAATCTTCCTACAGCGCCGAACCGATTTACCTGTCATCTCGGCGACAAGAATGAAAAGAGACTGGGACAGCTTACAATTACATAACTACACCTCGCAATCATGATGTTCCCCAATAAAGACACACCACCCAAAATCTGCAAGAACCTTTTGCTTCTTGATAGACCACAGGGACGCAGAACTACATTACGACCCCCCATGTCACGTAGAGGTTACAGCGTCACTATTTCCTCCCATAAATCTAGCAGCCCGCCTTCGGCTTCATCAACCTCCGCTTCCGTCGAGGAGCTCGACCAAGCAAGCCCTCCAATGCGGCGGCGCAGAACGTCGAATGCGTCGGCTACCTGCCTACCCACTGCCTTCAACATCGCCAAGAGCGACGGCGGTGACGATGTTGACCGCCGCAACATCTTCACCAATCTTGCCGCAGTTGTCGTCACCGTGACCGTCGCAGTTTTTAGAAGAGCTGACAATGTTGTTTGAAGGGATAAACCTAAGGTATAGAAGAGCTGACAATATTGAATGCCTGGCGGTCATCAGTACTCGTATGCAGACTATTATAGAAGATGAACCTGCGTCTTTGGATACTTAAGTACAACTATCACAGCCTAGTAGGGCTACTTTTCTTACGGGGCTGGAAGTATCGACTCGTCTATCGAGCGAAGAAATCCATACTAGTATCGAGTGAAGTTTGTGCATAAAATGTTCGCCCAGTCTATTTCTCCGGCAGCTACGAACTCGGCGAGACTCGCAACGACATCAGTCTTAGCCACTCTCTTAGTGCTTCTGTCTGTTAGAGGTAGGTTTTTGGTGCTCGCTTACCCCGCTTGTTGCGCCTTTCTCCACCTAAGGGAGAGAGGCATAAAAAGCGGTAAGAAAAGCACCTTTAACCTACCCTTAAGTCTGTTCCATCTCGTCCTCTTGCCTCGCTGCGAGTGACTTTTGAAGAGGAAGCTTCTGCCTGTTCCATCTCGTCCACTTTTGAAGCTTCCTCTTCCGGAGGTCGGCTGCCGTGCTTGACAACGCTCTTGCCTGCATCCACACTGATCTCAGCTCTGGTACCCTCCGAGAACAAACCTGGAGATGAAATACCAAACTTCTAAATCAGACAACTCCTAGTGACAAGTAGTAGCACGTGCTTACACGACAAGTGAGATTGAGATATGATAGGAACATCAAAGGCAAAGCCCAAAGTCTTCTATGTGTACTATGACATGTCTTCACCGATGAATCTACCTTTTCACACCTGGGGTTGTATTAAATGAGTAAAATACTGCTTCTTTCCATGGGAGTCGTTGACGCCCCTCTGTCGGAGTCGGACTGCTGGTCTTCTGCTTCACTGTCGTGGCCGCTCCCGGTCCCGTGCTTTTCTGAATGGGATGGTTGGCTCGTTTTCTCCTCGTCGCCGCTGGTGCTGAAGCCCTGCGCAGCTGTCTGCGCGGTGAGTTCAGCCGCTGGGCCATATGGCACCCCAGCTGGTGACGTGTTTTTTCCTTCCGCGCTGAAAGCTTGCCTTAGGCTCTTTGCTCGTTTCTTCCCCTTCTTTCTGCGATGTACAGCGGCGACTGCCTCCAAGCACAGCAAAGCAGAGCCAACGCGTCGCCCCGTCCGCCAAGTGCTGCCTGCGGAGGCTCGTGCACGTATTCGTGGTCGAGCGTTCTTGAGCAGGTTAGAGCAGAGTAGATACAGTTTTAGTTCATAGAGATAGATGTACGCTTCTCTGGATTTTGTTCGATCAAAGAGTCACATCACTCTATCACTTCTTGATATTGATTACAGTAATACCCGCAGCATTGTACTCCTAAAAATTAGAATGAAATCATATTTTCATTTTCTTTTATTTTGGGCCGCCACCTGCACGTAGGAGTACTTTAAGTATGTACTTATCTATAATCATGTGCCATAATAGCTGTTCTGCTACTGCCTTCGTTCGTCGTGTGGTGGTACCACAGAAGATTTCCTGAACTAGTAGCAGCGCTGTTGCCCGTAAGGCGCAACACAGGAAACTGCTCACCCCGTGAAACACTGGGTAGCCGCGCGGCTTCATTCGCCTCCATCATGGACGACGTAGCCGCTCGGAGCGTCAATTCCGCGTTTCTTTAAGAAAGAAGCGTAGTTCGTCGACTGTGCAGCATTTCTATTGATCGCATCTTGTGCTGGCTGATATCATGTGAAACGTACTGTGCATTCTGCTCAACATAGATCTGCGTGTCTAGTGTCTTTCTGCTGCTGTTACTACTGCTGCGCGCAACAGCTTCCGCTGTGCGCCATCCGCAGGACTCGAATTTGCCTATACGAGGACATAGCATTTCCTTACATTTTCTCAATCATTTACTACTAGTACCGAAAGTCAAATCCTACTAAAAAATATCAAGAGCAGCGCGAAGTTTTAGTATTTTTGTGGTCAGAAGCATTTACAGCGTGTACTGAGACGAGAGAGACGCCTTAGAGTACTTGGTTGTTGGTTAGGCACTCCTTCGTCTTGAGGTCTCTCTTTTAGTGAAGCCCATGCTGATCAGAAATTTCGTTTTTGTACAATTCGCGCCGTTTTTGCCTCAGCTGAAACTTGCTTCGCTTTTTCACTCTTCTCTCCTAATTTTTGCTCCAAGCAATGCTGTTTTATCTTTCTTATCCGTGATATACAGCACTCATACGTACATATCATCAAAATGGAGTTGGTTTCCTTCCACGCAATGGCAATCCTTTACCTTTTTTCAACCAATCTATATCTCTTCACATTTTACATGTATTTTTTGTTCACTCACGAGGACTTCAACATCTTGTTATGCCCAAGCGAAATGCGTGCCCGTGGACGGCAAAGAAAATGTTGCACTTACTTGTAAAAACATGAATGCTCCTTTGAGATAAGATTATAAATCCAAAATTGCAGAATGAGACATCCACGTTCAAAAATTGACGGGAGCATCATCTTGTTGATCCCAACAAGAAAGTGAAAATCGCTAAATAGGCTGTTTCAAAAACTACGGTGCAAAGAGCTGCAGGTGAATGGAAACAGTGCATCCACATAGTGATCATCATCCTCTAGCTCCTCCTATAGCAGAGTGTATAATCTTCTCATCTTCAGCTGAAACTAGTACTGCAACATCCCCTGCATCTGCACAGCTACAACTTCGCAGCGTTTCGCCCACTTCCCGCCGTGTTAGTGGAGATTAAAGTGTCGAGAAAGTAGTACATGAACATGTTAAGAAAAACCACATTGATTATTTTTAAAAGGTTAATAAGATCAATATGATCATTCAACACAAATTTTTATGATTTTCTTCAACAACTCCTCGTCATATCTTTTGCTTTTTCCCCAGCACCATCATGATTTGCAGTCGCTTGATTTTCGTCTTCACGCGCAGCCATCATCTTTACTGCGTCATTAACACGTATGATTTTAGAGCTCACCCTAATCCATTCTGAGATCGATGATCTCGGAGTCGGATCTAGTTTCTCTTTCTTCATGGGACACCTTCGAGATGGATCGATGCTTCCGAAAAAAGTAGATGGAACAGGGTAAGCCTTAATGATTTCGTCCGCCAGTGAAAAATAGGCTACGTAGTGAACTGGCGCATTTGGTTCCGCAAGATGTTTGTAGAGTGTTGCCACAGCTTCATGATCCTGACGACTGGAATGCTCCCCTCTGAAACTGCGTTCTATGATTAGAAGACCAAGACTCAAATTCTTGCAAAGTTTTTCTTTTTGTACTTGATAAGCTCTGAAGCACATCAAAGAACAGTGCATGGAAATAAACGAGCACCAGACTGCAACTAGTACACCTAGTACTCATATTAGGATACGAATACTTATTACCAGAGTCGTGGATTTGGGTGTGCTACCTTCTAGTCCTAGTAGGTCGTCGTGCGCAATGCAAGAGCAGAGCCCACTTAATCAACACGAGATGAGGTGTGATATCCTAGTAGTTTCGTCGAGGACATCACACTTCATCTCATGTTGATTAGTACTCATACCAGGAACAGCTGGAGCTAGTACTAGACTACAAGTAGTACTAGACTACAAGTAGTTCTAGTACTACCTCGGGTGGGTGCTTCTACTACTACTTGATATACTACATAGTAAAATGATACAAATTATATCAACATAGGTCTGCTGATTATCATTATTTACCAGTGAAACAGGCCCGACTGGCTTGACCCTTAACAGTACACTCTTCTCAGTGGCAATGTCACCATGGTAGTGCCCGCCTTGCCCCGTTGCGGGACCATGTCCAAAGAAATGCGTGTGCTCAGTGCGCAAATGGAGGCCTGCAAAGTCCTCCTTGATGTCTCCTCGTTCAGATACAGAAGAAGTGGCCTGTCGCTCTGCTTGATCTGGTTTCAACATCATGTCCGAAAGCATGGTGGAGAACATGACTAGATTTCCTGGCGCTCCATTGAGAAAAAAGCGCAACCATCGGTCGCCCATCTGCGGAGATGTGATTTTCTCGGTGAGGAAGTCTGGCATCACGTGACCCTGAATATAGCCCGCTTTCATGAAGACCACGCCACCCAGACCAACACACGGCAGAGCGCTTCCTGGATGAACGCTTTTCGTGATAGCTTGAGGTGCTTCTGGTTCCTGAGTTTTTGTTTTGCTATGTTGCAGGTGCAGCTCCTCCTTCTATGGTTGACGTGAGGTAGTAAAATGAAATAAAAAATTGTATTGCAAGTAGAACTGCTGTGCCTATGAATTCAAAAAAATATGTCATACAAAAATCAAATCCAGCACCTTGTCATGGAAAATTTCAACCTGTCCGAATGCTGCCAACAGCTGTCGTAAATAGCCTGTGAAACTGTGAATAAGTCCGGTATTGCTTGATATTCGGTTGCGCGCCTCAATTTTCAGGATTCTTGTTCTCGAGCCACCAGCTGGTGACACTACTCGTACTCCTGCTATTGTTTCATCTTGCACCGATACTGGAGGTGAAGGTTGGCCCAGCATGGAAGTATGTCCTCCTTTTTTGACAGCGTAGAAGAAATTTCCCAAGCAGCCGAGCTTATGCGTCGTGTAGTCCTTTGTGGCGTATGGCGCTGGCTGTGCTCGACCGATGATCTCTAGTTTCTGTGAGTGGCCTGGGGGGACGGATACACAGCCTAAGGCATTAACGCGCGATCCGTCTGGTCCTTGTAGAATTTCCGTATACTTCGACTCGCTCTGTCCGTAGTTATAAATCGCCGGACAGGTCGTGGTCCTGGTGGTAGAAGAAGCTGCTCCTGCTGCTGCTTGTATATTCGACATCGCTTTCATCTTACTGCCACTGCTGCTCCCTGTTGTTCCACTGTCCACCTCCTCCACCACCTCACAACTGAGAATCCCTTCCGCGTTTTGCCCGACAAGAGATGGAGCTGCGGCAAATGCACCAAGACAATGGAAGCAATCCCGAAATCCACTAGATGAAGTCGTTTTTTCGAGGAGTTGGAACAAGTCAAATTCTACATTGTGGCGTTCAGGATTGTCCATATTAGGCACGCCTCCCATGTCCACAAGAGCAGTCCGTTCTCCCGTAATCCGTCCCACACCTGGAAAAAACGGGCTTGGAGAAGATGATGACAATGGTCGTGTCGCCTGACCCTGCTCGGATGATGCAGCCTCTGGAGCCGTAGCAGCCACACTAGGAGCTCTGCTTGCGACAATGTGCTTGACTTGCTGTTGATGCTCCGGTAACAAGCAAGCCTCGCCTTCGTCGACGACCGTCACCGAGAAAACCTCATAGACGGGATCGGCATCGTGCGCCCTCTGCAATGCGCGTGCCAGCACATCGATGCTTGGGCGTAACAATCTCCTTCGTTCCACAAAGCGGAAAGGCTCTTCGACTGGCGGGACAGGCGCAATCCCCATACCCGTTGTACCGGATGACCCGGGTCGAGATTTTCCGTGTCCTCCTTCTGCATTGTTCGACGTCATATTATTTTTTAAGTTGAAGTAGACGGGACTGAAACAGAAACTACTGATCAGAGCAATTTATAAGGTTTCACAGCTCGAGCTCGCATGGCAAAACTGGTCGTGCTCCCGGAGGAAAATAATCTACATCATGTAGTATTGATCTTAATGATACAAACAGAAATAAAAAGATAAACTACCATTTTAATTATGATGTGGCCTTTTGTTCCATCATTTCCATACCACAACGATGAAAAAAGCACACGAGTTCCAGTGGAGGTTAGAAGCCGTTAGACTGGGTGAGGCTGATGAAAAATGAGGAGGCTTCGACATGGACATCATGCCATGAAACAGAAAAAAGAAAACACATACACTTACACCTAGATAGTACAACCTCCTTAACGTCGACCTTTTCTGTTCATCTTCTCCAGTAGGGCGTAAACCAAAACAACTGCCACATCTAACAGGTTCTTCTCTCGTCTACATGAATCCACTTCCACATGAATAGAACTCGCTCATCATGAACATGACTTGTTGAGCACGATGACGATGATGTTGCTCTACATTATTTACTTCACGATGAAAATGAATTTGCGCATTATATAAATACAAATACTGCTATACCAGCATATCAAAAAGCAAAAAGGAGCCGCTAGGCGCAAAGGGGTAGGGATAGAGCTCATGCTGGGACTGTTCAAGCCCAAGATTTGTTACCATTATAGCCATGGACCACATGGTTATGCGGTGGAAATGGAAAATAATTGTTGCTGGTTGTTGCAGGATCAACATTGGGAGGACCATGGTGGTAGTTATTTACAGCCACGTTCATTTGTGCACCGGCTGGCGGACGCGGAGGGAGAAATACCATGCTTGCTTCTGGTACACCCAGTTTGAACTCCCAGGTGAAAGAGGTGTCGCGCAAGGTGTCCCCAGTGTATCTGATTCCGGCCACACGCGACCTCTGGCTGCCCACAATGCCTTGGGCTTCATTCGTTCGGGTGTGTTCGTACCCGAAGGCCTGGTAAAGCTCCGCTGCCCAGAGAAATTTGTCTCCGACCTGCTGCCACCCGCACTCCTCGGCGATCCTCGGCACGTTCCAGTGTGTGTAGGGAAACCGGTCCGCCAGCGTCACGTGCACCCTGGTGCGCTCCGGTCGCACGAAGGAGTGCGCACACCTGCGGAGCGACCAAAAAAAATTTCGGAAAAGTTCTTGGTGCTCCTCCAGACCGCCGATGGTGCCCGCTGGCGCGGTGCTCTGTGCCACCCCGGAATGTAAAAAGTTCACGATTATGTAGTCGAAAAAAGAAGGTGAAGAAGAACAAGATATAGTTGTGGTTGAGTTAGGCTGCAAAGGTAATGCTGTTCCTCCACCAACATGATCCCGAGGAGTACCAAGAGAAATGCGCGCCAAGATGTTCTGCAGTAGTCTGTGCGGTCCGGCGGAAGAGTACTGGGGAATCGGGTTGCCATACGGGTCCACCCATTGCAGGCCTTCAACGTGCAATTGGGTGCAGTCGATGCTCTCGGACAACACGACTCCCCCCATGGCTTCAACCTCCTGTTGCGAAGCGAGCAGCCGGTCTCGAAAGTTCTGGCGGCCCTCGAGGTCATACGTGGACGCGACCAGGTTCTGAGCGTGCCTTGGCCCAAACATCCGCGCCAGAGCCTTTGTGAAGGAGAAGTCCCCCTCGCCGAGCAAAAGAATGCGGTGCTCGGGTGTGTAAGGGCACACGGGAATAGCATTGGCCACATTTCGTGGCACTAGCACAACGTTGCTGGATGAAGGGTTTGAAATTGAAGTAGAAGAGGCTCCTCCGAGGGAAAAAGTGTTGCTGCCCCCACCGACCCGCTGGCGCTGTGCGTAGAGAAAGTGCGCTATGGGGAGACACTCGCGGAGCGGGAACTCCATCGTCGGGTAGCTGTTAAAAAATGGATCATGTCGATCCTTTTCTGCGAGCAATTTAAACACCGCACCTTCAGCACACCCATATACGTTCTCACTCCGCACGGTTGTAGTTCCATATGGCGTCGGCGAGGCCGCCCATGAGCCGTGATATCTTGGATGCTGCTCTTGATGTTCGTATATCGTGCGTGTGACGACCGTCCCCCGGCGTTTGGCGCACAGTTGTTCCATCTCTTGGACAAACTCAGCTGCGCTTTCGATGAAATTATCGTTAATTCGGATCCAGAGAGGCCACGTTCGTCCATTACTGGCGACGATCGGGTACTGATGGGCTTCATCCAGACCTGCACGATCATGTCAAGCCGTATTCTTGAGTGTATCTTCTCAAGGTGAAGCATTGTGTTCGGTAGAGAGGTAGAACGGAAGTCCCAGTCACATGGATTTGGATGATGAGGACTACAACAATTCGTTATAGAGATCCAAGATCTACTCTTCAATAAAGTCAAACGATGAAGTTAAAAAACTCAGTTCAAATAGTTTCTTTTGTACTAAGAAAGTAGTGGTCTTTGTGGTCTAAAAGTAAAAATGACTATAGCTGCAGTTTTGTACTAAGAAAGTAGTGGTCTTTGTGGTCTAAAAGTAAAAAAAAATGACTATAGCTGCAGTTTTGTACTAAGAAAGTAGTGGTTTTTGTGGTCTTCTAAAAATGTTGACTAATGCTATCATGTATTGTATAATTGCTGCTACCTTCAAGTATCCGGCGACATCCGTTTTGTGTAATGCAATTGTGGGACAAATGGACTTCTTCTACAAAGTGGCCGGATGCTCTTGCCGCTGGGAAATACTTCTGCTGACCCAGGTAGTAGGCCAGGAAGTAGGCCCCGAAGTCGCCGATTTCGTTTTGGTACAGCAATAGCTTACGCACGACAATTTGCTCTTCGGTCAGCCAATGAAATAGCCTTTGCGTCCCCCGATCCGATATTGCGTTTTTCGACAGATCCAGCTCATCTATCATTTCATTAGTGCTAGAAGTTTTTCAATAGTAACACTATCAAAAAAAAAGATGGGGTCGATCTCGATAGTGATGAACTAGCCGTAATTGGAATAACTTCTTGCGGGGGTTGCGAAAAACCGCTTTTGCTTCCCTGGTGCCAGCGGGACTGCTGCTCTGCAAGCTGCCTGTCCTTGATCTGTGCCCGCCAGACTTCTAGAAGAGGCCACGGCCGATCATTATAGTCAACATCCAATGGTTCTTGTTGATTCCCATTGGCGTCAGTTCCAGCCAATGTTTCGTCATCCAGCTGTCGCCTTCCCGCAGAAATCTTGATTCTCAGCAGTACGACACCTAAAGGGGCGACTTCCTCCACCACCGGGAACGAGATCTCAGGCGGCCTCAGCCAAGTGTTGTTCCCTTTCTTCCCCTCGGTGTTGCCTTTGCCAGCCTTGCCGGATCTTTTGCCCTTGCCTTTCATGATGTCTGCCGGCTGAGATCAACATGAGGAAGTTGTGCTATCATGTCCCAGCATCTTTGGGTAGTTGATTGTGTGAAGATACGGAAGATATTAGGCTCATGTTCGCCCGGTTCGATGGAAAACATGATAACCAAAACTTAATCTGTCTGTTGGAAGAAGAAAAAGTCATTCACGTTTTGTTGTTGTTCCATCCTGATGAAAAGTTCTTGCAATTGCATTAATTAGATGCGGATCATCCTACTGGACTACACAGGCTTGGAGAAAGGAACGGCGGCGCAACAAAAGAAGTAGAAATATTAACGAAAAATATTTATAATATAATAGAGTAGTTTATAGGGGTGCCAGATCCGGGATGGGATGGATCGGATGGAGCGGATGGAACGGATGGACTTTCCACCATTTCAAGTAGGAGCGGAAGAATCAGGGGGGTCCATCCGATCCATCCAAGATCTATAAACTACTCTAATATAATATAGGTCAGTACTATCATTCGTTAAAGATCACGTTGCGCCTGAAGGATGGAAACCAAAAAGGAGGTGAAAGGATGAACGTCGAAGTAGGTGTAGTTGAACCAACAAGGATCGAAAAATTATTAGATCGATAGCTTGTAGACTTTTAGCATAGTAACGCTGTAGAAAAAGAAGTTGTATTAAGAGGGAACGAGGGGTGGGGGGAATGCCGATGTTGACAGATACTGGATAAAGACCTCTCCCTCATCAATCATGATACTTGCAGTTCTTGTTGACGTGAACCAGTAGTGGTTTCGCTTCCAGTAGTAGTTGACGGAATGTGTAATATGTTCCTGATGCCATCTTCTTTCTTACGACAAAATAAACATTTAGACGCAAACGTCAGTGTATGTCCCAAATTCAGATTCATCACGGGGTCTCCGCCGCAGCCATGCGCTACGGATAGAAGGGGGCCCAAAAATTTCGAAACGAACAGAAACCTTACCACGGTCATCGTCCCTTGCTGAGCTTGCTTCGTTTGTTTTCCTTATTACCACGCTGCATTGGAAGTAGAACACGTAGTAGTTCTTGCATTAAAGTCATTTTCGTTCACCGTGTAGTAGCTGTGATCGCGGTTGGAAAAGTATTGCTTAGACGCGGAGTACGAGTTGACGTAGAGCTAGAGCGCATTTTCTGGGCTTCGGCTGCTCTTCATAGAGAGTGTTCCTGGCGACCCTCATTATAATGACAATGTCTTTCTCTTTCAGTTTGTTTTTGCTTGTACTAGGACTATGCTATCATTTCTGAAAATGTAGTTGTAGACTTAAGCCAACTGGATTACCTATGCACAAGTATATGCACATATTATCGAGGAAAAATAGCAGCGCGGAAACTTTTTATAGTGTTCTCGTGTTGCTGGGGCGAGGGACATAGCAGTAAGATTATCTTCAGTCAACTTATCCTTATAGTAAGTGCTAGCGTCTCTGTGTAAACTGCTAGTACTGCTTCTTCGCTGGCAGCTCCTTCGTGCGGCTGGACGATAACTGCTAGTGCTGCTTCTTCGTTGGATCAAAGATATATGCTTGAACAAGAACTTATCATCTCGTATGACATACTGCTGCAAGAATCTTGATTGAAGCACCACAATGGGATAATTACAAGAAGAATCAATAGAGGACAACTTCAATGTTGTTGAGGATGCTTATATATGAGTACATAGTGCAATTTCTTCCTGAAGATATGAAGATGGTAAAGCACGACTTTGGTTTCATTTTTGTTGAATGTTAATACAGAGGTATCATGATGCTCGTGCTCCAAACAACATTGAATTCAAGAAGATGAATTTATCTGTCTTGCTTATAAATAACAATATTGACAATCGGACATGCTCCTTCGTGAGACTACTACGCAGACAGCACTCACCACTGTTTGAGGCTAAAACCCGCGATCTTGTGACCCGTCCGAAGCCGTGACTCGGAGACGATGGGCTGATTCAGGTACATGACGCCTACTTTTCCGGTCTCATAGTTAGAGGAGGTTACGGGCTGTATCATGTAATTCCGAACAAAGCCTTACACAGGCAAAAGCGCATCCACCATGCAGGGCACGCATGCTCATGATGATTCGGACTAGATGTTGGCGTAAATCATGCCCAAATTATAGACCCAGCCGGAGGGCAATAGACTAAAAAAAACCTACTGCTTGGTGATTGCGGCTACCCTGCCGACTAGATGGCTGTTGATGATGGAACCTTGCTAGGGAAAAACGCGGCTGGGTCTCTCTGTTGTGTTCAATTACACCCGCAGCCGCAGCCTTGAGCCGATCACAGTATCAAATGTAATTCCGAACAAAGGAGCCTTAACATGATCGAGTTCGACACAGGAAAAAGCGCATCCACCATGCAGAAAGATGCACGGCGTCGACTGCTCCTTGCCCTCCAGAGGACAGGGCACGCCGAGCAAAATCTTCAACAACGTATCCAAAAACTTCCCATGCGTTACGAGCTGTGGCCCATGATAGATCGACATTGGAGGAGATGAAGATCATATTCATATTCAATCATGGTGGTCGCTCTAGTTCTTGATGTAGTGCTTCAAGAAAAAGATGAACATACAGTCTACTAGTTTATCCAATCCTATTCGACTCATGTACTCGTCCACCATACGACCACTACAAGAAACATCTTACTTGTTAGGTTCCCATCAACCTAGTAAACTACATTCTCATTCATAATGCTAAAAATAGTAGTTGTACCAAAGACGCCTCTTCTAGCGTCCACAGCCACTCTGCAACATCTTTTACGCGTTCGACGTATGCCTCGTTAGTTTCCTTGCTTTCTCGCTCGTACCAACCAGAGTCCCCGTCTTCCGGAAATTTGCTGCAGTTGAGACAAAGAAGAGCAGGTAGGATCTACAACAGTAGAGATTGAGACGTCGACCTAGTATTGCTATCACGAGGACGACAAAATTTTGAAAAAAAAGAATTGTCACAAAAACTTCTTCTTACTATGGTATCCTATAATTATTGAAATTGTAAGTCATCCAGCTCCTCGTCCTGCAGTATCAGTACAATTGTTGTGAGAGTCTTGACTCGTCTTCTTGCGGTACAGTTACGTCCGGAGCCATTGTTTTCATGTCCGTCCGACTCATACCCTTCGACGTGCCGTATTTTTCGTCGAATAATCCTCCGTACTCGTAAATCAAGGGGTGAACCTGGCGAAGCAAGCAAGTCGTGGTGTTGGTCGTGGTAGTTCAACACGTTTTGGTGGTGGAAGCAAGTCAAGATCAGGTTGGAAGGAATGATCAAGTGGTACTTCTAGATGAAGGAGCATATCACGCTTTGTAAGTCGTTGATTGTGCTTGTGTTTGTTGTCTAAGAGCATCCTTGAAACAAGGTATGGGGGAGCATTCCCTTAGGATACTCCTCCAGCATACGTTTCAAGGATGCGTCCAAAGAAAAAGATGTATTAGGTACAGCCTTAATACCTCACAATGGATGCCCATCGTTGATGGTGTGCTCTTCAGATTCGTCGTCAATGGGGTTGCGGTGGCCAGGGTTTTCTTCATGGGGGAAATAAAAACTTGCTTGAAATTATAGTATGACGCCAATTTTGACCTAAACGAAGTAAGGGTTGCGGAAGGAGATGAAGGAGATGAAGAAGGTGAAGGAGATGAATGAATGAATGTGCTTAGCATGATGAGGTGCCTAGCAATAACATGAGCAGCACAAGACGGACAGTATCCAGATGAAACAGAATTGCAACTAGTGCGGTGCGTGCTGGGTGCATTGAGATAGAGATAGAAAAAGCTCATAATATATTGAGATTGAGATAGAGAACCGGACATAACACCACAGTCACAAATAAGAAGTACAGATAATTCCCTATGTTAGCTGCTTGTTGGGTTCCCAAGGACGTGAGACCAGGATCGGGCTCTCGAAGAGCTTCGTCGGACCGCACATTGTTCGTGCTTTCTCCGTGAGAAATTAGATGAGATACTGTAGTAGAGGACGGGGACAGGGTGTCAATGTCACAGTAACTCAAGCTTAGTAAAAATCACTATCTCTTGTTACCGCTTAATCGAAGATCATCGGCAAAGGGATGGGTTGTTCATCGTCATGGCCTTAATCGAAGAAAGTAGATCCTAGTCAGCTTCGGCATCTTTTTACCTCCCTGTTGATCCCCTGCGAGATTCTTCTGTATATTAGAATAGAGATAGTGGCAGTCGTGGCAATGAATAGTGACAGTCGTGGCCATGAATGTTGTTGAATGTCGTCTGAGCCGCTGCCTACTGGACGACGAGTAGACTTTCGGTAATGACAAACTCGTCACTAAACTACTTCATTCAGAGGCTCCATGTCATGTCATGTCATGGATCCTCTTTTATGTTGACGATCTTGACTTTGAGTCTCTTTTGCCTTCAATGGCAGTTTTGTTCTACTTGAGGCAACTTAGTAAACATTAACTGACTCAGGAAAGTTGAGTTATGTTCTTGTGTGATTACTGTTTTCATTTAGTTACTGAGATAAGAATAAAAGAAGAAAAAGAGGGTGTGCCAGATGTTGCCTATAATAAATTCTAGTCGTAATTACACTGACAACACCTGCTGTTCCACCTGTCGTCGTTCCGTCTCTCCTCGTAAGAACGCGGCCTAGGAAATATTGGTAGTAAGATATTCTGCTTCAATCAACATCTTCGCAATAGGATGAACATCAAAATCAAAACCTTAACCTATTTTATGCAACTTTATTATTTCATTTTTCGATATTGTCTTCGACATTATGGCAAGGAACTGGAACCAAATACTGGCCTAAATGATTGTTGGAACCTATCAAGTATCCGGCAAGCACACCACCGACAGCGCAGGCGGCCGCTGCAGCTTCGACGGGCCTCTCTTTTACTTTTTTGTCCATCGTTGAAGCTGTTGAAGATCCCCACTCGTAGAGCGGACCCAGCTTCTCCCGCATCGCTGGCGGAAGTTTCTCCATGATTTTCTTGTTTTGTTTTCTTGCTGCGTGGATCGGTCGTAAAATTTCAATTTCCCAGGGTAGTTCAAATAATTTGCTCTCTTCCTTCTAGAGAGAGAGCATGTAGATGTACATGTCTAATTGTTCTTAATAAGTACTGAAGTAGGTGGACCTTCTTGGTAAAGAGTGCTTCAACGCTTCTGCTCGCCTTTGTTGTGCCTATCGTGTAACTTTCCGTTTTTCCTCCTCCACTTTTTTGTAGTCCTTCTCGCAGCTGAATCTTATAGTACTTCTCTCAGCTGTCTTTCAACCCTTTTTACCGATCCTCACATGGGACTTTTGTAAGTATTTGATGTTGTTTTTTCCTCCTCTCGCTTTACTCTGTCATCTAGATGGAGGAATATAATCCACCGGAGACTACTTCCTTGTTGCTCAAGTTACCAACACCGACAATGACGCCACAAGACCAACACCGAGTATGACCGAAATCATTTTCGTCGTCCACCGGATGAAAGGGAAAACAGAAACACCGGAAAAAATCCTTACTAGCCAGGTAAAAGCACCTCCGCAACTACTTGTAAGCCTGCACCCCGTCGTCGGTTTACATCTTCTTCAACATCTTTTCTACGATGTAGATGTAATTGTTTCTAGTACTTGCAGGTTCATTATTTCAGATTCACTGTGATACCGTTTGGAAGCAGTATCTCTCGTCCTCGTATACGCAAGAATGCATGTTCAAGATCAACTCTGAACCCTCGTGCGCCTCTTTGTGCGATTTTCTCAACTTTTCCTTCTCCACACAGACAGGCTACACCTGGTGAGAAAGGTGCGGGGACGCGCGCTTGCTCTTCGTCGGCAACGTCGGCTTCCAGAAGCTCCTCCTCATGCTCTGACATTACATCGTCTTCATCCGCCTCGATACCTTCGAAGACATCGTCTAGAACAACATCTTCTTGTTGTTTCTTGGTGTTCTTTATCTCGACGATGCTCTTGTGCGGATCTTCCTCCACAGGTGAATGTGTGGGAACCACAACTTCGTTTTCGTCGAGTGCATCCGCTAGATCATCGAGTGAGAGTTCGTCCTCACTACTCGTTGAGGACTCGACAGCATCCTCGTTGACCGCGGCTCTTATTCTCTTGGGTTCTGGATCCCCGAGGACATCGACTGCCGCATGACCAAGAGCCGCGTGTTCGTTTATTCCGTCTCCCAATCTACTACCTGAGTTGACTCGGTAATAATTGTGTCGCTGCAGCAGCAACGGAAGATCGAAAACTTCAGGTACCCGACAGCTCGATGAAGACGAAGATGAGCCACCTTTTTGCCCACGTCCTCCAGCACTTCTCGTCGCCTTAGGGTAGTTCTTGTCATTTTCAACATCTGTCTTTTGCCCTCTTTCTTGGTACAGCTCTAGCTTGTTTCGCCACCGCGCTTCCAACAAATCTAGCTTCTCGGAAAATGCAAGGCTTGTGGAGGAATATGACCCAGAACTGGCCAATTCTCGCAAGCCCTGAATCGTCGTTCTGATGGTGGAGTTATTGAACGCTTCCGCCGTCTCCTCCTCTTCTTTAGCGTCAACAACCCCAATTATAGAACTATTCGCCTTTCTATCTTCTCCACCTACGGCCTTTTTAGTGCCTGCAGCCGCTCGTTTCTTCGACGTGCTCTTCATTCTATCTTTTCGACAATCAAAAAGTGATGTGGTGAACGTGATGAATTATCCACTGACCTTAATATTTAATCGATACTTGATTATATGATGATGTATTCCTCGAATTCTTCTTCTTATCCTTTTGCATCGTCTTCGTCCTGCGCTGATTACTATAATGTGACATTGTTCTCCATGGACCAACTCTCTAGGATCAGGAAAAATCAATTCACAGGTGTCTTCCGCAGCTCCTCCAGAAGTAGAACTACTTGAACAACTTGATGAAGATTATAAGATTTATTATGATTCTTCCTGCATTAGTCCGTCTTCCAACGGCACAAAGGCAGAGAGTGAGGATCAATCTTTTAAATTTTTTCATAGTAGTTGTGCTTTCGCCACTGAAATAGAGAGAGAGAGAGTTGTCCAGTCGTTGTCCCTGATCTTCGGTGTAGAAGAGGAAGTGCAGGTCGTAGGTACTGAAAAAAAATGCAGATACCCATGCCATGTACGCTGATCCCGAAGCTCTTTTCGTCCTGGAAGTGTCGGGACTGATCCATTCAGCGATGTTTGCGTTCTAGTAGAATCTCTAAATGTAAATGTTATTTGAGATTTTTCTTCTGTTCTGCCTGTAGTATCTTTGCGGGTACAGAAATGCCGCATCCGAAAAGGTTCCTTATTTTTCAACATGATCGTCCAAACGTCATAGAAATTGACAGGACTAGTACATCGCGGCCAATCGGATTGGATTCTGTCGCGCATTCTAAACTAAGCAAGAAGTAAACGAAATATATAGTCGTAGAATGCATCGCCCAAGGTCAATGAGCGCAACGCTATTATGAAGTAGATAAACCAATCACTAAGTTGTCTAGTACTAATATTGCCTCTTCTATACTAGCAGGGTGGAAAATGTAGTAGAGGAATAGGTGAGTACGAATATATTTACTTTTACATACGAAACGAAAAGCACTGTGAGTGGTCCTAGGACTTTGTAGTGATAGCCTAAGCCTGACGATGAAAATGCTAGAGGTAACGAACGAATACCAATACCTTGCGCTCACTGACCAAGTTACTATAGTTGTGGTTGATTACTGGCCAGCAAGTTGTTACTATAGTTGATATTATTGATTCACCTGAAATAAATGTAGATTTAGAAGTACTCCCTTGTAATCTGTGATATAAAGATCATAGGCATTCGGTTGTAATAAATTTAGCCTGTGATTCATCACCTGTTGCAAAATGGCTGCCGCGAAGGTTCCCAGTTCAACTGCATCAACAGGTTGAAGTCTCCACTCGTCCTCTCAAGGACCTGATCGATTCCTCCAATGCAATTTATCCACCTTCTTCGTACTGAGTAATCGATAATCGATGCGACCGCGGCTACTCGAATGTGCCCATAAAAATATCGTCAATCTTCATCAACGTCAGCGCTCAAAAAATGTCGTAGTCGTCCGTCGTGTAAGAAAGTCAAGAACTTTATTCGGTGTTTAAGTGTGGAGGCTTCAACTTTGGACCATAGACTTCGGTAATGCCCACTGTGGCGGTTGCCGTAGAAATACACATTTCTGCCATAGCTGTGGTCAAACCGAGAACGCAATTCGAATTTGCCTGCTCAGTAGCACAGGTCTCTCCAAAAATACAACAGCATGCGGCAATCATGAAAATGGGCTTGGATGGCTGTCTCAGTGGTCACAAACGGTATTCATTTTCATCCCATTGTTCAATTTTTCTTTTGTTGGTTGTCGCGTAAATTAAGGAGCTAGTAGAACTTCTAACTCTACGAGCAGAAGCACGACTAGGTACAACTACAAAAGCTACAAGAAGGAAGTAAATGATAATGAGAAGTACTTTTTCTTGCACTTGTTCTTGCTGAAGAATCAATCACTTCAACATCACCGAATCAGTAGCATCTAGGTCATTATTTTTCATCTGATACTGACACAACGAATCATAACACGAGAAGCAGTCTCCAAGGCAACGCTTCCAATTTGGATTGCAGCGAAACGAGTTGCCACGTCCTCTCTCCGTTGTCGCTCCTCTGGCGTAGTTGCCCATCTCGGTTGGTTGCGGATCCTCATAACTTGTTGAAGCGGTGCCGTGTGCTGCCTTTGCATACTCAACAAGCTTGAGCTTCCTGTACTTCTTTGCCAGTGGGCTTAGAGGTAGTTTTTCACTATCCCTGGTCGAGTGAGCTGCGCTTTTCCCCCTTTATTTTCCTCTTCACATCAGGGGGATTTCACTCAGTATAGTCCACATGGGACGATAGTGATGACAAGCTAGACCCTTAATGTACTGTGTCCTCCGCTGTGTTCTGATGCGTGTTTTGATCGGTCTCCGTGTTTTGAGCGAAGCCGAACACGCATTGCGCTCCAGATGCTGCGCAACGGCAAGCCTGACTCATTTGACTGCAGTGCTGGGCAAACGTCAGCGGCTTTGCACTGCAGCATAAAGGGAAGCAACTACGTGCCCAATTGAAGGTGCAACACGAAGGTAAGCCGCACGGGTTACACGGGCAATAGGAGGGACAGCTGCACCCGGAGCAGCAGAAGCAGCAAGAAGTACTGGCGCATTTTGGGAAAACCACACCAGCAGCGCCGCTTATCAAACTTGTCACGCTACCAGTGCACACATTGGAGCTGCTCACGAGGATAGTTCTACTTACTTATAATCCATTGAATTGACAGATGGAACAAGGATGGATCCTATTCCACGAACTAGTAATGAGATGAAGTAAAAAATGTGAAGAAGATATAAGCTCCTTTGAAGATTGATGATGATTTGCATGTTCAAGTTGATTGGAAATAACCTATGTTTATATCAAACCTGTCCAGTTGATGACTTTATATTAAACCTGTCCAGTTGATGACTTAAACAAAGGGACGCCAACCGTTGCTGCGCAACAGAGGAACGCCTGAGGCCCCACGCAGTCGCTTTCCGGTCTTTCGAACCACCAATTTCCGTCAGAGTCTCCTAGTCCTTGATCTTCATCGCGTATCCGCTTGTAGCAGTCCGTCCACCAGCCACGAAAAACAGCGTCCACCTCCTTTGCAGACTCATGCTCCATACAGGCGCGCGACCCAGAGGCCGCAATCGCGCAGCAGGCACGTCCGGCACCAACAGCAGAAGCGCCGCAATCTCGGAGCGTGGATGCGGTGAAGACATAGCAGCATTGTGCGCTTTCTTTGCACGCATTTGCGCTATTAACAGCTGTTTGCGCACAGGAATCGCAGGCATTCTTACAAGCGCCGCAGCATCCGACTACAGAGTCTTTGCATGCGTTTGCAGTACTGACTGCTGTTTGCGCACATGATGAGCAAGCATTTGCTGCGGTCACCCAACAAGCAGAACAGCAAGCGTGAGTGGTCGTGGCAACGCTTTTCCCCACAATGTCAATAACGCATTTTTCTACTACAGCAGGCGGGTCACCCGGAATAAAATCAGAACCCCCACGGTCAAAAACGCCTACCCGCACAGCCAAAACGCCGACGCCGCTAATTCCTGTTCCAGATAGTCCAGCAGGGTGAAGCAAGAACAACATCAACGCGAAGATGAATTGATGTGGCTTGAGTATTTAGAGGTTGTAGAAGCTTTTCTTTTCAATTTACTTAGAGGTTGTAGAAGCTTTTCTTTTCAATTCTATATCGTCCCAAATACAGGATAGTCCTGACGCGGCACTTGAGCCGTGTTCATCTTCCTGTTTCTCTAGTGCCCTACCTTCGTGATGACGAAGATGAAATCAAAATTAAACCTCTGGTACAATAGTCCTGTTCCTCTTCGAAATCAAAATTAAAATAATAGCCTTAAGATTTCTTACGCATCGAAGAGAGTCCCGATCGCAAACACCGGCTCCTCTCACGCGAAACGCCCATTTTTTCAAGGTGTAGTAGGACAAGAACGAGGAGAGATATTAAAACTTTTTAATACGACTACGAAGTCAAATACAAAACTGCTAGTCGATACGAAAGAGAAATTTCGTCTGAAGTAGAATGACACAAACAGTAAATGATCATAAACACTCTTCAAGAAGGGTCTTGTTCTCTATGTAATGTACAGGCTCACTTTCTACTTGATTGAGGCTCTCTTGCGAGGTAGAATATGTCTTTTGTTCTGTTCATTGCAAATCAAGAACGTCGCTGCATCTTCGAACAAGTTCTATCAAATTCAAGACCTCGATAGCAGACTTCGTTCCTTCCCGCTATCCGGGGGCACGTCGAAACGCTGGGGCGACTGCGTCTTTCTTATATTTGAGCTGCTCTCGTTCAACAAGATGTGATCCAGTTCCCCTGTTCCGCAAATATTGAAAGAGTAAGAAGATGAAGAAGATGATGATCCTAGTCGTATGAGTATGAAGATCATCATCATGAACATGATGGAAATCATTGCATTCCTATGGTGACAAAGATCACAGCACTGGAACACTATGCCAATGATGTGGATCCTTATCGTGATACTTATGAACAAGAAGGTCCACACATTTGACAACTTTGCAACCGCATGAGAATCATGCAAAACCTTCACGATTTGCACAACTGAAACAAGCCGGGAATTATATAAAAAACGCATCACCTTGAGGGTGAAAATATACAGTCCTAGTGTTCGCAAACAGTGAGTTATTAGCCTTTTATACGCGCACTAGAATAATTTTTTTTGACTTAGAACCCACCAAATTTTTGACTTTTTTTGGTCTAGCATTTTTTTTGGTTTTTTTAGGTTAGAAAAGTTTGGCGCTTTCGTTCCTGTGCGCAGTGGTAGCCCCGATTCAGTCGGATTTTGGCCCCACGCGTTTCTCCAGGCGGCATTGTTCTTCGATACGTCGAGAGCGATCCCGTCGACCCTAAAGCAGACTCAGTATCTGCTTCACAAAAATAAACCAACTTTAGCCCAGTGGCGGGGCAACTAAAACAAAACAGAAAAGGCACCAAGCTCCCGACTTAGTCGGCAGCAGCCATAAACAAAAGTCTGTAGCTGTTCGGGTGTGGCTCCTCGACAGTAATTCAGATTAGCTTTGGTTACGACCTCAGCTAGACAAGAAAAAAAAAAAAGTATCACGGTACGACCGGAGACAGGGCAAAGCCGTCGCCACGGCCCACCTAAAGACCCTCGGACTGAGTCCGACGGCACCTAAGAAAGAGAAAAACGAGCTTTCGCGAAACGCGACTGCTTCAAAAGCAAAAACCTGCGCTCGCCCAGGCGACCGCAACCCCACAAAAAGACGCGTCCTTCTTCGTTTGGCGGAGAAGTTCGTGCGCCCGAAACCCCGGAAGGGGCGATATCGCGACACACGGCTGCGCGTCCATCTAACACCTTGTCTTTTTTCGGCAGATTTTGTTATTTGACCTTTGACGTGAGTCGGATCCCGTGCAAAGTCTCCCCATTAAGAGGCTTGCTCAGTGGGAAAGCTAGCTGCAATTTGCCAAGGCGCGATATTTCGGGTGCTTCGGTGGTGATCAGGATCCCACCCCACTGAGATAAAATGGCCCCAGCCATGAAAATTTACGCTGCGCGCGTGAAGCGCTTGGAGCAGTATGTCATCAGTGGAATGGCGTTTGTCTACATTGAGCCAGAATACTACAATGCCGAAAGAAAAGGCAGCACCAAGTACAGGCGCGGCATCATCAACGTTGACGGCTCACCTGACTACGAAGATGCCGAAGTAGACTGCTACCCCTCGGAAGCACATGGCGGAGGCAGATTCGTCTACTGCAAAATCAAGAGGGAAGATTGGCCTGAGGGTGCTAAACCTCTGAAAGAGGGAGACCCACTCTGGGACGAGCGAGTTCTGAAGTCGCAAACTGATGCTTGTCTCCAGGAGATAAATACTCTCAAAGAGGGCAACGAAGTCGGTGAAATCTACAGTAGCCTAATCGACAACGATACGGACTTCGTCAAATCGGACGAAGAGGAGGACCCCTCGCAAACGGGTGAGGAAACCCCTCCACCGGCGGAGGAGGATGAAGACAAAACACCGTGGAAAGCGGTGGAGTCGCGCCGCAGGATAAAGGTCGAGCAAAACATAGTGCCACTCAAAAAGATTGAGGAGCACGATATGTGGCTCAAGAAGCTCGCAAAGTTTCGCGCGACGTATGAGCGTCATCTCGATCTGGATGATCTCGTCTATCGCGTCGAGCAGTCCACCAAGATCGGACAAGAATGCGCCGACCACCTTGCGACGAAAACCTTCGCAACCGTCGAGGAACTGCTGGAAGAACTAGAGCGGTGGATAAATCCCCGTCAACAGCAGAAAATCTGGGATGACTTTTGGCAGCTCATCGAGTTCCAAGCATCCTCAAAAAACGTTGTCAGCGCGGAGCGAGATTTCCGCATCATATATGCCAAAGTCAAGGGCATGACGATGGAGCAGGTTGCATGAATGTGCTACCTCAAAGGCATCGGGAGTGACATCCCTTCGCAAGAAATGCAGGGAATCCAAAGAGACCTCAGAGGCGACTTCGAGTTGGAGAATGTGGCCAAGGAAACAAAATACTCCTTGCGTAACAGAGTCAACTTGGACGGGCGCGCTGCTACACGCACGCCGGGCGCTGAGGAAGTCTTTCAAGTCACGGACCCACCTGCAACATTCAAACAGCATAAAGCTGGCACTTGCTACAACTGTGGCTCTTCAGCGCACACGATGTGGCAATGCACCAAACCAATCTCCGAACAGGCAAAGAAAATACTCTCCAGGCAGGCTCAAAAGAAGACAGAGGTCAGTGGAAAAGGTAAAGGTAAGGGCAAAGGAAAAGGTAAAGGAGGAAAATATGGAGGACCGCAAAACAAGGATCAGCCTAAGGGCATGGCTACCAATCCATCCGGGTCAGGCAAGAAGAAGGACGGCATCGCCTCGCACATCACAGTGCTCGGCGGCGCTGTGCCGCCGTTGTGACTCAACAGCGAATCTCAAAAGAGAAGGATGGAAAACCTTGGGACGGGATTAGTATCGTACTCGGTCCCCGTGCCCAAGGTAAGAAGATCCAGTGGCGGGTGGCGTCCACCTGGATCAGAGAGTCTCCATGGGATGCATGGAGCAAAGGAACGAAGTGTGCATTTGATTGGATCGATTTCCTTCGTGAGAAGGGAGCTGATCTCGTCAATGCTATTGACAGAGACAGTCTGGCGCCGCGACAACCTCCTTCGTGTGCGTGCAGGCAAGACTCGCAAAAGGATGGGCGTCCCATCTGCGAGCCAGTCGTCAGCGAGGGCGACCAAAAACAACTTCTCGACACGTCGCAGCATCAGTCCGCGACGGGACAGAAAGAAGGAACTCGGCAGCCCTTGGATCAGGCGCGCATGCGCACGGTTCAAGAATTCGAAAGCATCCTTCTGCACACTGTCAGCGATGAGATCGAAACTGAGTGGATCTTAGACAGTGGAGCCACAATATTTTGTGTCAAAGACTCCAACATGATCCGTGCTCCGACCAAAGACGGCGGGAAAATCCAACAAGCGGATGGGTCGCATGTTTATGGCGGTTACATGGCATCACTACGGACACTAACGGCAGACAACGGGCATAAGTTGGCCCTTCGCCGTGCGTACTATAGTCCGAAAATGGCGCGAAATATCGCCAGTCTCAGTATGCTCCTGGACGCAGGTTTTACCGTCACAGAAAATTTCGACGGACTGCGAACACCTAGCGGGACGCTGATCCCAATCACAAAGAGGGGAGGACTATACTTCTTCCGCCTCAACTACAGGCCTAACCTGGACTCGGGAGAGCTCAACGTGACCCAAGAGGTCATCCACAACAGGATGGGGCATTCAACATACATGCCGTCCTGTGAGGCTTGCCGACTGAACAAGGCTCGCCGGAAACCGTTCAGCAAAGAAACGCATGGACGACTCCTCCCGACCGAAGCTGGGCACACAATCAGCGTGGACCTTTGCGGGCCGCTACCTGAATCGATAGGCGGCAACCGCTACTGGGCCATCATCGTGGATAGATATGACTCGTGGGTAGAAGTCTTCCCAATTGCGCGCAAAAGCGACGCATACACCGGACTCCAGAAATGGATGGACATGTTTGGAGTGCCGAAAGTCTGCCGCTCGGACAACGGAAAAGAATTGGACGGCGACTTCCTCAAACTGTTGAGAAAGCACGGCATCAGGCCGCGCAAGACATCACCGTACTCACCGGCGCAAAATGGTAGCGCGGAAGTTCATAATCGCCTCGTCATGCAGGGGATGAAGTGTCTCCTAGATACAGCGCGACTCCCGGACACCTATTGGGGTTTCGCGGCACAGGCATTCTGCTATGCATTAAACAGGTCGCCACGCGCGATACTCGGGAGCGTGAGCTCCTACGAAAAGCGTAACGGGGTTAAGCCCGGCGCGCAGCATATGCGGACCTTCGGGACGCCTTGCCGATACAAAAACTTCGTGAAAACGAAGATGGAGCGCGCGTATCTTCCAGGTATTTTTGTAGGATACTCGCATATATCGCCAGACTATTTAGTCTGGGACGAGCAGAAGAAAAAGGTCATCAGGACCAGGGAAGTAGACTTTGGCGCGGAGCCAACATACAGGGGGGATTCATCCCGCCCATCCATCGCTCCCGAAGCGAAACCAGACAAAAGTGGAGACAGTGGACAACCAGAAAAGGCTGACGCCGCACAGTCGGGGTCCGTAGTCCGTCCCACGCGTGATATGTTGGAGAAGCTCCAAGTCCCAAAGAATCTGAGTCGGTATCAACTCTTCAGCTGTGGAGACAAAATCCCCGCCAAGCTTAAGCGCCTCGGCGCGGCTGTTCTCCGAGTCAATAAATATTTTCCAGCTGATCCAGCTAGGTACATTCCAAACAGCACAGGCCTCTGTGCTGAAGTGTCTGACGGTATCAAGACACACGAGAACTACTCGCAATTCCTCAGTGATGCGACCAAGCTTCTCAAAAAGAGCGGAAAGCTCGTGCTCCAGTGCTCGAAAGGTCGCCGTAGATCAGTGGCACTCGCGGAAGCGCTCCGTGAGGAAATGGGCCTAGAGAGTCGGCCTGTACACCTTAACCTGCAGCGAGAACTGGAGAGACGCAGTAAGCACAAGGAAGAAGAGACCTTACTTCCCAGTGGACACACTGCGGCAGTCACATTCATCGAGAACCTGTCCCCTCAGAGTGTCGACTTCATAGCCAACATCATCGAGAATCAATCAGAAATCGAGACTGGCGACACTACGGACGCTCTGACCCCCGATGAGTATGTCCTCCTGCTAAGGACCCTGACGCGAAAACAGGCACTCGCAGAGGATCCAGGAGGCTGGGCCGCCGCGCTGGCGTCAGAGCTAAACTCGATCAAGGGACGAGACGCATTCGATGAAATATCGGCCAACGACCTGCCTCCAGGAGCGAAGGCTGTGCCGATACGAGTGCTATATAATGTCAAAGAGTGTGGGCGACTCAAGTGTCGCGCCGTCGTGCTCGGAAACCGAGTAGAATACCAAGAGAGCACCTACTCGCCCGCCCCTCGGATCCCAAGCATTCGGCTCATGTTCAAGATAGCCATGGCGCTAGACTTTGATCTCGAGCAATATGATGCCAAGACAGCTTTCCTATATGCAGACATAGTCGGCGAGGACGTCTACTGCATACCACCCCCCGAGTGGCGCAAAGGAAAGGAAAATGTCCGATGGAAACTCAAGAGAGCCCTGTATGGATTGAAAAGTGCTCCAGCTCTCTGGGCTAAGACGTTCGCAAGACACGCCACCAGCTCCGGTTGGAAACAGAGCTTAAACGAACCGTCCATGTTTTTTCACGGCGAGCGCCGTGCGTGCATGCTCGCATACGTGGATGACATAGTCTTTCTAGGTCGGAAAGAGGACATAGCCGCGGTTCGAGGCTCGATCCTCGACAGGTTCGAACACAATACGTGTGAACCGCAAAAGCTCGAGGACGGCGGACTACTGTATAAGTTTCTAGGCATCAACGTTCTCAAGAAGAGACGCAGACTGGCCTTGAGTCAAGAAAATCTGGTCGATAAGATTCTGCAGGACTTTGACCCAGATAAAACTCTGAAAGAGTGCGATACTCCCATAAGACGGGCGGAGATAGATCGTTTCGCAAAAGAGCTTTCTGAGAAATCTCGCCCGAAAATCGCTACACGCGTACAAAAATCGACCTACCGGAAGTTTGTCGGTGCGGTCATGTACCTATGTACATCGACACGGTATGACATTGCTTATGTCGTTCAATACCTATCCACATGTCTAGAGGAGCCCACGCCAGTGGCCCTGCGAGTGTGTGATCGATTATTAGGATATCTCCGCAAAACGCGGAGCTTCGCCCTAGACATTGATGGTCGCGACGGTGACTTAACTCCAAAAGCTTGGTCAGATGCTGACGGGGGAACATGTAAAAAGACCCGTAGATCGGTCAGTGGAGGTCTCGTCGAATTAGGCCAAACCAAGTGCACGCCTATCGCGTGGCGAAGTAAAAAGCAGCCTGTCGTAGCACTATCAACGACAGAGGCGGAGCTTATAGCCGCGACTGAAATCGCGCGGGAGGCGGTTTACCTCCGGAGACTACTTCAGGAATCTCTTGAAAATCTAGGCAATAGCCGACAATCAAAATCGACGGATCCACATGGCCGTTTGAAAAAGTCTCTAGCTCCAATTCCTTTAATGATCGATAACCGAAGCGCGAAAGCGGTCGGCGAATCGCCAGAAGTTCGCCGGGTCAAGCATATGGGTCTTAAATTACTCTGGATCCGCCAAGTTGTCGGAGAAGGGAAATTCGATCTACACTTCTGCCCCACTGACGAGCAAAAGGCAGACATCTTCACAAAGGCACTTAATAAGCCGACACTTGTGAGTCTATGCCATAAAATCGCAGGAACAAAACCCAAAAAGTAAACTTAATTTTTTTTCTACTCATCGAGGCGCGTTGTCGGGTCTCGTGTGTATTTATACTTGCATCTTTTAAGTTCGTAAAACGTTATCGGATTTTCATGCATATTCCTGCTTACTGTTTCGAAGCTTGTTTTTCGTCTTTTTCTAGCTGGGTTCTAGTCATAAATATTGAGTGCGCGTATAGTATTTCTTCAGTAGTTTACCGTTGTATTTTGTAACTATCTAACATTATAGATTACAACCACCCAAAACAAAAAAAACAAAGTGTCGGGCTTCGCGTGAGTAATCGTTCCGAAGGAGCCTCAACGACTACAAACAAGGGACGGAGGCTTGGCGTCAATCTTTGGTGTCAGCAATCCGAGGCAACGAGGTGTCACTTGCTACAAGACCCCCCTCGCCTGCTTTTCCAGCTGATCTCGGAGTAAAGAGCCACATCTTCTACGAGATCATCGAGCGACACGTCGCAACTTTGAAAGGATGTAGGTCGGGCGGCGACTATGCAAAAGCGTTCCAACTATGCTTATCGTGCACGCTTGTCCGAGAGGAGAATGTTTGGAAGGAGTGGATAATCAACCACGGTCCGAACATGGATTCTCACTACAGTCGACAGTGCTCGGATATGGGTCTTGCTCTGCAGACTGAGTACTGGGACCTGGCAAGGAAAATGAGGAAAGAAGGAAGCGCATTCTTCCACAATTGTATTCTACGTTTAATTTACGCTCGGGAGACGGTGAGTAACCTGGATGCCGTTGGATCCATGGGAGTTATGGAGAATACAATCAACCTCGTTCAAGCCTGTCCAACGTCGACACGGGTGTCCCACAAAATCGCACCTGGGAAGCAAGCTCCTTCTTCTTCTAGTAGTTCCAGTAGTAGTAGTAGTAGTAGTAGTAGTAGTAGTAGTAGTAGTTCGGCGACGAAGAACGGCAGCAGCTACCACAAAGGAAAGGGGAAGCAAGCGGCGCAGCAGCCGCACAAAGGAGACAAAAGCAAAGGCAAAAAGGGGAAAGGTAAACAAGAAGACGGTGGAGCAAAAGGGCCGCCGCTGAAGAAAGCCAGAAAAAAGGGAGAAGCAGCACCAGCAGAGGCAGCACCGGCGGAAGCAGCCGCTGCCCCTGAGGAAAACGGAGAAGAACAAAACAACGCTGAGAATGTTGCTGGAGAAGACTTTGGAGAAGGACTCTAAGTCTTGCATATATATACGTGGCTACGTAGAAATAGCCTATGTTTCTAATATTGTGCAACAAAAACTATTCACCTTCAATCATAACACGCATCACGTTTTTTTTCCGTATTATATTCATTCGCTGGAATATAGTCGAACTTGCAACCACTTTTATTATTGTAGTCTACACGTCATTCATTAGATGGAGTATAGATTAAGGGGGGATATGATCCAGTTCCCCTGTTCCGCAAATATTGAAAGAGTAAGAAGATGAAGAAGATGATGATCCTAGTCGTATGAGTATGAAGATCATCAGCATGAACATGATGGAAATCATTGCAATCCTATGGTGACAAAGATCACAGCACTGGAACACTATGCCAATGATGTGGATCCTTATCGTGATACTTATGAACAAGAAGGTCCACACATTTGACAACTTTGCAACCGCATGAGAATCATGCAAAACCTTCACGATTTGCACAACTGAAACAGGCCGGGAATTATATAAGAAACGCATCACCTTGAGGGTGAAAATATACAGTCCTAGTGTTCACAAACAAGATGCAACATCAACATAGATATAAATTGGATGAAGGCAGTAAGACCATGGAAAACGAGCAGGAGCCGGGTACTTTAGGTTAGTTTAGTACTTGAGGACGTAGCGTATCGCCGCCAGCTCTAGGTTCTTGTAGAATTTTATTGGCTCTTCAGTATCCGCCCTCGTCTGCCAGTTTTCCTGGTAAGCCCACACCTAACGTAAAATAGCCTCGGACATCGTAGACATGAATGTGTTGTGGACTAACTACACGAGGATCTTCATTCTTTAAATCACTCCAGTACCGATTGAGGCTTTCCTTTTTTCATCAACGTAGCAGCTGGAGGAAGTAGATGCAATACAATACAATACAATAGAGACAATTTTTTTTTTGTATCGCGGGCGAGTTCCGTAAAGAACCTGCCTACATATTTTCCGCGTAGATACCGGCGTAGGGGGGAGTTCTTAGTGCATGAACGAGGACCTTCACGACCTTCAAGAACCTGTGTTCTATTCAAATTTTCTCTGTGGAGGTGAAAGAATTTTCATAGGAGGTGCAGGAGCACAACATATTCCACCACCAGCGAACACGAACCAGTTCTCAAGAACAACTTCGCAGATACGTGGGATTCACCACCAACAGCTCCACCACTAGAAGCAAGGCTTCCTCGGTGTATGCTTCTATTGTTTTCATTTTCAAGGCCATCGGCTTCCTCCTTATTAGTAAATTGTCTTCCCTCGACAATTTTGCGACGCGTCAACGTTAAGGTCGTATTCCTAGTATCCATTTGATTCTTACAGATCCAGTGTAAGCTCGTGTTCCTAGTATCCATACACTTAGTTGTAATATCAAGATAAAACCACTAGATCGCACGATCAACATGTATATGTAATAACGAGATATAGAATTGTGGTGCACGAACTTCAAGATGAATAGATGAAGCTTACTGCAGTGACTGCTGCGCGAGCAATTATGTCGGATAGTATGAACGATCAAGCCGATGGCTACTTATTCTTGTCAGTCCTCTGTGGCCTCAAGGCTTCTCGGTCACCCAAGTAGATTCTTGATGCTGCCCAACATCAGACGACTCTTTAACTCTATGTATTTCTTTTACATTCTTATCATCTAAAAAAATCGATATTCTACATTCACGATGATGGCTTGGCAGTTCTACGAACTCCTCCAGAAGGACATGAGCAGTAGCATGTATAACAGCTGATGATCAACATGTTGAGTTCATGATTGTGGTCCTGATTCTCCTACTTCGTAGACCTCCTGTTGAAGTTGTTTGCCTAAGTACATTTTTGATCATCCTTAGTTATTAGAAGTATTGAATTTATTACGACAACATGGACGACCAAAGAATCTTGTTGTACAGGAAAATATTACTATCGTTTAATAATGATGACAGACTGAGAATTACTTCAATTTTTAGACTTATGTTTTCATTCCTTATCTGATTTTTTCCCACGTACTCCTGCGTTTAGAAGTACTACTACATTTTAGAAAGATCAAAGATGCTAAGAGCATTCACATTAGTTTTAGTTCATTCAACAGTGCGATGATGTAGGTGTCTTGATAGGTAAATACAGCATCTTAATCTTACTCTTACAGTCATTGATAATTCGACGTAATGCTTGAAGCGCTAGTAGATGAAACACGAAGTCATGGTCAACAGAGGTAGTGCCAACATTGCGGCTCTTCCTCCTCACATGATTTCATCTCTTAGAAGTAGTAGCTTGGTCTATTGTGTTCGTGTGTACTACTGGTTTTGGCAATAAACAAGGGTAAGCACTTGCTAAACGGCGTTAGCCACGTTACAAACCATTGCTGACGTCACACTGTAGACCAACTACCCCCAAGATGAAGACGAGCAGGTTTATTTTCATTCGCTTTGTTTCCTAGAAGTACAGATGCAGTAGGTGAGAAAAACCACTCGCGTTCCTCTCCTTGTTGCAACGGTTATTCTAGTAATCGTTCAACTCCCTTCGACGTAAGTAAATAAAACGACCCTTAACAAGATTGGTGATGAAGCCTCCCCATCTACTTCAGGTAGAGATGCAGATGTGAAAAGACTCCGCACCGATGAGAAAAATAGCCCTTGGTCGTCCAACCGAACCGACCGACCCCACCATAAGAAGTACGACAACTAGAACTAGTGTCATCTTCGTCCTCTACAATGAGAAGACTAGATGACACATCATTCTCGTACTTCCCCCACCTCTTTTTTTTCCAAATCAAGTTCATGCAAGAAGTTAGCAGCACTTCTCGGCGTCCTCCTTCGCCTTCTTATCGGCTGCTGCTTTTGCCTCAGCCTCTTCGGCCTTCGTTACTTCAGCCGCTGCCACAGGTTCCTTCTTCTTGTGTACCTCCTCAGCCGCTTCCTGGTCTCATGTTAGAGCTTGGGATTTCAAATGATTCACTCTTCAGTAATATTTAATGCTGTCGTGGTCCTCTTTATAAACATACTCTTGGCATCTCGTCTAGTCGTGATTCTTGTTCTTTCAGATTAGTAGTAAAGAACGATGCTGCTTTTTTCAGATTGTTTTCATCTAGTTCTAGGAAAAGGAACAATCAGGTTAATAATAATATATATAAAGTCTCTTCTAGGAACTGGGTTAATCCTTTTAATAGATGTAGACCTCATCACTAAATATATAAGAACTCACTATTAAGTCGCCTTTGCTTTCCGTGCCCTAAGGGTGGACATTAGAAAAGTATTAAAAGTATGTTTTCGAGAGGGATGACTCTATTGATGTCCACCAAGGCACATTAGAGGAAAAAAGTACTCCTGTATTGAATAAAAGGCGAGTCGTCATGATCAACAGGAGTAGGTTGTACAACGAACGCAGTGGATGTACTTACATGTAGCATGTAAAAGATACATTCATTTAGTATCGATGAATAACTCAAGCATGTTGTAAAATAAAGATAGAAGATTTTTATCAATCATTTTTCCTTAATGCCTGGGCTTGTGCGCGTTCAATTGCGCCCATGTCCAATTTCTCTTGTTGCGTGGCTGGGTAATCCAAGGTCTTTTCGGCACAACAAGCGTTGACGAAGCTGTTGACCATGCCGATCAGGATTAGAGAGGGCACGACGGACACCTTGTTCGTAGTTTTAGGTAGCTTGCTTTAGGTGAGTGAAGAAGATGAAGAAGACTTCGAGCAACGAAGAACCGACTTCGAGGAACGAAGGCCCACCACTATCTCGATCCCCGTAGCCATTTTGGCTCAAGGGTTGTCATTCGGCCGCATATAAATAGGTCTGCTTTCGCAGGTTTAGGCTAGCGCTCAAGGCCGATAGAACTTATATATAAGTTCGCGCATATATTTTTTGCGCTTATGCTCCTTTTTTACGCATGAGGTAAGGCGTTCCGGGCGATCTTCATTACTTCTGACTAAATTGCATTAGCTACTCTGGTGGAGGGTCCAATCTTAGTAGCTTTTAGGTGAGTGAAGAACATGAAGAAGATATTCTTGATGTTATAGATATTAAAGATATTCTACAGAACAAGAGAGCGACTGAGAAGGCAAGAACGGCCTTCAGACAGCCCGACCGCGCTACACCGCCAGGCGCTAGCACCTACCCACAGGCGCCGCCTCCTGCACACCTAGCCCGACATGCCATAGTTGGCGGCGGTGACTGTGAAGCCTCGGCATACCATAGTCGACCGCAACGACGACCAACATAGCATAGCACACACAGAGCACAAAGAAATCCGGCGGGATCGAACGCGTCGCCCGGAGCGCATCGATTTCGATACAAACAAACAAAGATACTCTACTTATGATGTTGATGATGTGAATCTATTCGGCAAGTTGCCTTTGCCTAAAATGCTTATATCTATAAGTCTTTTCTTCAAGATGAAGATGAGCAGGACAAGAACTTCTCGTCCTCATACAACTACGCGAGGGGCGCATTTTGTTCAGTATCATACTTGCAAGGGACCTGCATGGTAAAGATATTTTTTAGAACAAAATTTAGACTACTCAAAGGTATCAGTAACTGGCTCCTAACTTATGCCTCCAAATACTTAATTGTGTACGTCGGCACGAGCAAATTGATCAGCTTCACGTCGGCGTGAACAGCTGCAACAATTAAATCTTCATCTTGTTTTGTGTTATAAATCATAATATAGAGTATTAATGACCGACAGAGAGGACTGAGTAATAGATACAAGCCTTAAGCGATCGGTGTTCGAATCGCCACCGAACATCAACATGGGGGCGAACGTATTGTGGTTGTCCATGAACTCTGCCAGATGCTTCTTGTAATCGTATCCTTGGTGCCCAAGCGTCGGCTCGACGGGGTTGGCCCTGGCGCCGGCTCTGGTATCGGGTTTCGGCATTCGTGGCAAATCCCCCTCTTTCTTCGCGTCGGTGTTGGCAAAAAATTCCACGATCTCTTGCAGTTTATTGTTGTAGTGTCCAGCGTGGGTTTCGTCAATGCCGACACGGGGGTACATTAGAGGAGCTGCAGTTTTAGTAATGGCTCGCTCATACTGTATGGGGGGGGGGTACATTAGAGGAGTATGGAGCTGCTTAAGTAATGGGAGTACATTAGAAGAGGAGCCGCATAAGTGTGACTATTTTCTATTACCCAACTAATAAATTCAATAAGTACTTACTTCTACCACCTATTGCGACTGCGAAGCCACTCATGGTCAGTTGAGACGAAGTTTTGTCCGCCTAATAAAACAGTCCTATGAGAAGATCTACTTGACGAGACAACAGGTAGTTCAATTGCTATTGCTTGTCTTGTTAGTAAAGAAAAAAAAAAGACGACGTCACCAGCCATAAACGCAGCGTCTTGCCTCCGTGTTTTTCGCAGACCTGGCTTGCAGTATACTGCATACGCAGGAACGGGGTTGTAAGCGCAGCATATTCCTCCAGGGTTGCCTTATCTTTCGGCTCCTTGTTGCCTTGACGAAGCTTCCTCTCTGCTACGCTCTGCACGAGAATCAATTGATCAACGAACGGAATTAGAGGAAGAACTAGATATTTATTACAACAGCCTCGTCCTCGGCACTTAGTTCAGACAAAGCTCCAGAAGTACTCAAGGAAGAATCACGTCAAGGAAGAATCACGTCAAGAAAAATTCTTAGGCGTTCTTGTAGTACGGCGTACACTTTATAGAAGCCGACACCAATAGTTTCACTATGTTGTTGTCTATCTCTAGTCGGCTTAACTTGATGCAAGCCACCTGCTCGGGCTTAGATCCGGATGCTCCGCGTTGCACTTGCGATTAGAGCTCAGCACAATACTTAATTCATCCATATATATTTTTCCAATTATATTCTCACAACCCAAGAAGTAGGTACGAAACAGGGAAACAGACGCTGTGTTGATGTTGAATAAGATGAATTGCGAGAAAAACGCTGTGTCTTCATAGTGAGCAAATAGGTTAGGCTAGGTTATGGATCCTTCACATCGACATCGACGCAACTACTTATATAGAATAAGTAGTTGCGTCGAGCCTTCTGGATCGATCCTTCCTATAATAAATATAATGAGCCTTATGGATCCTTCACATCGACAAGTACCTACTAGATGCTTTACAATTACAAATCATGAGCCTTAATGATGAGCAAGCTTGACGGCGGACGCACCATTGCCCAAGAGGGCTGCGGAAAGAGCGATCTGCTTCACCGACATTTTCTTGGTTGAAATTGTTCGCAAAAGAACAAGATGCAAGTGTTTCAATCAATTGATTATGAGGAAGAAAAAGTTTTTGAAGAATGAAGATGAACTTTTTAATGACTCTTGTTTTCTGATTTTTCTTTGCTACGTTTCAATCCAGGGGATCGGGAGAAAAACCAACGATATCTACTGCGCTGTTGTGGGTTTTTTTGAAAAAAAATGATATTCGGAAGGATCGACATCGCTTGAAGTTGAAGATATCTGAAGATGAATTAATTATTACTTCTCGACTCGACAGTAGACCACTCAAACGACACGGCCGCGCGAGACAGAATGACATCGCTCCCTCAGTTTCTCACGACAGAGGGAATCAGCTGGGCAGCACTCAATCTCTCACCACGACAGAAAAATGCCACACCTTTGAATTTGATCTGTCCTAGTAGTTCCTTCTCATGAAATCCTTGGTCGACGCAATCCCTCTTCGAGAGCACGATACAGACCTCCACTTTCATCGCTGACAAACAGAATTTTTCAGAAATCACTTCTCAAAAAATCTCACGAGAAATCGATGACGTCCCGAAACGCAAATAATCTATGACCTCGTCTATGCAGTAAAAGTAGACAAAAATTTCCTCGAAGATGTCACTTTTCTGCATACGTTACTGAGACGCTAATTTACTCGTACGAAACTTCTTATATGCCTGAGCGAAGAAGAAGATGGTGATGCAGGTGGATGGCAATCATGAATGTCGACCGCGATCGAGCCCGAGTCGGACTATTACCTATTCTTGTAGATACTAAGAACTCCTTTACGTTGAGCCCTCGCACTTCTTCTAGTGGCGCTGCCTCTTTTTGTCCTCCGCTCCTGTCATCGTCATGCCCTTCCTCGTCTTGCCTGAGACTTCTTTTCCTTTTCCAGAGCTCCATTTTCATGCTCAACTTGACTCCTTTTTTATTGGGAGATTACATTCACTTTCACATCTAGTTTGTCGGCATTATCTAAATCGGGAGCGAAAAACAGTAATAGTACTTCTTCTATGATCGAGTCATAATAAACTTCCCCCTGTGTGTGTATGTTGCAAGTAGCTCCCCCCTCTAGTACCTGTAGCTAGTACATCCATGCTCTTCCTGATGTTGATGATGTGTGATGTACCAATAGTACTAGCTAATGCTTATCGTAATTCAACATCATCCTGATTACGATTAAGTACTCTCACGAAGATATTATCGATTTTGATTTCGTCACTTGCACTGAATTCGACGACCAAAATAGGTACAGGGACACATGAAGAAGCCTACGATATTGCTGCAACAACATCATTCTTCTTGCTACAACGACAACTACAACTATTGATTATGCTTATGGTAGGTACAGGTAGCACGAAGACTATGTGAAGATTTTTGAGGACAGTCTCATACATTCTTCTTGGAACGACAGTCCTTCTACAATAGCATAAGACGACGAGTGGATTCATTTACTCCGCTAAGAAGTAGTCGCTTCGTAGATTTTGTGGAAGTAAATCTAGAACTAATATGAGTCTCTTCATTTATTTTCAGGAGCGACAGCGAGTCATCTCTCTTTGTCAAACAATGTTACGTACTCAGGTGAGATATATCTTCAAGAAGAGTTGCAAGAATATTCAGAATTACATATGTAGATTTCTTATTGCCTATGTCATGTCATAATGTTGTGTTGTCGACGTTGGTTTTGTTATGAAGTCGTGTTGTCCTTGTCTTCCTTGTCTCATTATCGAGTTCAATTGTATGTCTATGTCTATGTTTTACTGTTTTGGAGTATGTAAGAACGGTAATTTGATGCAACAAGATGCAAAACACTATATTTATCATGGTAGACGTTGACGTAGATTCTTATGGTTCACTTGATATGGTTACTTCAGTACTATAATTTACAGTTGTACAACAACATGTGTGGTCATTCATGGTGTCCACACTCCAATGTACTCTTCAGCATACATTTGAATGTCGGAAGAGTACATTTGAATTCTTACTACAGCCTACTCGTAAATCTCCTTTCTCGACGAGGATCATCTGTAGTACAGTATATGACTCATCCAGTGCGAAGAATCATGACCACATCAACTACCTCGTGGTCGTGTCTATACACAACGGCTTTATGACGCAGCAATAGAGAAGCAGCCCACCCACTACGCATGCGATAATTATGCCCGTGATGCAGACGCTCTTCAGGAGCTGTCTTTTCCACTCATAGCTCGCCTGACTCACCTCCGCCTGCTCTAGCTTTACTACACCTTCACCGACAAAATGATCCGTCGAGTTTACCTGGAACATGATCAACATGATCAAAAAACTCTAACTCAATACTTTTCTACTCATAAACATCAGCATATCTTGTTCGTATTTCTGTAATAAGGAGCCTATTTTTGGTTCGCTTCCGATTGGCACGACCCTGCTCTATCAATGATAGAAAAAATAAGTCCACAACAGACACCATAAAAATTCCTATTGATTACACCTCCCGTGCTCCAAGTTAGAAAAAGGAAAAAAAGGAAAAAATACGTGTTCTTCTATCGTCTTCAAGGTTGCGGTTTGCTTGTCGACTAATGCGGAAAGGTAGTTGAAGAGCTCTCCGAGTTCAATCACGTTCTGTTCTAACTCCATGATTGCATCATGATCACCCTGCAGCGATTGTAGCTGCTCTCGGAGCTGTGTTGTAGTCGATAGGATGAGCATAGTCGGTTTGGTAGCAGTTGTACTAGGTATGCTTTTTCTAGGAAGAACAGAACCAGGGTGATAAGGTTGCTGCTGGTGCCTAGTAAGTTCTTGAGATTTATTTGACTATATTTTCATCTATAATACTATGTTTGTTGCATTTACTTACTGTTACTACTTACAACTTCTGGCGTTACTCATGTCGGTGACGTCGACCCCGTCGTCGTCTCCGTGATCCCGAGTACATTCAAATGAATATGAAAGTGAGAGAGTCTAAGAAGGTCGACAAAAAAATATAATGTTATATTTTACCGAGATATCATCGGTGTCCTGATGCCCTTGTTTAAGCATTTGTTCAAGCTCTTTCTGATTTTTTCCCAGGAGCTCCTCTACATCCTGTTTTGATGCCTCTGGATACATTGTATGCAATTGCTTTTTTAGTCTCCCCTTGATGGCAGTGTCGAAGTTACCTGATGAACGGAGGTGTTGTTCTTGGTCGTGAGAAAGTAGAAACAATCATGATCAGATAAAATAAACCCAGGAAGACCAATTCCAATGAATTGTAGTACTTCTTCAACCAAAAAGGGGCTGCTCTCTGACAAAGGTCTGCCGGATTAACGTGTCATCTGAGACTGACACTCAGTAGTAAGTTGTAGTACTCGGTGTAAGAATGACAGATAAGTCACAGAAGTAGAAGACAATACCTTGAGCCGTGAGCAGTCCCTGTACTTTCTGATGGAAGTCTTTGGACTTTTCTTGCAGCAGTGTACTGCAAAAGTCTTTTTCTTGTCTGGTTAGGGTCTGCGACTTTCGGCTATTGAGATTCTCTAAATCGTCCAAACATGCTTTCACTTTGGCATTGTATCTGGTTTTTTTATGGTTTGTAGTTGTGCGGACGCTCTCAACACGACGCTAGTTCGTTGTATACAGAAAGTAGAGCAGGTCTCTACTGACCTTCAAGATCTCTTTTATGACGATCATGACCACGTAAAAATATATTGGAATTAGATGATGAAGTTCCGATTAGATTATTGGTGTTTTTCTTTTCTTTACCATTACCAATTATACATATTTATACTTATCTTTTTCTATACTATGATAGCAGCTGTACTTCTTACCAATTATACATATAGCACTTATCTACTTCTATATTGTTGCACGGGATAAACCTACTTAATATTGTCGAGGTGGAAACTAACCGGTTGTCTTACTACTTCTATACTATACCATGTACTAGTATTGAAAAAGTGGAGAGAGAAGTACTGTTTGCTTTGATCCACGAGGAGCTTCATTTTGTCTACTGCTTCCTGTTGCTCTTGCGAAGTCATCGCACTTCTGACCTGCGTCGCCAGGACATCGATATTATAGGCTACTGTTCCGAGGTCTTCGAGGTACCTGGGCTTGTGAGGGTTGTGCAACCAGAACGGAGAGTTGTGCAACCAGAACGGAGAGTTGTGCAACCAGAACGGAGAGTTGCTACGACAATACTAGAACAACATCAAGTTGTAAAAGTATTTTGCATGATGTAAGGATACTGGAACCAGTAAAAGAAAATTTGTAAGTAGGTGAAAAAAAGCTAAACGAGAGGTTTTTGCCACGAGGCGGAGAATAGAAGACGCAAAGCGGTATGATAGGTTGCCCAGATCAGTATTCCGAAACTGTCGAGGACGATCATGGGACTCTATTTATAACACAGTGCCAATTATGTAAAAAGTACCCTTTCAGATTCTCCTCTATGTCGTACAGGACTTTCATGATTTTCGAGATGCCAGTGCCCGCTCCTCCGCCTCGACTCTTGTTGCTGAAGCCCAACAGATGCGTCTCCTCGTCATCGTCGTTGACTTTAGAGCTAAAATTTTAGCATGTTGTACTGATGTTGTAACCTTCAATTATACAAGTTCGTTGTGGTCATTGACATTAAATTTGAAAACTGAAAGTGATATAGACTCCAAGAAATACAATAGTACATATGTTGTTGCACTACAGTGATGCAGTCTAAAAAGCCTAAAAAGAACACTGAAGATCATAAAAATGTTTTTCTCTTGTTGCTGAGCAGAGTTGTAACAATCTTTCTATCCAAACAAGTAGCGTGGTGTAAGGAGCTGGGTTTAAAAATCAAGGTATACTTACTCTATCTAGTACTGCAAAATGTCCTTTTAAAAATGTAGAGGTTGCAGTTGCTGAAGCCGTAATGTCAGCTAGATTCCCAAGCTTATTCTTCCCACCGTATTTCGCCATCCTTCCTCTTTCTTGTGAGTCAGAAGACGTGGTCTTGTGGTGAAAACACCTGCTAGCACCAGGAGAAGATGTGCAGCTCGCTGCGCTGGGCTCGTCCTTTTACAAGCACTTGTCTGCACCAGGAGAGGAGGCCGCGCGAGCACCTTTTACAAGCACTCCCCTGCCGCTGTAGTACTACCGGAGTTGAAAAAGTAAAAATTCTTGGCTGGAGGAAGCGCAGAGCAGGAACAACTCATTCTTGGATTACAACCACGAAAATCTATTTTGTAGTCCTAGTCTATTCTGACATCACAACGAATGCGATGCCAGTCGTGACTATCGGAGGACGTAAAGATTTTTACAACTTCGATTTTCCACCAAGCAATGGTCGTCGCAGCGATGAACAAGTGGAGGTACGGAGAAAGCAGATTGTTGTCAATATAGCGGCGGGCAAACCTCGTCAATAAGATGAATTTAAAGCCTATTACTACTGGATGAAGCCAAGAATCTGATGAATTTGGCGTAATCGTAAAATGATCATGCACTACAGGATAAGAGGAAGGAGGATAAGAGGGAAAATCGGTGATGAGTTTTGCGTGGTGGAGGTATTAGTTTGTCAAGGAGTTGGCGAGTGAGGGAATGAATTATCTTGAAGACTATGCCTAGCAAGAGATGTTCTTGACGGCTGTCGTCGATTCAAGACTTTGACAGATGCGTTCGCTCTCCACCTCCACGCCAGATGAATCCCATGCAAGCGTGACATTCGCTCAGCACAGAGGACGTTAGCCGTTCCTCAACAGAATCTCAACAGCGACAACTATTTGCGTCACTCTGAGCACAGACTTTCGATAATTCCTCGACAGACAAGCTTGTGCTCTCTCTCAAAGCGGTCACCTTCCGCCTATTGATGTTCGACAAATATAACTAATTGGCTTCTCACAACAGATTTTTGATTCCTTAAGAACCGACCACTTCGCTCTTGGACCCGCGGCCGCCCTCTACTTCTAGTACTAGGAGTTCGCTGCACCCAGTCTAACAGACAGGCTGTTGCACTGGAACTTGTCTGCTCGTGCACTTCATCATCATCTTGAACTTGATAGATTCTCCAAGACACAGCAGAAGATAATGGATTGGCGCTCTTCTTCTAAGTAATTCAGCACGACAGGACTGACAAACGATTTCTCGAGAGGACTGGCATCTAGGCTTTGTTCGTGTTCGACCAGAGCACACTCATCCTCGTCCCTGTCCCTTCTACAAAGCAATGAAAAAAAAATAACGTTTGATGAAAATAGCGAAGATGCTGATCGCCTTAAAAAATTATCTATGTCATGATATAAAAAAAATCTTTTTCATGATAGATGATGACAATCTACTTTTCACATTGTGAAATTCACAAGGACTATATCTATGAAATTGAGTTTGTTTCTATGTACAAACAGAAACAGCTTAAGGGAATCCCCTTAAGGAAGATCGTGAAAAGGCACTTTTGCGTCATCTTAAGGAAAACATATTCATATTATGTATGAGTTTGTATAACGGGAATCTATCGAAGGAATGCCATGATTTCCTCAAAGAAATCCTTTAGAATTATAAGGGAACGGTCTTAATGTTAATTTGTCTTCTAATTAGCACTTTCGTCGATAATTGCTGACCCTCTTTGCAAGTAGTGGTGGACCTAGCTTAGTAACTAGAAAAGAAACGAAAAGAGCAATGAGATGAAAAATCTTTTAGGTATGAAAAATATCATCTTAATCTTTCATTATGCATCACCTAAATCAAACATCTTCGTCTTAGTGTTCCTCAACTGCATCGCCTTCTGTTTTTTCGTCCGCAGGCTCGTCGTCCTCTGCATCATCTTCATCTTCCGGCTCTCGCCCGTCTTGTCCCTTTGGCTTTCGTCCTTCTTGTCCCGTATTAACTTCCTCGACCATATCAACTTCCCCGATGTCGACAACAACTTTTTCGTCCTTGTCCAAGTTTGCTCCATTTGCTGATGCCGTAGTTGCAGTGTTGGGGACCACAACCGGCCCATCATCTTTCTTCCCACCTCCATCTTTGGTGGAAGGAGTAGTTGGCGTAGCACTGGATTAGAGCTCGTCCAGGGTCCAAACGATACTATAATATTTAAATATAAATATAAATATATTCTGCCGTTCATTAAAATATTAAGCCTTGAAAATAAGCCGATGACGAATTAAGCGAGAGATAACAAGTGCCAGAGTGACTAAGGCGTGATTGAAGATGAATTCCTTGAAAATGAGTCAAGTACTTTGAGCCTTAACTAGACGAGGATGCTTCGGGGACCACACCTCCAGTCTCGTCCTGCTGCTCGTCGGGTGCCAGACATTTCTGGTAGAGCACAGTGCCTAGAACAAGAGCGCCCAGAAGGAATCCCATGCCAGCGAGCACGAGGAGCAAAATGACTTCCGTGCCCCAGTCAGAGACCTCTTTCGTAGTTGTTCCGCCGATTACTTGCATCTTTCCTGGTGGGATGCGTTCGATCTTGGTCGCAGTGCCTTTGATCTCCACCGGCGCCGAGCCCACGATGTAGTTGTCGGCCAGCGAGTTGATCATATTGAAGGCAACGGAAATTGTGCCCTTCAGCGCAAGGCCGTAGCTCAAGCTGCCTAGTCCACCCGCGGACAGCTTCGAGGAGAGGAGGCTGCTGCTTGCCGCAGGCAGGGTATCCGGGAGCCGAACCTCGTAAGAGATCTGAACAACTTTTTGGACGCTCGTGATCGTAAGTGTTCTCCTCTGATCCCGAAAGTGGCCGTCCTCTCTCCGAAGGACTTCTTGCACCCCGTGTCTTCGATAGAAGTCCAGGAGATTTTGCACCATTGAGGACGTGGCGTCACCCGTTTTCATCTTCTTGGCAACATGTTCCTCTACTACTTTCTTGTTGTACAAGTTGTTCATCTCGACGTCGAAGTTGTAGTTGACTTCATCATGATCAACTACATGATCAAGTTGTTGTTGACCTTCATCATCAACATCAAGCTCATCATCGTCATCAAGATCATCATCAAAGTCTTCTTCCTCGTGTTCAGGAAGCTTCCTCGTCGGTGCCGCTTGAGGATCTGTGAGATCGATTGCCTTCACAGTCACGTCGGCTGGCTGAACACCGGTCCCGACGGCGTCCGCGACCCCCTTTTTGAGACCCTGGAGGAAGTCCTGGTTCTGCATCAACACTTCAGGAGTGTCGCTGCTCAGAACCGAGAGCGGAATAGCAGCTTGCGACACGACCACCGTCCAACTCGAAGGGACGGCTGGTGGCTTGGTTTCCTCTTTCGGCGTCATAAACGCCGTCATAATCGTAGCAGGATTTATAGTCGTGTTGGCTGCTGCGGCTTGGGCGACCAGAGTCTTCACTGCGGCGTCTGCTGCCGTCTTCAGAAGTGCGGTCATCGCCGGACAGCCGCTTGTTCCGGTATCCGCGGTTTTCTTGTCGAAGTCAGGGACGACCTTCGCTGCACAGAAGTACACGTTCGCTTGGTTCACGTGCGCGCAGATCTGCGTGCCCGTGTAGGTGGCTGTGGCCCCGGTGGCGAGGTAGGCGGTGCGCGTGATGCCTGTCACTGGATCTGCGGTTTCTTGACGCGAAGCGATGTCCCATACACTGTAAAGCCCGCTCTGCTCAATCTCTGCCTTCACGGGGATGCACAAACGGACACCCGCAGATCCAGGCTTGATACCCATTGAGGTAGATGCGAGTCGCATGCAATCCCCCACAATCTGACCCACGAGATTCCCGTTCCGATTGTAAACATTAGACTTTAGTACCGATAAATATTCATCCTCCGGAGCATCTTCACATCTCGATAGACATTTTCCCTTAGGAAACCCTTCGAAAAACTGAAATAAGCGAGTAACAGACGAGAATAACCGAGACACTGCCGAGAAGGACGAGTAGCCTTGCTGTTAAGCTACGCCCCTTATTTCAGTCAGTAACTCGGTTATTTTCAGTTTTCGAGTAGATGAATAACTAGGAGCGAGGAAGCCTTAAAAACAACGGAGTAGCAAGATGCTGCGTTCGTGCCAGCCTGGTTTGCCTCGGCAGCTAGCATTCTGGAATAAGCAGGCGAGGGCATCATCATGTTGATGTAGTTGGCAGCCGATCTGAGCGTGTCCTCAGCATCTTCTTCATAGAGGCGACGTGCAGCGAATAACTCACCTCCAGACAGTTGGAGCGCTTTGCTCTGAATTTCGATAGTCCCTGGGGTTCCCGCGAGTCGTCGGCGTGTTCCGCGAGTTGTTCGAGGATCTTCCTCGGTTCTCACTTGTTCGATGTGCTTGTCCTCCTCGTCGAGATGCCGTCGTAGCTGTCTTGCGCCGCCAGAGAACACCAGACTGCCTGCAGCCGCGATGAAGTAAACGCCATTGTTGGCCCCACACTGTTGTGGTACCCCCTCTAGCAAATCCCCAGATTAGCGCTGTGATGTTGTCCATTATTCATCTTGTTCTTTCCTCCTGCTGCAACATCTTTCACGAGCACGACGAGCACGAGACTAGGACTACTAACATTATTTGAGTTTAACAAGTAGATTCTACTAAAATTTTGAAGAATACTGTTGAGTATTCAATACGAATACTCTAGATGTTGAACTTGTGAGATAAAGCGTCAAGAGATTTTTTGTTGCTGCAGAAGTGTACTCATAGATACTAAATCTGATACTAAATCTGATGGTAAATCTGATACCAAATCTGATAAATTTATGGAGAGGAGCCATAACCGCATGAAGCCTCTGGAGTTGGAGGGTCTTCATACACAGTATTCGGGTCACAAATTTGGGCTAGCGAAACAAGCGACGTGAGAGGCTGCTGAAAAAGGCAGGAGATGGTCACCAGCTGGAACCGTCGCGTGATGGCGTCTCTCAGAGGCTATAGAGCTGATGTTAGACGCCAGCGATTGGCCGTTTGTTTCCAGCGTCGACGAGGTGCCATGTTCCTCGGAAGCCATTTGTAGGGGGAAGGCCTCATTTCTCCCGTCAGCCACCTCCTTGCCTGCCAACTGCTACTTTTGCGCCAGAGTCCGCCACAATTCGCGCAGCTGGTTTCTCCATAGTTAGGCGCATACCAAGGTCGCCGTCCGCCTTTGCAATTTTTCGCGTTGTTGCAGTAAGCCCCCCAGTCGGTGGTAGAAATCCAGGTTCCCGACGCTGCGGTGCACTGCTCCTCGGTCTGGTATTTTCCGTACCAAAAACATTTTTCTGGCAGGCCATAGTTGTTGAAATAATACCATCGACCGGGTCTTTGCACGGATTTGTACCGACGCCCCCTTCTCCTGCACACATAACAGTAACACTCTCCTCATCTCTCATTTTCAGCAGGCCAACAGTACGTGGAGCTAAAATGGACGATGAGGAGTCTCCTTGACTCCAGTAAGTAGGTTGCCGCGGCCAGAAGATCGGCGATCACTCTCAACAACACGCCATCAGACTACAGTTCGAAGACCTCTCGCGACGACCTCGTCTTGGACGTTGACTGCAGCTGACTCTGACACAGAATTGCAATGAAGCGGTTACCGAAGAGTGTCGCTTTGGCTCTTCATTCATTCATTTATTTTTTACCTGTAGCATGAGCATGAGGTATGAGTTCAAGACTTATTGTCGCTTTGGCTCGTCTCACTATCACAGAATGAAAATTGGAAACTGAACATCGGGAACCAGAAGGGGGGAAATTCTGACGTATCCACTTCTCCTGCTGCTACTTCTCCTGCACATATAACACTCTCCTCATCTCTGATTTTCAGCAGGGTCCTCTCAAGCGGAAATAAAGTAGAGAGCAGAAGAATAATTGCCTGTGGAAATATTTTTAGCCCACGCCTTGTTCTACGTGGTCATGTCTTCGCAGGGGCAGGGACAACAAGAAACTGCAATAAATTATCTGGTGAAACTGGATCATCCTGTCGCGTTGTATATCGTTGGGGAGACTGCGGACTGTCGTCTTCAATCATACATCATCTAGAATGCGCGTCTTCATCACCATCAGACACATCATCATATTCTTTTTCAGTTTCAATCAAGATCATCTTTCGTATTAGTATTACACGCCATTCTCTTTCTTCTTATATATAAGTATCATCTAAGATGAAGCAGCTGTCCTCTTGGTCATCTCATTATGATGTTGATGATCACAAATTCTACTTATTTATTTCCGAAAATCTTGTTCTCAGTTCAAGACAGCACGCTATATTGTATCATTTCCATCGCAAAACAAATATTACGGTCCTTCGTGTAGTACTTGAAATCGTAATCGTATCGTTTCGTTAATACGAGTTACACCCTATCAATTTTCATTACACTTCTTGTTGTTGTTGATCATTATCGCAAATGCAGATGGGTCCTCTGAGCAAAAACAAAATAGCTACTGTCGTCTGAGTACCAACTTGTTCTTATTCATCTTCCTTTTATCTATGTATATTAAGTTGGACCTTTCATAATGTTGTCAGTGTAACATCAACCTTTCTCGAAAAAGTAGTTTTAATTTCAAGAATAGACATCTTCATCTAGAGTCGTCTAATAGGCTGAAGGCCCCACAACTCCACCTGCGTTTCCGGCCCGTCCATCTGTGCTGCCCGATAATGCTCCGCCTGCGCTAGCATCAACGACTGCAGTTCCCCCGGCCCCGTCATGGTGCACCGAGGATGAAGCGATATTATCGACGTCCGCGGCAGCAGCAGCACCTAAAAAATATCACTATTAGAGCTCACGATGATGAGGTTTGATTATATAAGAGGAGCTGGAGCAATCTCTTCCCTGATATACTACAGGTAGTAGTAGTTCTTGTATAACTATTTTCTAATTCTTTTTTGAGTAATATGGGCGGCATTGTGTTTCGCTTTGCAATGTTATTCATAAGCAGCATTTGCAGTCACCGTCTCCTCCTGTTGGGGGATGAGAAAATCTTCCTCCCCATTATCCGCGGCTGCGGGAGTAGAAGAGCTGCTCGGACAAGACGACAGCAAATGTTAGAATTGTTGAGCACCCTGATCCATCTTCTTAGTCATCTTACCTTGAGACTCTCTCCACACTTTGACGATCATGTTGTTCTATTCCTCCTTTCCTAGAACGAAAGAGCATGAGCAAGAGCAGCTTCAAAACGTACTAACTATCGTAGAAGATAGCTGGAACTGAGCACCAACGTACTAGTACCTAGCTGAAGAAGATGGGACTGAGTAGACTAGGTCAAACAATGTACTAACTATCTCAAGAAGATCATGGGACTGAGCCTTAAAAACAAACCCAGACGGCGAACGCAATCGGGATTACAACCGCAATTACCATTAAGATGAGCACCCCCACAACGGTGATTTCCATATACGCCGCCTGTTCTTTCTTAGAAGTACAAAAAGAGATAGACGAAGTTTTTCAACATCGTCGTCTGTGACTGTATCTAGAAGAGCGTCGAGATGGAGCTACAACAAGAACCTAGACGACACGGTAAAAAAGCTTATTTATATTATGTATTCCAAGTCAAATGTAGTTGCATTTTTCACAAGTATTAAGTATAAACGTTCGTTTTAGTTTTCTTAACTTCTTTATCTTGTTCCTCAGAACCAGCGACATCCCTTTTCCTTCTATTTTTCTTCTTGTCCAGGACAGTCGGTCGCGCTAGAGCAGGGGCTTCTCCTTCAGAAGCTCCTCCCTGGTCTGGAATCGCTACAGCTACTGCATGAAGGTCTGCGTCATCTCCAGTGGTCTTGCTGCTTTCCTTTGCCGCATCCGCACCAGAGGCACCTTTGGAGCTCACCCTTATCCATCCTGCGGACCACCCTGAGGCCGTTTTCTCCTTGAAAACGTCTCTCGCTCTCAGGATGTCTTTCTCTAACAAAATGGACCATTAGCGGAGGCCTTAACTGCTTGCTCTTGCTCTTGTCGTTGAGTTAGAACTTTTTCGTCATTCTTGCTAGCCATTTCATCCGCATGCAGGTCTGCTCCAGGAGTAGCTGCGCCTCCAGTCGAGGACAATGCTGCGGACGATCCCAGTCGTGGTGGTGCAATATTCTCTGCTGCAGCGGCTTGTCTCGGGGTCCCCGGGGCCGCTGCGTCGTCGAGTGGTGCAGAACTTCTAGGAGTCACCGGGGGTGCTGCGTATGTGAGTGGTGACGTCACCCCCCCATTCTCTTTTCTAGTTGCCCCAGCACCATCAGTAGTTCTAGTTTCTGCCGTCCTCGACAATGCCATATCTGGCTGAGGTCCATCACGAGAAGCCATCGCGTTTCCATTCCCTCCAGAAGCGCTAGCTTCTTCATGATCGGGAGACGGTACTTCTCCTACTGCTCCTACTCGCTCAGTGGATGCTACTTGTTCTTGAGTTTCGTCATTCAAAACATGCGTACTAGTTGCAGTCGATGTCGCTGTTGCGCTGGGTGATGCTTCATCACCTGCAAGTGCTGTAGGAGCCGGCGGCTCTAAACCTGCACGAGTACTTGGCTTTAGGCCTACTAGAACTGCATTAGTAGAAGCCGACGGCTCTAAATCTGCACTAGTATAAGCCGACGGCCCTAAACCTGCATTTTCCGGCGAAAAAACTTGTGGAGTGGAGGACGGTGCAGCCGCTTGTTTCTGAACAACATCACGATTATGAAAAAGATTCAGATTGCTACTTGTTTCCACCACGGCACGAGTAGGTCCGTTCGACGTTGTTGCGGGTGCGGATGGACGAGGTGCTTGTCGTGCTTGAATTTGGACAGTTGCATCCACGTTAGCCGTCTGCGTGGCTGCGGATTGTGCTGCTGTCCTTGCAGACGCATCTGCACCACCAAAAAGATTCGCGGTCGCTGGTGTTTCTGGTGCTGGTGATGCTCCACCTGGCAGTGCTGTAGGAGCCGGCCGCGGCTCTCGACGTGCATTTTCATCTTAGAGGTAGGTCTTGTTTGGTGTTCGCTTACCCCGTTTGTTATGCCTCTCTCCTTTAAGAGCGGCAAAACAAACGGTAACGTGAACGCCCTTAACCTACCCTTAATCTACATTTCTTGGCCCAGATGGCACTCCACTTCCACTCGAAGACCGTAAACGCGCTGCGCCAGCCTGAGGAACCTTGGACCCACTTGTTGCTCCATCAGGTACGGGCTGCACAGCATCAGCAGGGGCAGGTGCAGGTACAACATGCAGACTCCCTCCAGGGGAGGCCGATCCTCCAGCACCCGGCGTCGGTGCCTCCAGGCTGGGACGATCTAGCAGACCTGTATCAGATCCAGCTGACGGCCCACTGCCTGCTTTCGCTACTGTCTGCTGCGATCCTGCGTCACTCATACGAGTAGGAGATGTGCTAACCAGACTGTCCGCGTCCTTTGCCACCGCCGCCACCTGTGAGGATGACGACGAGAAAGAAAAAGTCGAGTTTTCATTTACTTAATGTTGATACTCATGTTGGTTACTTGATGTATCGCTATAATTTCACGCTAGTAAGCACAAGCAGGTCGCGACTAATTAGAATTGCAATTGCGCCCATCAACGAACTACATTCCACCTGTGCGTTTTTTGATAGGATAAAGAACAACAGAAGTCGAGGTAGACGATCTCCGTCACTCAAAATGTAAGAAGGTACTATCGGGCTCGCATCAGCGTCCGCCTTCTGATGATATTCTTTAAAGTCTGGACCTATCGGGATCGGCTCTAGTGCTCTTTCCGTCATTACGAGATCCAAGTCGGGCAACTTGTAATCCCTGACATCGAGTTTTGTGCGCACATGCTCACCACCCAACTGAACAAATGCCCGCCAAGGTATCCAAAAGCGTCGGCTTTCTCGGTCCTGACGTTAGAGCAGCAAGCTCAAGCTGATGCAGCGGTTGCTGAAGAAATCAGACTTCATTCAAACACTGACTAGATAAAGCACGCCAACTCAAGTGATTCATTGACTCATCAATCTGTTAGCATGCAAGGTATTACACAATACGTGTACGAAAGCGATCTTCTGCATAATGTCAAAATCAAAAACATTCTCTTGTCTTATCCGCAGCGAAGTTGAAGATACAACTGAAGATCTTTTTCCACCTGTCCTTTAATATTGATACTGACCTACTTGTACTTAGCTCTCATTTGCCGCTTTGTCGTAGCGCTGCAGGCAAAGCGTCTGCTCCTCGGGTGTTAGTTCGAGAGTTTGCAAATCAAAAAACTCCTCCGGATCTTTTGGTTTGGGTTTTCCGAGAGGGGGATCCACGGCTTCAAGATTTGCAAAGATTAGGGGCAAGAGTCTGGCAGGGGCCTCGCGGTCATGCTATTTCAGTCTCAAATACGATAAGATGAAGCGCCTAGTAGTTAGTTAATTGCCCAGCATTGCTGGTCTCCTTGTATGAGGACGGGAACGGCCGTCAGTCGTTGCGAATTTGACACGTCATCCTTCAACTTCGTCCAAGCTCAATTAGCCATAAGCTGCCCAAGGATGTTGGCTCGTTAGGTGTCTTGCCGACTTCCCCGCCGCAGTCCATTTTCACCAAGTAAACGCCGTGACTCAAAACGGATTTTTGCAACTCCGTAGCCTCTGCACTGAACCGCTCCTCCAAATACTTGCGATTAGATGGGCGACTGCGCTGCTCCTCGTACGACTATAGTATCAGTCCTATACATTGGTCGCTGCGTGCTCAGTCTCATTCTAACTACCTGCTCTAGCTAGGGCTCTTTTTTGATTTCAACTAGAAAAAGCCGATCCCGAATGAAACCTGAGTGCAGCCTGCAGCTTTGCGTTTGATGATAGCCATAATCCTCTGCGCTTCATATTCTAGCTCAACGCCGTCCGGACCGTGCGCATTCAGCGCATGTAAGAGAACGTCGCCAGTGGAGCACTCATAGTTCCAGTTCGCAAAAACTTTACCCGGCGGGGCCTTTTGCTTTCCTACGCGATCGGGGCGACACACGTAGTCCCGTCGGACGCTGAGCAAAGTCGTCGAGGCGCCTTCGCTCACACGGCCCCGCGGCGTTAGAAAAGAGAGTATCTCGGCCGAGTGTCAGCCCTCTATGTATTAGGAGCGTCACTCGTATCCTCCCTGAAAATCTCTCGGAATTCTATCCGCCCACTTGATGCTCTTCCCCTTTGGCCAGAGAATGGGCTAGAAAAGCAAAAGCTGCAGCTTCACCTTCAACATTTACTTAGTTATAGCCTTTTTCTTGGGTGAAAAATTTACATACTTTAACAGCCCGAGTCGCGAGTCGCCGCCTACATATTTATCTATCATGTATCACACAACCGAAACAGGCGCAGGTCTACTGTCTAACTCCCCCCATAAATTCATCGGCGTTGACTGAAGAACCTGGCGCGCGTCAGGTGCCTTCCAGTCTTCAAAATTTCTCCTTTCCAATTCCGTTGCCATAAAAAACGGATTCCAGATGCCGCCACGTAATGCATGCGGGTTTCGGAGTTGGATGCCATACACGAGAAGAAACTTTTTCTTGGAATGCACGTCCTGTGCCGTTGCGGTCGTCACTTCTGCCACAAGTGGCGCGGATTCGAGAGGAACGGCGAAAACTTCCAACGCCTCTACGCTATACGCGTGGCGAGGAAAAATCCCAGAGTACACATGCGGGCCTCTGCCACAAACTTCCTTGTCCTCCTCCCTTTCTCTTTCGGTTTTTTTCTCCGCCACGGATCTCGGATATTTGCCTTCACAGGCCATCGTAAAAGTCATACTTATGACCAGGCAGGATAAAATAAAGGGCAAGGTAGAAAAAGATATAAATTCAGCTTATTGATTTTCTAAATGCCTTAACTAGTCACTTAGGTAGCTAGGCTAAGTAGATAGGCTGGCTGTGGGCGTCTGGTAGGCTGCTGCTGCGTGGGCTGCTGGCAAGAGCGTCAGAAGTGGAGCGCGGGAAGGCCCGCGGCCGTCTCTCTGCTCAGGATTGAGCAGCTGCCCGCAGAGGCCTCAAGCTGAGGAAGCGCCCCTTGGTTTTTGTTCTCTTTAATCTTCAGAACCTTCCAGAACTTGCCGCAAAAAAAGGCCCACGCTTTTTGAGTCAAAAAGTTTGCGTCTATATATAGTTTTGATCTTGAATCACCATAGAGATCCGGAAAAATGCCTGCTGAGAAAAGTGCCCTTTTTTTGCTGCTCCAAAATGGCGCCTTTTTAGCGAAACATTGGAAAGGCTGCCAAAGCTTTGAGGAAGCCAAAGCCCAAGGTTTGCCCCTTCAGCTTGAGGCCTTTGCGCGCAGCTGTTCCTCCGTTGCCAGCATCCGCCCACGCAGCAGCCTACCAGACGCCCACAGCCTACCTACCTACCTACCTACTTAAACTATCTAGTTATAAGCAGCTACTATAACCCAGTAAGAAATATATATCTATTATTTAAAGTCTCAATTTATATCTTTTGCTGCATTGCCCTTTTTATCCTGGCCATAATACTGTGCAGAGATTTATAATGGCTCGCGCGTCTTGGTCTTTCCTCTGTTTCTTCTTGTAGTCCGGGAAGGGCTCCCGTGCTTGCTGGAGAGTTCCTTTCGAGCCCCGTTTCCTCGTCCACGTTTTCCAACCGTGATCGCATTCGAAAAAAAGCGCACTTGCCTCTGGCTTTATCCTTTAAGCCCGGGTGGAGTACTGTTGTCTTCGATCCGTCAAGTAGCTCTCTTTTAGAAGGATACGCAATAGAGACGCAGGAAGTAAGGTTACCAAACCTTTGCTTATCCCATGCCACCCCTAGCTCCCTGGACTGAGTGATTACGCGCACGCGCCTCGCTCTAATAATACCTCAATAGCGGAGTTTCCCCGCTTCATCTTCCGAGTTACTTAGCCAAATCCGGCGACACACTCTCTTACTCCTCGTAGCGCATATTGCCACTCATCATGATCATGAACATGCGAGATGTGCCTGCATGTGAGCGCGAAGATGTCCTCTGATAACCTACAAATAATATCAACCAGCAGCTTAACTTCTAGCTCCTCATGCTTCTCTCCGCTCATCAACAGCCTCACAGCAGCACTCTCGAGGCCCCCTTTCTCTGGCGGTGGAAGTGCAGTCGCCTCGTATGCGTCGTAGATTTCCCGATGAAGCTGCGTCAGAACAAGGGCCGCTAGGCTTGGCCTCAGAGCAGGCGTCGCATCAAGTGTCGAAGCAGGAGACGCGGCTGCTTGTTCCACGGCGTCACGCATCGCAGAGACCCAGGGCGACTCCTCTGCGCCCTCTTGAGGCTGTAGCAGTTTGCGCACGGTTTCCGCAGTTTGCGTGTCGAGAGTGAACGCAGCCCCATCACCCGAGAAGCCACCCGAGGACTCTTTCTTTGATCCGCCCCCCAGCACAATGAGGCCCTGTAAGAACTGCGCGACCGACAGCTTCCGCGAGCCCATCTGACTTTTTTTAGTGCATTTTTTAGGTAATGTCATCATATATGCTGTACACGAAAAGAGCATCCGCGGGGCCTGGTCTTAACTTGGCTCAGGTCCAAGCTGCATTACTTTTGGTTTTCATCCGCTACACCCTACTTTTAATACTAGATACTTCTCATTCTGATCTCCTTAAATATTACTACGCGAGAGAACCCAACAACTACCAGAACTGCAGCGACGTAGCATAACTGTGCTGGCCCTGCTTTGCTTCCACTCCTGTCGCATGCGCTTCAACACCAGCCACCGCGCGCGGTCCAGCGGCGACACCCAAAGTCTACACATCCTTGGGTCAATTGCGTGCTCCTCCTTCTTGTCGCTGGCCTCTCGTTCTGTCGTCGTGGGCGTCTGTCCATACTTGGTAACCCCAATACCTTCTTCCGCGATTCTATGCGCCGAGTCGAACTCGATTACACGCCTGGAGACCTCCTTGCTTTGTCCTTGAGATGTCCTCGCGGCGCCCAACGAGTCCCAGCGCCATTCCTTGTACTGCAGCGGCGCGCCTTCACCCCACCCAGCTAGAGTACGAGCAGCCGCCTGGCTCGACCCACTCTCCATTGCTGTGTAGTCTCCGACGGCCTTCGCTACTGCTTTAATCAGTAAAGCCACTGTCGCCGAGCGATCGGCTCGCACATTGTCAAAACAGCGGCACGGCCCATCACGATGGCCTTCCTCATCGCTGGGGGCCTTCTCTGGTATCCTGTCGTCTACGAAAGTGTCACGCCACTGTCCGCGAATAAAAAGGCGCACCTTGTAGAGACCCAGCGGAGACGTCGTAGCGACCTCGCGCAGCCAACCTAATCGGGCAAAATCCTGAAGCACCGCATACATGTAACAGTTTCCAAATTGCTCTTGTTCAACGTATGTGACGCTCAAAGTCTTGCGGAAAGGGGGCGGCGAAGTCAGATGCTGCCGCGGGCTTTCGTCGTAACTCAGCGACCCTTGTTGCTGATTTTTGCGGTCAAGGGCTTCCTTGCACATCTTGCGCTTGTTCATGTACTGGAGGAAGAGTCGCGACGAGGCGTGCCTGCTTGCGTTTTGGTCGTCTTGGTTTTGCTTTTGGTCTATTTCTCGAAATAAGACCGGCATTCCTATGTCCACAGCCATAAGCCTACTGCCTTCTCCCGCGCCTTCCCCTTTTTCGTCTTCACCTTGCTGAAGATCAGGGCTATCTACCTTAAGTTGATACACGAAAAGAAACACACCCTTTCCATGTGCCTCAAGCTCTCCATCAGTCCATTTCCGTTCACGGTTACCGTCAGCGGCGTTCGGCTTCTCGGGCGGCGCAGAGGCTAATCTACTAAGACATCTGGTTTCTGCTTCAAGAGTATCGCATAACGCCTTGAAGCTGAAGACCTCTGGCGCCGAAGATGTCGCGCCACGGTCGCCCGCGCTCATCGTTTGCGGTGGGCTCGCTTGGCTCTTCGCGGAACTATTTTGCTCGCCGGTCATGCAGTCGCGGAACTTTTCCTTTTCTTTTTTGGCTTTCTGTCGAAGGCGGTCCACCTCCTCCTTTCTCTCCTTCTTCTTCTGCAGCCCCTTCGCCTCTTCCTCCTTCCGCCAGCGCTCATCCTCCTCTTTCTGTCGGCGCTGCTCAGCATCCACGTCAGCTTCTTTGAGGTTTATGTCTAACGGAATCGGTTTTAGCGCTCCTTGCTCTCGTACGTGGCGCAAAGGGGGCAACGGATATTCGCCGAGTATAAGCTGTGTGGGCACTTGCTTACCACCCAACTGAACGAACGCACGCCATGGCACCCAGAAGCGTCGCTTTTTTCGGTCACTGTGTTAGAGCTGCTGTTACCTAGTTCCTCACACTTGGCGCTACACTCTTACGTAGCCTCGACGCCCGCAGCATGCTCTATCATAAATTCAACACCTACCCGACGGCGCACTTATTCAACAGAGAGAAAAGCTACAGATCTGCTTGCCCGTAACTTTCGTTGGCAGCTTCGTCATATCGTTGCAAGCAGCGTCTCTGCTCCTCCACCGTAAGTTTGAGCAACTGCAAGTCGAAAAACTCCTCCAGTGATTTTCTGCCAGGAACATCAGCCGCCAAACTTCTGCTGCTTAGTAGAAGTTTTTCACTCTGGTGATACCAGTGGAAGCCAACGCCGCGCTATTCCAGGTGAATAGAGCACTCTCGCCTGCCGTCGAAGGAGATGCCCCTCCATCAACTGGTGGAGATTTTCTCGGCAAAGCAGAGGGAAAGCATAGCCATAATTTGCTCAAAGGCGATGGCGCGGCTGGAGGTTTCCGAAAGGGTGTGGTCACTGCGTCGCCACAATCCAGCTTCACAATGAACGCCCCGTGCCTCAGCACAGAATCACGCAGCTGCCTAGACTTCTGGCTGTACCGCTTCCTGCGGTACTTCTTTTTAGAGCTAAGCTTGCAGCTGCACCACTCGGCACTCACATCGTTGCAGCAAGTAGCGTCACAGAGGTAGACAACATATTATCTACTAGCACCGCTCTGATCAGCAGGTACAAAATGAAAACAAGACCCGACAATCAACATGGCGCCGAGAATGCGACTGCACTACTAGGAGTAGCCGTAGCCTTCTGGCCTTTGAATTTGAGCTCAGCGTCATCAACGTCGAGCGCGTTCAACGCATGCAAAACGGCGTCGCCAGTAGAGCACTCGTAGTCTGTAAATTTATCCCCCGTAGTTCCCTGATCTGGGAAGCATTCATAATCTGTCCGAACTATGAGCTTCGACGCTGCGGGCAAGTGTTTGCCTGCAGGCGCAGAAGGAGGAGGACCAACGGCAAATACGACTAAGATTAGAGGCGGAAACTTCTTGTGTTCTTTCTCCTGGCAGTTCAACACTCGTCCTGGCCGTCGCGTGCCGTGAGTGACTTTATGAGGAGCTTGAGTCTCAAACCCCACGAGTCCTGGACGGGGATACTCCTACTTAACCTCCTGCATGGTCATGGCTGATTCACTAATAAGCGCAAGGGCGGCCGCCAGTAGTCGCCTGACTCAGACAGCGCATCAAGTATAATAGAAGCTGCAAACTCTGGATTATGGAAGTTCAAACACACTTTCACTTATCATATCATAACATTGCGATCAAACGCGACGAGCATACCTCCTGTTTATGTCTACTGAAGGATCCACCCTGTGGATCCTCTCGCTTGAGTTGATTCAAATTCACTCACTAGTCTGTTACGCGTTTCTTACGTGTTCCTTTCGTAACTGCTTGACGACCTCACTAGGTGAAGGCCCCTCCGACTTTTCTGGGGACTTATTCAAATCGAAGTCTTTGCTTTCGGACTGTACCGTATAAAATGGATTCCAGACACCATAAACGCGCTCCGGATGTGTGTGCCGGATCTGGATACCATACACGAGGAGAAACTCCTTGTCCTCGTCATCGTCACTTCTCTCCGGCTCACCAGATGGGGGTGGCGAGGAGTCGACTGGAAAAGCGAAAACTTCCAACGCATTGACAGTGTACGCAACCCCAGGTAAAATTCCAGAGAAGCTCAGTGGGTCATCTTTAGTTCTCTCTCTTGTTGCGTCACTCTCACCACGGCAAGAAATTTGGAACAACATGGTATGTGGAGGCTCATGCTGGTCCTGGTGTCGCGCTTGACTATCTGCATCTTGCACCGCAACACCAGGTGGAGGAGCGCCGCTTAACGAGCGTTGCTCCAGGCCCGTCTGTTCGTCCAGGTTTTCAAACCTTGAACGCATTCGGAAAAAAGCACAGTGGCCGGCCTCGGTTCCACCTCCGCTATTTGCGACTCGAGGATGGCGCACGCTCCCGCGCGGTGAGGCCCAAAGACTACACATCCGCGGGTCGATGAGGTGTTCCTCCATGGCACTCTGAAAATAGTTAGGAACTTTCCTTAACGTATTCACCGCGAAATCTTTTGCGGCGATGACGTAACTAGGCTGAAACCCGATCACACGCCGCATGGAAGCGTCGCGAGCTGTTGTGTCACCCAACAACGCCAACGAGCTCCACGTCCACTCGCCGAAGCCGTAGTGTGCTGCAGATTCGCTTCCGCTCCTACCGACGAGGCTGCGGATATAAGCCGCACCAGGGTACGCCACCCCGCCTATTTTGTCCAACGCCGTGTAGTCTCCCACAGCCTTCGCTACTGCCTTAACAAGCAGCGCTACTGTTGCTGAGCGATCGCCTCGCACGTCCTCAAAGCAACGGCACGCCCTTGCGTTTTTGCGGTCTTCGTCTGCGACGGGGTCTTCTTTTATGGGCTCCATCTGAGGTCGCGAGGAGAGGCTCTCTGGGATCCGGTCGTCTACGATGATGTCGCGCCACTGTCCCTCGATGAAGAGGGGCACCTTGTAAAGACCTACCGGCGACGCCACGACAATCTCGCTTAGCCAACCTAGTCTGGCGAAATTCTGAAGCACGGCGTAGAGGTGAGCGACGGCGTTCTGAAACTCCTTTTCAGTCTCGACGTATTCAACACCCAGAACCTCGCCGCCCTTCGGTGGTGAAAGCAAGTCCTGCCGTGGATCACGCGAGAACAAGGTACTAGTAGTACTTACGCTTGGGCGATTCCTGAACTGCTCCTTGCACGTTTCAAGACGGCGTTTCATGTACTGGAAAGACAGCCGCGATGGTGCGACTGAAGTGCCTGCTGTACCAGCAAATAGGAACGGCATGCCCAGGTCAACAGCAGCCTTTCTGCTCGCAAATTCTTGCTGGTTCATGCCTGGGAGATGATCAACGTGGAGTTCATAGACGACTATGTCTCCCTTCTGTTTTTCGAACTGCTCGTCGGTCCACTTAGCCCGTGCAGCCCCAGCTTCTAGTCCCGTACCAGCTGCAGCTTGCTGCAAACACTGGGTCTCCCGTTCAAGGGCGTCGCATCTTGTCGGAAAATGGAAAACCGAACTGGAAGTACTTGAAGCCGGTCTGGTGCTCCCGGACGACATGCACGTCAGGAACTTGTGTGACATTTCTGTTTGTGTCTTTTGTGTTGACGCACTCGAGCCTTGCTGCTGCAACTCGAGATGCTGAACAAAAGTCGACGAGAATCTGGAAGAAGCGGCTCTTGTCGTAGTTGTCACACGATATCCAGCACCAGCTTGAGTTGTGCTGGAATTCAAAAGCCGAGCCGTAGCTCCATTGGCATTTTTGTCCACGAGTACCGCACTGCTCCATGTTGATCCTGCGACAGAACCAGCGGATTCTTCCCTGACATGTAGAACGTCATTGCTCAGATGAGGCTGCTCACTAGTTCTTGATGTTGACACGTGCAACTGTTCTTGTTTACTTGACGACAAGTGCAACTGCTCAAGCTCATGTCCCTTGAATTTGATTTGCTGGTGGCCAACACTTGTAATATTCTTGTGTTCGAGTAGTCGCATTCGCACCACAGGAAATAAGTGCTCCGACAGGAAAGATCCGACCGCCACCTCTGTGGGTGACTCCCCATTCACCACCACCACTATGCGAGGAGCAAATCGCCTGATTTGCCCAGCTTGCTCCTCTAGGAACAGCAGGGCTGCTGCAGTCCTCTTGCAGGAGGCACTCGTTGCGGCAACCTCCGCGTCCAGGCAGTACCATCGCAGAAGCTGGAGTGCCACTGCTAAGACAGCCCCTCCAGATAAGAGAGCGAACATTAGAGGTTTCCTGCAGTAGTTCTTGACCTGATATCATTCTCGTATATCTATGCCCTTTCGTCTAACAGGAGAAAGCCTCCTAGATATGCTCATGATAAAGAGGTCAGCTTGCGCGCGAAAGCCCTTAAGAGCAGCACTGCAACCACCGAGATGCTCGAGCAGGAACAGCAAAAATATTTTCGCCATCGTCGCGCATCCAAGATGAACTGCTTGCTGGTTTGTAGATAGCTCCTGCCTCTCGCCTTCGTTGGCTTTCTCAATGGAGCACGCTCCTCCTCGTTGGCCACTTCAAGGACACTCGTTGTGCGCGGCGAGCCCCCCCTCTCCTCCAATAGGCTACTCGTCCCCAGAATTTAGAAGAGCCTCGAGCTTGATGTACTTTGTTGACATCTACAGGGCGGCTTCGAGTTTGACGTAGATGCACAACTTGTCATGTCTTCATCACATCTAATAAATCATAGTCTTTCACTTCTCGATTGACACGACTGATCTGATCCTGAATATTGAAAGATATAGATAGACTAGATGCAGACCACGAGGGGGAGCAGAACTACGTCGACGAGGGAAAAGCCTCGAACTGGTACTAGTTTCTTTGTTCACTTATCAATACCATGCGCCTAGAACTATTCTGGACTTCTTTACATTATAAATATAATGAAGACCGCCAGGAACGCCTTACCTCATGTGTAGGAAAGGATCGTAACCGCAAAAAATATATGCACGAACTTTAAATAAGATTTTGAGAAATCTTAGGTAGCTGCTCCTTCTCCAGGTATCAAGAATTTGTTGAGTAGCCTTAGCTATTCTGCTCCAGGTAATAGGCATCCAGGTCCAGCCTTGCACGCTCACGCCATGTCCTGCGGACCAGCGCTGTGAGGTCTTCCTCTGCGTCGGTGTCGACGCTACTGGTCTTAGAGATGATCAAAAAATGAAGAACAAGCAGTCGAAGAAATAAGAGACCAAGATGAAATAGAAGGGAGTTGCGCATCAAGATCCAAAGAGAGCATCAACATCGACACATTGAAAATTGTTCAATAGTACTTCTTAATTAAAAGTTGTTCCCCTTGATGTAAGAGTATTGACTATTAATACAGTTCTTCTACGAATAATCAATATGAATATCATTATATCTCAGTTTCAATCCATATCCATGTTTCAAAGCGAAAAGTTTGAGTCACTTCTCGACATGAGCCCTAGTGATACTGTCAGCCGCACTGGGTAACCCTTCAGCATCCTCGTCGTCCTCTGGCTTCCAGCGTAAATCCGTCATTCTTGACAGGCAATGCTACTAGCGCCCGCTGCTGCTAGTAGCAGTATGCTATTGATCATGTTCCTGTCGACGTCGTTTGTGAACAGTAGCAGTTTTCTGTTTGTCCTCTTGCGTCACGGCTTGATCTCGCTGCAGAATCCCCCTCCTGCCAGGGATCTGCTTTCATAAAAACTGCTCGCTTTGTATTGTCTTGCGCATCTTCATGATCAAGACATGTTGTTGCTGTTGTTGTTGTTCATGGTTTTTCGTATACAACTTTGTTAGCCTCTAAGTCAGGTCCTTGAAGATCTCATTCCTTTTTTAGACAAATCCACACACTTCTCACCCTCACCCTCTATTAATGCGCTTGTTCGCCCTCACACTCACCCTCACGCTTGTTCTCTCGTGGTGATCGTTCTACTGGAGAGGATCATCTTCTGGTGGCTGCCCAAACAAAGTAGTCTTCTAGTACTACCCACCGTAAACGTAAACTACGGCAAATTAGACGACCACAAGTTTGCCGCTCGATCGTGTTATTAGCAGAGATCTCACTACTGCCCTCTCACTTGAGTTGTAATGTAGCGGCCTCTAGGCTTATACTAGTGTCACTATCCTCCTCCGGCATAGAACACTTACAGCGCTCGTCTGGTGCCCTTGCGCCTGAATCAGTCTCATTTCAAGCTCCCTGCTGCATGTGTGCCAGAGCTCAATTTGCCACCGACACGCGACGGCTCTCCCTCTCTTTCACTCGTGTCGACGTCCTAACATCCATACGATTGCGATAACGACGGCCATACTCAGCATCCTGTCGTATAACGCCTTGCAGTCGTTAATCGCAGCGCCTATCTATCTAGCGGCAACTGTCGACACGAGTTACTCACTTGAAGATGTGTAAAGAGCATGACCATCATCTTCATTCAAGTCCTCCCTTAACGGCCGCGGAATGATTGAAGTTTCACGTACTCAAGAGTCATAAATAAATGGACTAACTGAGGAAAGAGCGGAACTCAGTTTAGGCGCAGGTAAAAATCGGTGAGGATCCAAGTGAGGCGGAAAGGTAAGCGAACTATGAAAATTGCAAGTTCGTGGATTACCGCTATACGTATGCTATTGCTAATTTGGTCACACTGAGAAAAGGCACCATATAAACAGCTATGCGCGATCTCTTTTATGCGACTACCTTCATGTCTTTCAAAAGGAAGAATATAAACGCCATATGTAGCTACTCCCCCAAGCAAAGCAAGGTAATTGAAAATAACTACAGGGAATAATATCCTCCGTCTCTGATCGATTTAAAAACTCCTACCAATTCGTTAAAAAAATAATATGCCTGCAGTCTCTTCTTTTCGTCCAAAGAGACGACAGAGGAAGCGAGTAGGTCTTTTGCTTCATGATCTTCTAGCATGTCATACTTTGCCTCTAGCATGTCATACGTTGTAAAGGTAAAGCATGACAATGAAACACTTTCCGAAGAACCGGGTCGCTTTTTCCCATATACGGAATAAAGCTTGATGATCGGCGATAACGCTTGTAACTCATCCGGAATCTCTTTAAGTAGAGTAACAAGGTCGCTTGGGAAAGCAACTTAAAAGCGATATAATCCGGGTGAGTGTATCCCGAATAAGTACTCACCGAAGGCGTGGGAGCCTCGGCAGATACTGAAGACGACGGAGCGCTCACCGTAAGGTAATAGGGTCTCAACGTCGCGCGAGCATACTAGTTATTGAAAAAGTAAAAGCACCACTGTCCCATCGATATCTTAACCAGCTTGCTCTGGTCCAATATTTTTATATCGCGACGCCTCCACCCCGTAATTTCGTCGCGAAGGTGAAAAGAAATAGTAGCAAATGGTTGAGCACGCTCCTGCAAAAGATATCAAGCTAGATCGTACATTAACTCGCCACATCTAATACGCCAAGACTAAGAGTTGTCCGGAGTTAGTGTGTAATAAATGCGCTTCCCTTTTAGAAACCAGCGCGAGCGCACCACACTATGCTTAGGCACTACGACAAAACCCCCTCTAGCTTGCTGGTACTCGTTGAAAGCAGGACTACCCACCTTGATAGAAAGAGTGCCGAAATGCCGGCCATTCGAGTTCCCTTTTGCATGTGTGCCAGAGCTCAATTTGCCACCGACACGCGACGGCTCTCCCTCTCTTTCACTCGTGTCGACGTCCTAACATCCATACGATTGCGATAACGACTGCGATACTCAGCATCCTGTCGTATAACGCCTAGCAGTCGTTAATCGCAGCGCCTATCTATCTAGCGGCAACTGTCGACACGAGTTACTCACTTGAAGATGTGTAAAGAGCATGACCATCATCTTCATTCAAGTCCTCCCTTAACGGCCGCGGAATGATTGAAGTTTCACGTACTCAAGAGTCATAAATAAATGGACTAACTGAGGAAAGAGCGGAACTCAGTTTAGGCGCAGGTAAAAATCGGTGAGGATCCAAGTGAGGCGGAAAGGTAAGCGAACTATGAAAATTGCAAGTTCGTGGATTACCGCTATACGTATGCTATTGCTAATTTGCTCACACTGAGAAAAGGCACCATATAAACAGCTATGCGCGATCTCTTTTATGCGACTACCTTCATGTCTTTCAAAAGGAAGAATATAAACGCCATATGTAGCTACTCCCCCAAGCAAAGCAAGGTAATTGAAAATAACTACAGGGAATAATATCCTCCGTCTCTGATCGATTTAAAAACTCCTACCAATTCGTTAAAAAAATAATATGCCTGCAGTCTCTAACTTACTCAGTATCCACCTGTCGTATAACATCTACATCATTATGATGATCATATAATTAAATTCTACTTATCTATTTCCGAAAGTCTTGTTCTCAGTTAAGGACAGCACGCTATGTTGTATTATTTTCATTCCAAAACAAAAATTTTTACGGTCCTTCGTGTAGTACTTCAAATCCTAATATTATCGAATCGTAATCGTATCTTTTCGTTAATACGTGTTACACCCTATTAATTTCCATTACACTTCTTGTTGTTGTTGATCATGATCGCCCATCACCTTGATGCCGCAAATGCGGTGGATGGGTCCAAGCAAAAACAAAATAGCTACTGTCGTCTGAGGACCAACTTGTTCTTCTTCTTGTTCATCATCTCCTGCCTTTCTGATTCTGTGTAAGTATAACTCGTCTAATAGGCGGAAGGCCCCACGACCACTCCACCTGCGTTTCCGACCCGTCCATCATCTGCACTGCCCTCGAATGCTCCGCCTGCGCTACCATCAACGACTGCAGTTCCCCCAGGAGCTGCGTCCTGGTGCACCGAGGACGAAGCGATATTCTCGACGTCCGCGATATTCTCATAAGCATCATTTGCAGTCACCGTCTCCTCTTGTTGGGGGATAAGGAAATCTTCCTCCTATTAGAGCTCACGATGATGATGTTTGATTATATAAGAGGAGCTGGAGCAATCTCTTCCCTGATATACTACAGGTAGTAGTAGTTCTTGTATAACTATTTTCTAATTCTCTTTTGAGTAATATGGGCGGCATCGTGTTTCGCTTTGCAATTCTATTCATAAGCATCATTTGCATTCACCGTCTCCTCTTGTTGGGGGATAAGGAAATCTTCCTCCTCATTGTCCGCGGCTGCGGGAGTAGAAGAGCTGCTCGAAGAAGACGACGCCAAATGTTAGAATTGTTGAGAACCCTGATCCATCTTCTTACTCGTCTTACCTTGACCACTCTCTCCACGCTTTGGGACTCAGACTAGGTCAATGCACTAACTATCTTAAGAAGATGGGACTGAACCTTAAAAATAAAACCAGACGGCGAACGCAATCGGGATTACAATCGCAATTACGATTAAGATGAGCACCCCCACAACGGTGATTTCCATATACGCCGCCTGTTTTTCCTTAGAAGTACAAAAAATAAAAAAGATAGATGAAGTTTTTCAACATCGTCGACTGTGACTGTATCTAGAAGAACGTCGAGATGGAGCTACAACAAGAACCTAGACGAGTCGGTAAAAAAGCTTATTATGTATTCAAAGTCAAATGTAGTTGCATTTTTCACAAGTATCACGTACTTATTCGATTTAGTTTCCGTAACTTCTATATCTTGTACCTCGTCATCGGGAGACCGTGCTTCTCCTACCGTTCCTGTTCGCTCGGATGCTACTTTATTTTGAGGCGCTTCACCTGAGAGTGTTTCCCCTAGCAGTGCTGTAGAAGCCAGCGGCTCCAGAACTGCAGGCGAAGCTCCTTCTGTGCCGGTCGAGCTGGAAGCCGGCGGCTCTAGACCTGCACTTTCATCTTAGAGGTAGGTCTTTGGTGTTCGCTTACCCCGTTTGTTGTGCCTCTCTCCCTTAAGAGCGGCAAAGCAAACGGTAACGTGAACGCCTATAACCTACCCTTAATTTCCACCTACAATTCTTGGTTCAGATGGCACTCCACTTCCACTCGAAGACCCTCCAAGCGCTGCGCCATCTCCACCCATTTCAACAACCTGAGGAAGAGGATCGTTGGACCCACTACTTGTTGCTGCGGGAGGTTGACGTACGGGCTGCAAAGCAGGTTCAGTTACAACATGCGGACTCCCTCCAGGGGAGGCCGATCCTCCAGCACCCGATGTAGATGTGGGCTCCAGTCCTGGGCCTCCAGACTGGGACGATCCAGCGGGACTCGTAGAACTAGAAGATGGGTTAGCCAGACTGTCCGCATCAGGAATCGGCAGCGCCTCCGCCTCCTGTGAAGATGACAATACGAGAAAGAAGTCGAGTCATCTTTAATGTTGATCCTCACGGTTACTTGTTTCGTTTTAGTATCACGCTAGTAAGCACAAGCAGGTCTTGGCTCACTACAATTGCAATTGCGCCCATCAACGAACTACATTCCTGTGTGTTTTTGGTTAGAGTACTAGCTTGGAGCGTCCGATAACATCCCTCCCACTAGGATCCCCCTCCTCCCCAAAATAAGAAACTAAGCAAGGCAACGACGTAAGCGATATGCTTTTTCAAATTTCGAAAATTTTCCACGTTTTCTTTGCCATCGTTTGGGGATTAGGTCTCGTGCGTTTGAAGTCAAGGGCTAAGATCCCAAAACTTTTTGACTTTCAGCCCTTTCGCTGAAATTTAATACCTTGGCTTCGCGTTTTTCAAATTTCGAAAATTCTCCGCGTTTTGTTGTCGTTTTGGGATTGAATTTTGTGCGTTTGAAGCGCTAAAGTCCCTAAATTTTTGATTTTAAGGCCTCTCCCTGGGATTCAGTTTCTTGGATTCGCGTTTTTCAAATTTCGAAAATTTTCCACCTTTTTCGTCATTTTGGGACTGAATCAGTTGACTTTGAAAGGCTAAGATCCCAAAATTTTTGATTTTAAGCCCTTTCCCTGAAATTTAATTCCTTGGATTCGCGTTTTTCCAATTTCTAAAATTTTCCACGTTTTTCGTCGTTTCGGGAGTGAATCCCCTGAGTTTGAAGCGCTAAAATCCCAAGGCTTTTGACTTTAAGCCCTTCCCCCCGAAATTCAATGCCTTGGCTTCGCGTTTTTCAAATTTCGAAAATTTTCCACATTTTGCGGCCGTTTTGAGATTGAGTCTCGTGCGTTTGAAGCGTTAAGATCCCAAAATTTTTGATTTTAAGCCCTTTCCCTGAGATTCAACCTCTTGGCGTCGCGTTTTTCAAATTTCGAAAGTTTTCCACCTTTTTCGTCATTTTGAGAGTGAGTCGGTTGATTTTGAAGGGCTAAGATCCTAAAATTTTTGATTTTAAGCTCTTTCGCTGGAATTTAATTCCTTGGATTCGCGTTTTTCAAATTTCGAAAATTTTTCGCGTTTTGTCGTCGTTTTGGGATTGAGTCTCGTAAGTTTGAAGCGTTAAGATCCTAAAACTTTTGACTTTAAGCCCTTTCCCCCGAAATTCAATTCCATTGCTTCACGGTTTCGTGGTTTCATGGTTTCACTCATGGTTTCATGGTTTCCTGGTTTCATGGTTTCGTGGTTTCATGGGTTTGGGGTTTGTTTGTTTTTGTGTCGGAGGTTTTGGGTTCGGGTGTTGGAGGTTTTGGGTTTGGGTGTTGGAGGTTGAGGTTTCTGAAGGGATGTGTTTGCAAAGTTTTATTGCTCTTAATATTAAAGAACAACAGAAGTCGAGGTAGACGATCTCCGTCATGGAAAATGTAAGAAAGTACTATCGGGCTCGCATCAGCGTCCGCTTTCCGATATTCTTGAAAGTCTGGACCTATCGGGATCGGCTCTAGTGCTCTTTCCGTCGTTACGAGATTGAAGTCGGGCAACTTGTAATCCCTGACTTCGAGTCTTGTGGGCACACGGTCACCACCCAACTGAACAAATGCCCGCCAAGGTATCCAAAAGCGTCCACTTTTTCGGTCCTGACGTTAGAGCAGCAAGCGCAAGCTGGTGCAGCGATTGCTGAAGAAATCAGACTTCAAACACTACTTAAAGCACGCCAACTCAAGTGATTCATTGACTCATCAATTTGTTAGCATGCAGCGTACAATAGGAAGTATCAGTACGAACTACAATATAAAATCGAAATAAGCATACTTCCCATTTCGCCTTTTTATCCAACGAAGCTGATACAACTCAAGATCTTCTTCCTGTCCTTTATTGATACTGACCTACTTGTCCTTACTCCTTAGGACTCGTTTGCCGCTTCGTCGTAGCGCTGCAGGCAAAGCTTCTGCTCTTCCGGCGTTAGTTCGAGGGCCTGCAAATCAAAAAACTCCTCCGGATCTTTTGGTTCGGGTTCCCCATCTCTGGGAGAGGCGGCTTCAAGATTTGCAAAGATTAGAGGCAAGAGTCTGGTAGTGGCCTCGCGACCATCATGTTCATGCTATTTCAGTATCAAATACAATAAAGAATAAAGTGAAGCTGCGCCTAGTTAGTTAACCATTACCCAGCATTGCTAATCTCCTTGTGTGAGGACGGGAACGGCCGTCAGCCGTTGCGAGTTTGACGCGTCATCCTTCAACTTAGTGACAGCTCAATTAGCCATAAGCTGCCCAAGGATGTTGGCTCGTTTGGTGCGTTGCCGACTTCCCCGCCGCAATCCATTTTCACCAAGTAAACGCCGTGGCTCAAAACGGATTTTTGCAACTTCGTAGCCTCTGCACTGAACCGCTCACTCAAATACTTGCGATTAGATGGGCGACTGCGCTGCTCACACGCGTATAGTGTCAGTCTTCTACATTGGTCGCTGCGTGCTCAGCCTCAGTCTAGCCATCTGCGCCAGCTAGAGTTCCTTTTTGATTCTATCTAGAAAAACCCGATCCCGAATGAAACCTGAAGCCTTTGGCTTTGCGTTTGATAGTAGCCATAACGATAACCTTCTGGGCTGGTACCTCAACACTTTCCGGACTGTGCGCATTCAGCGCATGTAAGAGAGCGTCGCCAGTGGAGCACTGATAGTCTTTGTTCGGTCCGGCATTTTTCTGTCCTACGCGATCTGGGCGACACACGTAGTCTCTTCGGACGCTGAGCACAGTCGTCGAGGCGCCTTCGCTCACACGTTCCTGCAGCGTTAGAAACGATAGCATAAGCATCTCAGCCGAGTGTCAACCCCCCTACTAAGAGCGCCAGCCATGTCCTCCCTTAAAATCTCTCGGAATTCTACTCGCCCACGTGATGTTCTTTACCTTTAGCCGGAGAATGGGCTATAAAAATATAAAGGCTTGCTCAGCTTCATACCCATTTACTCAGTTGCAAACTCACTCTTTCTTGGGTGAAAAGCTTAAAAAATGCTGAAAAAGCACGAGTCGCTGTCGCCGCCTACAACTTTATTATGTATCACACAACCGACAAAGGCGCAGGTCTACTGCCTAATCTCACCTCCCCATAATTTCGTCGGCGTTGACTGAAGGACCTTCTTCGCGTCGGGCGCCTTCCAGTCTACTTTCAGACCTCTCCTTTTTTCTTCCGTTGCCATATAAAACGGATTCCAGATACTCTCACGCCGGGCATGCGGGTTTCGGAGCTGGATGCCATACACCAGAAGAAATTTTTTCTTGGCGTGTACGCTCTGTGCCTCTGCGGCTGCGGTCGTCGCCTCTGCTACAGGTGGCGAGGATTCGAGAGGAACGGCGAAAGCCTCCAATGCCTCCACGCTATACACGTGAGTGGAAAAAATTCCAGAGGAGTCCCCTGGCCCCTCGGCGCATATTTCCTTATACCCCGCAGCACATTCCATCGCAAACGCCATACTGTGCAGAGATTTATACTGGCTCGCGCGTCTTGATCTTTCCTCTGTTTCTTCTTGCAGTCCGGCGAGGGCTCCCGTGCTTGCTGGCGAGTTCCTTCCGAGTCCCGTTTCCTCGTCGACGTTTTCCAACCGTGATCGCATTCGAAAAAAAGCGCACTTGCCTCTGGCTCCATCCTTGAGCTTTAGCGGGTGGAGCACTGTTGTCTTCGATCCGTCAAGTAGTTCGTTTTTAGAGTAATAGGCAATAGGGACAACGGAAGTAACAAACCTACGCTAAACATACCGCCTGCAGCTGGACTGGGTGACTACGTGCACATGCCTCACGCTATACTACCTCAGTAGTGGATTTTTCACGCTTCATCTTTCGAGTTAGCCGAATGCGACGACGCACTCTCTTACTCCTCTTCGCGCAAGCATATTGCCACTCGTGAATGTGGGTGATCGTGTAGTACCTGCATGCGAGCGCGATGTTCTCTGATAGCCTACAAATAATACCCAGCAACAGCTTAACTTCTAACTCCTTCTGCTTTTGGCCACTCATCAACAGGTTCACAGCAGCACCCTCGAGGCCTCCCTCTTCTGGCGGTGGAAGTGGAGTCGCCTCATCCGCCTCGTAGATTTCCTGATAAAGCTGCGTCAGAACAATTGCCGCTAGGCTTGGCCTCAGAGCTGGCCCCACGGCGCCCTGATGCAGTGCTGCTGCACGCATCGCAGAGACCCAAGGCAGCTCCTGTGCGCCCGCTTTATCAGGTAGCAGTTTCAGCACGGTTTTCGCAGTTTGTGAGTCGAGAATTAAAGCAGCCCCAACGCCAGAGATGCCGTCCGAAGGCTTACTTGTTGCTCCACCTACAATGAGGCCCTGCAAGAACTGCGCGACTGACAGCTTCCGCGAGCCCACCAGAACTACTTTAGCGCTTTTAACGAATAAATATGTCTCTACGCAGACGAAAAGAACACCCGTGGGGCCTGGTCCAAGACCGGGCTACGTTGCTTTTAGTTTTCCCGCTCACGACCGAATCCGAACGAGAGACTTCTACTTACAGCCTGTTATACATATTACTAAGCCTAAGCGGGAGGACTCATCAACTACCAGGTCTGGGGCTACAGTGACGTGGCGTAACTGTACTGGCCGCCCTGCGTTGCTTCCACTCCTGTCGCATTCGCTTCAGCACCAGCCACCGCGCGCGATCCAGCGGCGACACCCAAAGCCTGCACAGCCTCGGGTCCATTGCGTGATCTTCTATGCCAGCGGACCGCTCTGCTGCTGTATTCTTCTTCGCAGTAGTGTTCGCGCTAGTTTTTCACTATCCCTAGTTGCGCGAGTTTCCCTTTTTCGCATTGGTTCCCCCCTTAAATATAATGCAGAAACTCTAGACGATAGTGGATTAATCAATCTTTGTTTACATATATTAAGTTCTTCATTACATTTAAATTCCTCATTTATATATAAGTCATGGGGACCCCACTCAACTACATAGTCCACATGGGATAGCGGTAGATTAGCCTTAACCGTCTCTTCAAAACGGTGAACCGCGATATCTTTTTCCACAATTCTATGCGTGGAGTCGAACTCGATTACACGCATTGAAACTGGATCTACTGTCGTCTTTATGAGTGGCGCGTCACCCAACGAGTTCGAGTCCCATTTCCATTCCTTGTACTGAAGCGGTGCGCCCTCACTCCACCCAGCTAAAGCACGAGCAGCCGCCTCACTGAACCCACCGCCCATTGCCGTGTAGTCTCCGACGGCCTTCGCTACTGCTTTAACCAAAAGCACTACTGTTGCCGAGCGATCGGCTCGCACGTTCTCAAAACAGCGACAGGGCTCGCCGTCGCCACGATAGTCTTCCGCATCACCAGGCGCCGCCTCTGGCATCCTGTCGTCTACAAAGGTGTCGCGCCACTGTCCACGCATAAAGAGACGCACCTTGTAAAGACCGAGCGGCGACACTGTTGTAATTTCGCGTAGCCAACCTAGTCGGGCGAAGTTCTGAAGAAGCGCATACACGTAACAGTTGCCAAATTGCTCTTGTTCAACGTATGCGACGCTCAAAATCTTGCCGAAAGGGGGCGGCTGGGTCAAATGCTGTCGCGGGTTTAGGTGGTATCTCGGCTGCAGCTGTTTCTGATTGCGGTAGTCGTCCTCGTCAAGGGCTTTTTTGCACATCCTGTGCTTTGTCATGTACTGGAAGGAGAGTCGCGACGACGCGAGCTCGTTCTTGATTATGTCTTGGTCCTCCTGGTCTCGAAATAAGACCGGCATTCCTGTGTCCACAGTCATGAGTCTGTTGCTTCTACTGCTTTCTCCCGCGCCTTCTCCTTCGCCTTCGTCTCCTTGATGAAGATCAAGATTATCCAGGCTAAGTCGATACACGAAAAGAAACAAGCCCTTTCCATGTGCCTCAAGCTCTCCGTCTGTCCACTTTCGTTGGCGATTGCTGTCAGCTGCATCCGGCTTCTCGGACTGCGGAGGAGCTAATCCAGCGAGGCATTCGGTCTCTGCTTGGAGAGCGTCGCACATCATGCGGAAGTTGAAGTCCACAACCACCCCCAGAGGAGAAGACGCGCTACTGCTATGATCCACACTTACCAGCTGCTGTGTGCTCACCGAGTTCTTCTCCTCGGCGCCATTTTGTTTGCCGGCCATACACTCCTGGAACACTTTCTTTCTCCTGTTCGCTTCCTCTAGTAGCTCGCGCTGCTCCTCCCTCTCCCTCCGTAAGCGCTCCTCTTCCTCCTTCCGCGCGCGGTCTACCTCCTGCTTTTGCCAGAGATCCTCTTCAGCCTTCTGCTCGCGCTGCTCAGCCTTCGCGTCAACGGGGTTAAAGCTTGCGTCTAATGGAATCGGTCTTAGCGCTCCTCCCTCTCGTACGCGGCGCGAGGGGTGCAGCGGGTATACGTCGAGCATGGACTTTGTGGATGCAATCGCACCACCTAGCTGAAGAAACGCACGCCATGGCACCCAGAAGCGTCGCTTTTTTTGGTCCTTTTCTTAGACGGGCTGTCTTCGTCCCCTCTGCTAGTGCTAGCTTCATCTCACATTCAATAATGCTACACAGGCTGGAGGAGTTCACTTTTCACCTAGCCTCCTCCCTAGGAGCATGCTCTATCCTATTTACCCAGCACCCAACGTCCCTATCCACCGAGAAAAGTTACAGACCTACTTGCCCCCCGTAACAGTCGTTTGCCGCTTCGTCATATCGTTGCAGGCAGTGTCTCTGCTCCGCCGCCGTAAGCTTGACCATCTGCAAGTCGAAAAACTCCTCCAATTGGATCCCACCCTCCTTGCTAGCAGCATCGGCCGCCAAATCCTCGTGGCTTAGTGGTAGTTTTTCACTCTGGTGATTCAAGTAAACCACGCCGACGCCGCGCGGAGCCTGTCGGCGAGGGTTCCCATGGTGCCGTCGCTCATGAATTGGCGGGGGCATTCTCGGCGAACGCAGCAAAGTGAAAAACTAGTCATAATTTGCGCAAACGTCGTGGCGCAGGTGGGGACAGACGGCCGGTTGTGGTCGCTGCATCGCCGCAGTCCATCTTTACCTTGAAAACCCCGCGCCTCAGTGAAATATCACGCAGCTCCGTAGACTTCTGGCTGTATCGCTTCCTGCGGTGCTTCTTCTTAGAGCGCGGCACTCACATCGTTCTCGTTGGCAGTAGCGTCATAAGATAGCTCTAGAAACTTCCTCACCAACAACAACAAGTAGAAAAAGCCTGAGAACGATGCTAAGTCAGAGTGCGACTGCAGAGCAGCAAGAGTGGCCGTAACCTTCTGCTTATCGAATTTCAGCTCGGCGCCGTCGATATCGATCGCATTCAACGCATGCAAGAGAACGTCGCCAGTAGAACACGCGTAGTCGCCTGGACGTGTGGCCCCATCACTTGCTCCCGAATCTGGGTGGCATTCGTAATCTGTCCGAACTATGAGCTTCGACGCTATGCCTGCAGTCGTGGCATCGCTTGCTGAGCCAGATATTTTTAAGGTTAGAGACTGCAACTCGTATTTCTACTGACAGTGACAGTGTATCACCCACCGCCCAGACGCCGCTCGTCGTGAGCAACTTCATCAGGCTAAATTTGAAACCCCGCAAGGGGATGCTGCTCCTCGTCTTTCTACATGATTCTCTAAAAGTAAAAGGCGCATGAAGAACGATCCCGACCAAGACCGACCGCATGTGTTAATAAAGCAGGGCGGTCAGAAGGGGAAAGCGGACTCACTACAAGTTGTGTAGACCGCGAATGCACACCCATTATCAATTTAAAGAAGTACATAGCGCGCACTTAAGAAGTCCGGAGTTTATTTGTTTCACGATCAGTCGCTTGCCCCTACCGTAACATCTCGATGACTTCACTAACTGAAGGCCCTTCCGACTTTTCTCGCGTGTCATACATACTATGATCACGAGTCCCCGCCCGAGACTGTACCGTATAGAATGGATTCCAAACACCATCGACGCGCTCTGGACGTGTGTGCCAGAGCTGGATTCCGAAAACGAGAAGAAACTCTTTGTCATCGTCGACGTCGCCCCCCACCTCCAGCTCCTCATCAGATAGAAGAGGCAGCGAGGAGTATACGGGAAAAGCGAAAACTTCCAACGCGTCCACAGCGTACACAGACGATGGCAAAATTCCAGAGAGCGTCGGTTGTGGGTAGGCGCGTTTACTTGCGTCGAGGCCGCGACAGTTATTGTCCGCCCCCTCTTGGTACACGCACATAATTCGAAACAAGGCGGCATGTGGAGACTCTTGCTGGCCCTCGTGTCGTGATTGACTATCTTGCACCCCAGCGCCAGATGATGCCGCGTTGTTGAACGAGCCCTGTTCCAGCCCCGTCAACCCGTCCATGTTTTCAATCCTTGACCGCATACTGAAAAACGCACACTGGTCAGGCTTGGTTTCTCCGCTTCCTTCTTTTCGAGGATGTCGCATCGGCTCAGGTGGTGAGGCAGAGACCCAAAGTCTACACATCCGCGGGTCGATGAGCCCTGCAGCAGGCAGAGAACCACAGGAGGCCGGTCCCCCGTGCGTATCCACGACGAATTTTTCTGCGGCGATAGAGCATCGAGGCTCAAAGCCAATCACACGATTAGAAGCGCCGCGCCCGTCGCCTACAGCTGTTGCGCCACCCCTCGAGTTCCACGACCACTCGCTGAAGTCGTAGGATGGTGTAGGTTCGCTATCGGTTCCGTCCCAACCGACGAGACTGCGCATATAAGCCGGCGCCTCATGACGCAGTTTCCTGTCGCTCCTAGTGCCCAATGCCGTGTAGTCTCCCACAGCCTTCGCTACTGCCTTGACAAGCAGCGCTACTGTTGCTGAGCGATCGCCTCGCACGTCATCAAAACACCGGCACGACCTCGCGTCTCCTTCTTTGGCCTTCGCTGCGCGAATGTCTTCTGGGATCCGGTCGTCTACGATGATGTCGCGCCACTGTCCCTCGATGAAGAGGGGCACCTGGTAAAGACCTACCGGCGACGTCGTGGCAATCTCGCTTAGCCACCCAAGCCTGGCGAAATTCTGAAGCACTGCGTAGAGACTGCCGACGTTCTCAAACTTTTCTGCTTCAACGTACTCAACACCGAAGTTTTTTCCGCTCTCCGGTGGTGAAGGCAAGTCCTGCCGTGGATCGAGATTGAACAAGCTAGTACTTTCGCTGAGGCGGTTCTCGAACTGCTTTGCGCACGTGCGACGGCGTGTCATGTACTGGAAAGACAGCCGCGATGGTGCGACTGAAGGTCTAGTGGTGCCTTCTGTACGAGCAAATAGGAACGGCATGCCCAGGTCAACCGCAATCTTTCTGCTCGCAAATTCTTGCTGGTTCATGCCTGGGAGATGATCCACGCGGAGTTCATAGACGACAATGTCTCCCTTCTGTTCTTCGAACTGCTCGTCGGTCCACTTAGCCCGTACAGTCCCAGCTCCTAGTCCCGTACCAGCTGCAACTTGCTGCAAACACTGGGTCTCTTGTTCAAGGGCGTCGCATGTTGTAGGAAAATGGAAAACCGAGCTGGAAGTACTTGAAGCCGGTTTGCTGAAACTGGTGCTCCCAGACGACATGCACGTCAGGAACTCCTGTGTCTTGTCTGTTTGTGTCATTTGTGTTGACGCACTCGAGCCTTGCTGTTGCAACTCGAGATGCTGAACAAAAGTCGACGCGAATCTGGAAGGAGCGGCTCTTGTGGTAGTTGTCACAGGATATCCAACTTGAGCGCTGGAATTCAAAAGCCGAGCCGTAGATCCATTGTCATTTTTGTCCACGAGTACCGCACTCCTCCACGTTGATCTTGTGACAGAACCAGAAGATTCTTCACTGACATGTAGAACGTCATAGCTCAGAGGAGGCTGCTCACTAGTTCCTGATGTTGACAAGTACACGCGGTCACGTCCCTTGAATTTGATTTGGTGGCCGACACTTGTAATATTCTTGTGTGCGAGTAGTCGCATTCGCACCACAGGAAATAAGTGCTCCGACAGGAAAGATCCGACCGCCACCTCTGTGGGTGACTCCCCATTCACCACCACCACTAAGCGAGGAGCAAATCGCCTGATTTGCCCAGCTTGCTCCTCTAGGAACAGCAGGGCTGCTGCAGTCCTCTTGCAGGAGGCACTCGTTGCGGCAACCTCCGCGTCCAGGCAGTACCATCGCAGAAGCTGGAGTGCGACTACTAAGACAGCCCCTCCAGATAAGAGAGCGAACATTAGAGGTTTCCTGCAGTAGTTCTTGACCTGATATCATTCTCGCATATATATGCCCTTTCATCTAACAGAAAGCCTCCTAGATATGCTTATGATAAAGAGGTCAGCTTGCGCGCGAAAGCCCTTAAGAGCAGCACTGCAACCACCGAGATGCTCGAGCAGGAACAGCAAAAATATTTTCGCCATCGTCGCGCATCCAAGATGAACTGCTTGCTGGTTTGTAGATAACTCCTGCCTCTCGCCTTCGTTGGCTTTCTCAATGGAGCACGCTCCTCCTCGTTGACCACATCAAGGACACTCGTTGTGCGCGGCGAGCCCCCCCTCTCCTCCCATAGGCTACTCGTCCCCAGAATTTAGAAGAGCCTCGAGTTTGATGTACTATGTTGACATCTACAGGGTGGCTTCGAGTTTGATGCAGATGTACAACTTATATCTTCATCACATCTAATAAGTCATAGTCTTTCACTTCTCTATTGACACGACTGATCTGATCCTGAATATTGAAAGATATAGATGTAGACGAGGGGGAGCAGAACTACGTCGACGAGGGAAAAGCCTCGAACTGGTACTAGTTGCTTTGTTCACTTATCAGTGCCATGTGCCTAGAGCTATTCACTCTGGGCTTCTTTAGACTTATATCATATAACGAAGACCGCCAGGAACGCCTGCTTATCTCATGTGTAGAAAAGGATCGTAACCGCAAAAAATATATGCACGAACTTTATATAAGATTTTGAGAAATCTTAGGTAGCTGCTCATGCTCTTCTCCAGGTATCAAGAATTTGCGTAGCCTTAGCTATTTTGCTCCAGGGAATAAGCATCCAGGTCCAGTCTTGCACGCTCACGCCATGTCCTGCGGACCAGCGCTGTGAGGTCTTCCTCTGCGTCGGTGTCGACGCTACTGGTCTTAGAGATGATCAAAAAATGAAGAACAAGCAGTCGAAGAAATAAGAGACCAAGATGAAATAGAAGGGAGTTGCGCATCAAGATCCAAAGAGAGCATCAACATCGACACATTGAAAATTGTTCAATAGTACTTCTTAATTAAAAGTTGTTCCCCTTGATGTAAGAGTATTGACTATTAATACAGTTCTTCTACGAATAATCAATATGAATATCATTATATCTCAGTTTCAATCCATATCCATGTTTCAAAGCGAAAAGTTTGAGTCACTTATCGACATGAGCCCTAATGATACTGTCAGCCGCACTGGGTAACCCTTCAGCATCCTCGTCGTCCTCTGGCTTCCAGCGTAAATCCGTCATTCTTGACAGGCAATGCTACTAGCGCCCGCTGCTGCTAGTAGCAGTATGCTATTGATGTTCCTGTCGTCACTGTTGTGAACAGTAGCAGTTTCCTGTTTGTCCTCTTGCGTCACGACTTGGTCTTGCTGCAGAATCCTACCCCTGCCACCAGGGATCTACTTTCACAAAAATTGCAACATCGAGGGTTGACAGTAAGCAAGTGCCATCGTTGAGTGGGGCAGCGCAAGAATTATACCAGCTCCAGCTTCTCGTCATCGACTTGTTAACCCCATGATCATGTGGATCAGTAACTATGTGAGGCAGCTGGTGCTGATCTTGATATTATCCTGAATAGTTGTACCTCTAAGTCAGGTCCTTGAAGATCCCACTCGTTTTAGACAAATCCACACACTCACCGTCACCCTCTAATAATGCGCTTGTTCGCCCTCACACTCACGCTTGTTCTCCCGTGGCGATCGTTCTACTGGAGGATCATCTTCTGCCCGAACATCAAACTATTGCTGCACGGCATAAAGTTAGACTTTTAGAGGTGAAAACTAGCCGGCTGCTTTACTTCGTGCTTTGAGCGTCGCGGGCCTTAAACCTCTAGCTAAAAGGTGAAAGCCAATCTGCACAAACAAAGTACTCTTCTTATAAGGTGAAGGGCCTATGTCCGTTGAGGTGGCGAACAATGAAACAACTAGTGCCCACCGTGAGCGTAACAAATTACCACGATTTGGAAAAACGTGATAAAAACAAGTCTATCCTGGAGGTCACGAGGACATGTGCAACAATGTATCCTTAAAAATCATGTGCTTTTGTGCGACGATGTGTGTATGTGTTCACAAGAACTTTTTCCCTGGTCTGCACTAGAAGAGGTGATGTAATAAGAAGCCAGTATGTTGAGGCACGGCGAAAGGTCCTCATTAGTGTTGCAACTACAGTTATACAAGTACGCTAGGACGATCACAAGTACACAATAACAAGAAGAAGAACTTCAGCTTCATCTATCTGTTACTGCCGAATAGAATTGGCAGAACTACTGTAGGTAAACAAGAACGTCCGTGCTCTTGGTCTTCTCATGTACAACTAGGTGACGAGAGACACTCCGCGATGTGACCAAGAAGGCTCTTCGTCACCTTGCACTTGGCTAAAGCTTCCTTCATGATGATGAAGCCACGTCCACCTGACCCCTTGCCCTTTCCCCCATCAAACAAATCTGCCATGATTCGATCACACGATCCAAGCCTCGTGCGTAGTTCTGCTTCATGTTCATGCAGGAAGGTCACGATTATGCGGAGCACCATCTTCCACGACCCCTCGAATAGAAAGACGTCCCAAATCCTGAGAAAATCGGTCCGGCTAATACCATTCCGCTCCCGCCAGTCAAGAGTCGTTAGAGAGTAGACGAGATATCAAAAAGTAGAAAAACATTTTAAATATCTATGTTCAGGTAGATCTAAACTCGTCTCGAATGCCAATCTTCAAGATAGAGTAGAGTGAATGAATGTACCCACTCCAGGGGTGTAAAAGATGACTACTCTACTTCGATCTACAACTTCTATCATCTTAGATCGGCCCTTCGATCTACAACTGTCAATCAGTACGGCTCTTCAGATGATCATTATTCTTCAATTCTTCTTGGTAGATGAAGATATCAAGTACAACAAGTTTAATCATGTTCAATTTCCATAAGAAAAGATCTTGGACTTGGTAGAAAAACCAGAGTTCAGGAGCGACACCTTCTCCGAAAAAATGACGAAAAAGCTGAAGGCTCTTACCACACAATACAGCCTGAAACTGCCGGCAAAGAACGACCTGATATGTCTGTCGAATGGTGGTCAAATGGGGGTCGTTCATGATATTTCTACATTTTGATTGGTGCTCGTCATCTCCTGTTGAGCTTGAGTTAATAAAATAGAAACAAGAATAAAGCGAGAAAAACAAGAAATTCTTGATGTTAAAATTATATCAAAATCTTCAAGAATACCGCTTTTCCTTTGCTTGTGTGGTTTGAAAAGAAAACGGTTGAGGTAAGGATTCCAGTAGCGTCAAGGCAGTCGAATGCGTCCGCAAAGCCGGCTAACCTGGCGAAGCGTCTTTTGGCGCGCGCACGCACAACACCTCCCGGAGAAGGTCCGTAGCTTAGGCACAAGAGCGCCGCCGATTCCCGATCACGCTCGCGAAGCAACTTCTCATCTTCATCCACCACTCCAAGACGACGCGAAGAACTCGCTTCTCCTTTTCCAGAGGGCTTCGAGAATGAGGCTGTCGCGCTACCTCTAGGGTCTGACCTGCCATCTTCAGGTCCGCCACGACTAGTACAGGCTTAGAACAGAACAAGGAGGTGAAAGAGGACAATTAGGAGGACAAAAAATTCTACATGGATCTACTGCCACATCACGCACATGATTGATCTATCCTCTTGCAAATTTGCATAGAAGCAGACCTTCTCTCATAATTTGCAACGCGTCTGCGCGTATGTTTTCTCGCTAGCCAGCGCCAAAAACCTGGCCTGACGTTATCGGGAAGCGGTGCTCCGTGCCGAAGGACCCACTGCCAGAGCTTTTCTTGCCAGAGAGCGCGAAACCACGACCGCGACAAGCAACAACAGCCACAACTTTAGAAACAAGTAGAAGCGAATGCGAAATCGTCTCAGTCCATCAGATCACCAACATGATCTTGAATTATTTCATCTAAATCTATGTAGTTAAGATCGATAAGCTGGTCTTGTTCAAAGATGGATTTCTTTGAAAAACTAGTCTTCGAAAGGCGGGTCCTCTTGCTCTTGGGAGGACAAGGACAAGGACCGAACTTCGGAAGATTATAGATGGATTGCACATTCAACATGTTGATCTGTGATGAGGAGCCTTAAGCAATGGTAGGGAGATCACCGACAAAGGCCATAATGCGCCGAAGTGCAGTTGCCGGGACACGCTCAACAGCGCTTGGAGTTGGACGACGCCGGAACGACGAAGAAGATTTACTAGAAAAGCCTATTGAGGTTCCACCTCCTTCGGAAGTACCTATTAAGGTTCCACCTCCTTCGGAGGTCTGCGTATGGACGACGGCGTTTATCTTGCCGTTCTCCTTCTCCTTCATCTCGGGGATTATATCAACATTACAGGCTAGTGGCTTGTGGGCATCTCCACCTATCTCGATCTCGTCTGCTTCGCCTTCGCCTCCTACAGCATCACCTTCGAAGAGCAGCGACGCACCAAGCTGCCAATCTACATTAAAAAGTTGTTGCTCTTGTCCACGTCGTGATGCTGCAATAGGTTGATCATGTTGTTGCTCAGTAAAACAAGCCTGTTGTGGCTCCCATCCTGGACGAAGAACAGAACAACATGTCGAAGAAGGTGCTGAGTCGTTAATTTTGGTAATAGCTGTCGAAGTCGATGTCGTACTGGTAGAAGATGCTCCTAAAGATGCATTTCCATGCTGAGTCGCATTCTTGTCCGCGAGAACCGCGAGGCATTTCTTTAAAGGCTCTTCTCTTGGCAATAAGGGCGGCAAATTCTCACGCAGAGCGGCCACAACCATCTCAGAGAGTGCAGCCATGCGATCGCGGATCAGCTCCTCTCGGAGAAGAAGGGACGCTTCATCTTGGTCTCTGGTGCCATTCTCTACTTCGCGATTCCTGCTTGCTTCTCCTACTTCTTCTTGAAGGCATAGAACCTTGTTGGCTTTCTCACAATAATTAGAAGGCCCACTAACTACAAAACTGTGAGTGGTACGTCGTGCATCTTATCAGAGTCCTAGAAGGAGACGGCGAGAATGAAAACTTACCACCTGCTGTATGATATATTCATCCAGAGAACTAATTCGACGTGGTCGATCTCCTATAGACATCAGTCTTGAATATTGTGAGGGTGGGTAGAGTGAGTCAGCTTAAAGTTAAGAAAGATGGCATTGATCGGACGCTGCTTCATGAGTTTCGCCAGCGTGTCGCTGCTAGCGAGTGAAAGATTTACTGCAACCAGACGAGACCCGATTTCCAAGTCCAACATCGATGAGGGAGGATGAGTCGCCTGGAGACGCCATGTGCCGACAGTCGCTTGCAAGCGACGTCGCTGGTGCGTCAAGGTATTATTGACCCCAGTTCCAGTTCTTGATGTGAACAAATTGGACGTCGAATTCGAGTTGCTACGGTCCTCACGTGGGAGATGTGCTCTATTCTTATCTGAAGATAAGGTGGTTGTTGAGCTCGAGGGTCCTCCATGATTGGCATCCGTTCGTAAGAAGTCATTGAGTTGCAAGCCGCCTCCGTTGATCATGCCTTGCCGTTGTCCACTTGATGCAGCTGCATTGCTGTTTTTCACCTGGAGTGACATGTTTAGCGCGTCTCCTTGCGCAGGAAGCGGCGCCTCATCCATCTGGAGTCCCAAGGGTCCCTCGTCGCCAAAAAGGCAGTCTCGGATTCCGCGCCGCTGTCGCAGCCACCGCAGAGACCGCGCCCACCGCCTTCCCGGCACGTGCTGACTGGTCTCCAGTAAGACTGCGAGCACAGTGCGAGAGGGCAAGAAAGACCACAACGCTAGCTCCTCCAGGTCGCATGGTCCGAGTCGCTGCATGGTGGGGGAACCCTCGTCGTTCCCATTCGCATGTGGAAGCGCACGTACTGGTAAATTCGGAGCAGCGTCTTCTATTAGAGGTAGGCTTTTGGTGCTCGCTTACCCCGCTTGTTAATATGCCTTTCTCCACCTAAGGGAGAGAGGCATAAAAAGCGGTAAGAAAAGCACCTTTAACCTACCCTTAATTCTACCACTGCACTTGTTCTTGAAGTTGTACCCTCATAATAATCCACTAACTCCAACTCATCATGGTCTCCTCCTGAAGATAACATAAGGTAGTCTTGTACAAGCTCAGCGATGGTCGACTGCATTCGTCTTGGTGAGGTGGGAAGAAGGCGCTGTTGCTGTTTGAGCACGTAGTACCGCTTCCTCTCATTAATCAGCGACGTGTTTCCATGCATCAAGAACATCCTTAAGCAGGGAATCATATCACTGATTTCCTCACGCGATCGAACATGAAGGCACATGCCACCCAGTTTTTCTGTAAAACGCTCCAAAGACTGCAACCTGAACATGAACAAGCCAAAATTCTACTTTCATGATAACAAGAGCAAGGTGGAGGAGCTACACTTTTGCGATCAACTAAGTAGGACAAGGGATAGCTAAAACCAATGGCGGGTGGCAACTAAGTAGGCACAAGGGTCGTGGTAATGAACTACACAAGCTATAAAACTAATTCAATGCAGATCACAAGTAGATCATACCGTTCGCTTCCAAATGAGGTCTCCTCTGGCTCAAGTACGAGGACGGACACGGAAGAAAAGTAGGTCTGAACGAAATGCGCGCCAAGGGATAGCCGCTCGGGGTCCAGACATGTACTTCTGCCCTGGGTGCTGATAATGAGCAGCCTTGGCTGGTTATCCTCTTGTTCTCCACGACCTGCTGAGTGGTGATGTGCTGTGTTCAACGCATACGGGTTCACTTTAGCCTTCGTCGTCCTGCCGGTGGGCGTGATATTCCTCTTGTTGTGCTTCATTGGAGCTCAAAACAATTCAGGAGTTCTTGGATCATTTCTTCGGAATCTTCCCAAGAAGGAACAAACCGAAGAAAATAAATGGCCATTGGAAATCAAATGCATGACTTTGTTGGGCCTTAAAAACTTCAGCATCTTCCCCCCGCTGTGGTCAACATTTCTTGCTGTGATACAAGACATGTGCTGCAGCGCCGTCCACAAAGGCTTCGGCGCACCTGTGCTGCCGATAGAGGCCTGGGCTGTCGCAAGGTGCGCCTCGATTTGCGCTGCGTCGACTTTGTCGATCCGCATAGTATGTGCATCAAGCTGTTGAGGAGCCACATCACAGGACGATGCACGCTCGAAGAGCTCTCCTGTGCGCGTCGTATCCAGCACTTCCGACGACGCGTAGGATGTGGACGACGTACAACTTGGAGTTCTTCCGTTGGAAAGAGCAGTAAGCCGCGAGATTGTAGATGCTGATGCTCCTTCTGGAGGTGCCGAGGAACAATTTATTTGTGACGAGGTACTAGAGGTAGTTGCTGTCTGGAGACCACTGAGAAAGAACACAAGCTGGACATCCTGCACTGACCGAGCATCCTCCTGTTCCAACCGTCGGATTACATCTACAACCCATTCCATGCGACACCCGTATTTCTTCCGCAGAAAACGCTGAAACGTCGCTCCCTCTGCGCCGACCTGCAGTGGATGTTGTTATCGTAGAGGTCGTCGTGGTAGAACAAGAGCCATATTAAGTCTTCTTGCTTTCTATGTATAAGTCTAGGTTCCATAGCAAGTAGACTCGTCTTAGCACTTCCAGTTGCGGTTCCTCGTTGCCTGATAATAGAAGTGGACTAAGACATACTTGTTTGAAAAAATAAAAACCATTGAAAAAATAGTAGAATTTGCCTTATACGAAAACAAGAGCAACTACATCAAATATCTCTTGTTCTTTGTTTATAGCATGACCACTAGGAGGAGGTGCATGTTCATCTACACCTCTGCCAGTAGTTGGCCCGTGAGCTGCTTTAGTTTTTGTTGCTTTTGTGCTCGCTGTCTGGTCGCAGTTGGACGGGATCCGGGAACGTACTGCTGCAGCAAATCCGCTTCCTGAGTCGTCCGCGAAAGAACGAATGGTATCAGCTCTTGCTCCAGTTGCGCAGCAGTGCATTCTGCCCGCATCAGATTCGCGGACAGCTCCACCGCTAGCACCAGCGTGTGTCGCTCCCCGCCCATCTTGGACTATATATATTTATACCCTTGTTCGAGTTCTTCGGTCAGCCGAAGCTTCTTTCAAGTTCTACTTGGAGCAACCAGCGAAGTTTCTCCTATTATTGGCTGCTCAAATTGATTCCCCGTCGAACCAACAAAAGCCAAAAATGAAGTTGTTGACCACGACCGTTTAGTAGCTGGCGTTCCGCTAATCGCCGTACATCAGATGAGGCGCAGGGTGCTCGAAGTCAAGCGCACCACGAGACATCTTCGCAACACCACCAGGCGCCTCTAGCACCAACAAGGCAGGTCGGAAAATACCACCCGTTTCGTGACAAACAGGCCATCTAAAACCACGTTCAACGTGAGTGTGTCTAAGTCTAGTACTTGAACTTGATGTGATTAGAAGAAAAAGTCCTCATAAAAAAATGATCGATGTACTGCTCAAGCTCACACTCACTCCCATTTCATCAACATGCGTTATCATAGTCCTTTATGCATGTGTATTCCATCTTCATGTGGGTACTAGTTTGTCTTCGTGAATGATTAGATCTCATCAGGGGTTGATGGTCTAGTACTTCTTGATGGCAATGCCCTTGATGTTGTTGCATTGATTCGCTACCATTAACAGATTCATCATGGTTTGAAGAATTGTAGTTGATGGTTCTTTGATGCCTAGTAGCTATACCTACGCTTTTCATGACATACAAGTCTAGACGCGGAGGACGTGGGGAACCGTGAAACGCATATTTCTTCAACACCTGCGAAATGGTTTGTGCCTGCTCGTTCAGGAGCGGTGCAAGACCGTCGCTATTGCCATAAAAACCATGCACACAATTATAAGCTTCGTGGAATCTGCTTCGTGTATCAGTGCTCTGAGAAACACGAAAAGCCAGGACTAACAGCTCCTCTCTTGTGACATACGTGATGTGCATACCGGGCGTTCCAAAGCTGGGAATAAAAATGAATGGCGACAAGGCAGAATGACGAAATAGAGTGCGGAATACTTAAGCTTCTCCCCCGCCCATCAATAGCTTTTTTTCACTCGCTGAAACCTGCCCCAAAACCTCAACATTCTATTGAAAAAACGAACGCAGCAATGTGTGGAAATTCTTGGATATATAATTCACGAGGCTTGGAAATTCTTGGAAGACCAAACAAAGGAATTGAAATTCGTTTTCTATTTAGTGATCTATTCAACAAGTGCCAACATATGTATGAGCGATCTTGCGAAGAATTAAGTATTTTAGGGAAATCTAATAAAATCTCATGGATGCTGATGAACACAAGATCTGCAAGCTCTAATTATTTTTGTGGACTGAATTGTTTTCTCAAACTACGTGACTAAGTAACTAAGAATCATCAAATATTAACGTCGTTAATTCTACTCGAAAAATGAGTACGTGAACGATAGATAGTTCGCACAGTGCCCCAGTGCACGTATTGCAACACATTCTGAGGGTAAATACACCAAATCAATTGAAGCGGAGTAAAAACTTCTTCTAGCTTTTAAATTTAAATAAAACGAGATAAAATCAAAATTTTTTGGATATTCAAAATTTGAAATGTTTAAAACACTAAAATTTTGCTTTTATCCAAATTGATTGAAATTCGAATACGGAAATTCGATGTTGATGATGAAAGACAAAGTTATGAGATGATTTTTGAAATCAAAATGAAAAAATCTAAATAATTTAGTGATTTCCCGTCTCTTCATCCGATATTCACACTTGATCTATCCTCATGACTGAACGCATATTAAGCAACAACGCGCAAACAACAGCTGCAAGTTGGTTCACGGTCACTTACTTTGTCGACGAAAGTAGCTGCTGACAATGCAAGAGAATACTCCACTCTTCCTCGCTGCAGATCCAGCCTTCATCGATCTCCCGCTTCAACAAGGCGTCCGTCAACGGAGACAAATATGTCGCACCAAGTTCATTTAGAAGTAGTATTTCTTCTTGTGTTCTACTACTAGTACTACGTCTACGTTCGTAGTACAACCACATTATATACTAATGCATTTGTAGTTCCCATGCATGATTAACTCATCCATTCCACCGTTTTAAAAAAGCTTTGAAACATGTGCTGATAACCTAAAACATAACATCATGCTTCCTTGACTCGCCTCCGGACCGCTCGTAACCGTCAAAAGAAGCCACAGCAAACGAACGGCCCACACCCGCAATTCCATCAGATCCTTTGACGAAGTCCTACTTGTGATCATGTCACTCGTCTTGTCTTGATCTGCATCTACAACTCCCCTTCGCCCATTACCCGCACACTCTTGTTGATCAGCTTCCCTTAGTAAGAGACAGAACTCGATCAAGTTGCTGACACCATTTTCCAATGCCTGGATCGCTAGGTCTGACGTCCGACACAAATTGTAGAGTGTGTAGAAGACCAACTGAATATACGCTCTATTACGTCGTGAACTCTGCTGTTGCTCTGCACTGAGGGATGGCAACAAAAGTGAGCGCCCGGACGCAGTTCGCAGGATATTTGTTCTAGCAGTATTAGAATCAGCTTCTTGAATCCATCTCGGTCCCCTCATCTCGACCCCTTATTTCCCATGAAATACAATGGAGACGGGTATCGAAATGCCGACGAGAAAGATGGATAAAAGCTGACCGTAATAGTAGTTCTTCCTCCATTGCTCATGTAATTCCGGTTTCTTTGCGGTGACGACGAGGATGAGGTTGAAAGTAGGTCGGGTCTTAGCACGACCTGACGCAAGATTTCATCTTCTTGTTCGTCAATTTCTGCTTTCATCTTCACAGCATCTGGTCCAGTCAGCATGATGGAAGAAGCATCAACTTGAACTGGAATCCGGCAAAGGCTGAGGCCAAGCGCAATCGCTGAAGTTACGGTCGTTTTTGTCGCCAGCAGGGGACGCAAGTGCACTGCGAACCCTTCGAAACCTCCAAATCTTGTGAACATAGCACAGCAAAGTTGCAAGCCACTCACTGCAGAAGCCGCTTCCTCATCATTTGTGTTCTGGAGTAGATTTTTAGTGGACGACGATGAGCTTCCTGCTCCCTCCTCGTGTACAACAGGAACCGATGTTGACGCAGTTTTTTGATGCCCCTTCTCCACCTGGTGATCCTGTTCCTGACCGCCCGCCTGGCGAACTGATCTGAGCAGAACCTTGTTGAACACTGTGGCAAAAATAGCATGTTGGAGAAAGGCTTGGAGATGTTCCGTTGCCAGCATGTTCAGGAAAGCGCGGAAGGTATACTTCGGCAGGCGGTGTACCAGAAGTGATAGGAAGTCTAAAGCCACGCGCGGAACCGGCCACGACGCCGTTGCTGCAGCTTCTTGGTCACGACTAGTTGTAAAGCGATTCAGAAAATTCATCTTCGCAAAAGCAGCTGTAGCTGCACCAGCTAGTCCACCTGCTTCTCCGCTCGTCCCGAAAGAACGAGGAGTGGTCCGATTAAACGCCGTGCGTGCGATAATGCTGCTCACGACGTGGCATACAGTAGTTTCGAGTTGCACCTCGGAAACAAGTGCGGTTGCAAAAAAATGCTCACCGTCCTCACCGTGGTTCCCATCTCGTCCTTCCTCGGGCTCTCTCTCGAAATACAAGTAATGCGCTAACAATCTCAAACTCTTTTCATTCGGATCCAGCAGCATCGCGTCATGTGTATTCGCTTGTATATTAGCATAAGCATGCACAAGACCATTAGAATTAGAAGTACTTGTACTACTACTGATTGCTTGCTCGAGTTCCTGCAGGATGCGAGCCGCTGACTTGGACCCCATCTCGGACGAAGAAAGCGGCAGTGGCAATCGTAGAGGCTGTAGTGACATCTGCATTAGAGCGTCGGTTACTAAAAATTCATATTCTAGAAGAAACCTGCATCTCCTACTTGTATGCTATGGGAGAAGCATAAGGAAGAAGATACCGAGCTGCGAACAAGTAGTACTTCGACTTCATACTTAGAGATGAATATAATAACACAAGCTCACCATAACTGCTGCTCCTCTTCTTGTCTGCGTCTCTGCAGTTCCGTCAGATGATCGTTCTTGTTCTGCCTCAAAAGTTTTTGTCGATATAACGCATTTTGTGTGGCGCCGTGAGGAGAGCGCCTGTTTCGCTTCCACTCCACGCCCTCAAACGCGTCAACTTGTTCAGGAACACCGGCACCTCCCAATCCCAAAGCGCTTGATACTAATCCGCCGACGAGCGAATCAAGACCTCTTTTCAAAGCTTTGTCGTCGGCAAAGGCTCCCGACGCAGTCCTCATGGTCCTTGTGCCGTCCGCAAGCTCTCCCATCAATATTGCTCCTTCTCTCGTACGAACCACATCGACAAGTTTTGCCCGCCTCATCAATGAAGATGCCTCCTCCAGGACCTGTTCATTATATTGCGTGGTCTCTGGAGATGAAACGAGTTCGACCGTCTCTGTTTCCATTGTCAACAAGGATGTCGTTTTCTCCATGTGAAGGTTCTGATCATGTGACGACTCACAAGGTAGACCACGTAGATGATATGATTCCACGATACAAAACATCGGATTTTTGCCGAGGAAATGGAAGTGCTTCATCGCATACTTAAGCTCCATTTCTTTCTTATGCACCAGCAACCAAGAAGAGAGGAAAACGCCGTCAAAGGCGCGCTCTGTCTCGCTACAAGTTAGAGGTACCCACAAGCCATCTTTTGGAATATCTTCTAGCTCGTCTTTGCTAGTAGAAAAAGGCCATCAAAAGATATAGAACGAAAAAGGTTCGCGGTGCCCTTAAACAAGCAGATTGGAAGCAGAGACGCCACCTGCAGCTGGAAAACGCTACTTCCCATAGACGGCGGACGCGCACGAGGATATCCTGATCGCGAACGTGAAAGCACGACGCGGGCAATGCAAGCAGTTGCTCGACGAAAGATTCCGCAGCGTCCACCTGTGGCTCGGGTACAGGTACTTGCTCGTCAGTAACGTTCTTGTCTGGAGAAAGTGGCCGCGATGTGGCCGCTCCTTGTTGTTGGTCGTGTGTTATTCTTTGCCCGCCGTCGTGAGTCTCCTGCGGAGTAGTAGAGTTGAAAGCTCGTTGTTGTTCATCTGGACTAGCACTATTCATCTTCAACGTTATTCTTGGTCCCTGTCCCTGTGGTTGTCTTTGCCTGCTCCCTTTCGCAGCCTGCGTGCGTACTTTGCCTTGCTGTGCTTTTTTCCCTTTATTGCGCGCGTTCGCCTCAAGTCCTGGGCCACCGCGTTCCACATACGACGGGGACGGCGTACGTAGACCATGTTCTCCTGCGGAAGATGACGAATCTGTTTCTGCACGCCTCACATCGCTGAAGCTGGAAGATGACGATGAGCTGCCCTTGTCGTCGTCCTCGTGCATCTTTCTCATATTGTCTTGCTTGTTCTCATCTTGAAGATGGGGAAGATGGATTTTCCAGTCTCGGAATAAGGCTTCGCGCTGTTTCTGCAAGTCCGCTAAGCGATTTTGATGCGTCCCTGTGAGAAAACCAACGGAACCGGTAATACTGGCACTGGGACTCGTTTGTTGCGGACCCTCATCTGGGCTCCTTGGGGCTGGGAGGACCGATCTTGTTACAGCTGAAGAATGAGGAGCGCTCGAAGTCGTGTCATGAAAATCTAATTCGTTTTTCGGCATGTCTGCGCTGCTCGGGTCGTAAATACGCCGTACTGGAGAAAAGCTCTCAGTACGCGGACCTGGTAGTTCGTTGTAGGTACTATAGTAAGAGTAATCATGCTGCAGTACCTGCATCAGGAGGGAACAAAATTTTGGAATTATTTATCAACATCTACGTTTCCATTTAATAAAATCATGTCACTCAATGTCAATCACCTAAGTACGTAGACTCCGGTACAGTCTCTAGGTCCACCAGAAGTGTTATCAAATACTGCCATCCGAATCTCCACGACTTTGTCCACGCAGCTTGGCATCTAGAGCTTGCCATTCGGCCAATTTTTGAATCCACACTCCTGAATGACAGCTGTCAAGAATGAGAATGATCTCTCGTTCCCGTTTGGCCGCTTTCAACCGTAATTCCGTTTTCGTAGCTAGCCTCTTATCGCTGCTCTCCTGGCTGCTGGCTACAATTGCCTCCAGTGTTACCTCCAGAAACTGCTCGAACGAAAAGTCCGCTCGTCTTCTATGAAATCTACAATCGATGAACAAGACAAAATCGGTGACAATAATTTGATGTCCATGTTGTCAAACTATAGTCTAACAACTGTTCTTATAATTCTTATTGAAGCTTGTTCTGAGTATATTAATTGTATCTCATGTCATCCACCTAGTAACAAGCATAAAAAGCACAGCAGGAGCATCACGTTCTTCAAGTTGTTCAATACGAGTCTCGTCCCGACTGTCGTCATACCTAGACGGCATCAGCTCTCGTCCACCCTGACTAGCCTCATCCACCTCGTTTTTCAGAATCCAATTCCCCGTTTTTTCGCGACCATGTCCGCCAAATACTATGAGTCGGGTCTGCCATGGTTCCCGATCGTCCGTGTCATAGTTGAGAAACCCCCGTAGTCTAGAAACAACAGTGGCCACCGTTAGCCCACCATCGACTATGGAACGCGCAGCGTCGATGCCACGACTCAGAATAAACAGCCCTTTTTTGGTCGTGGTGGATGCTTCCTCTTGACTCCAACGGGCGTAACGCGTCAGGCAATCGAAGTCGCTGTATAAGCGGTCTAGACGGACACCTGTTTCGGGATCCTCCGTACAGCCAAGCAAAAGAGCCGCCATCTTTGTGGTTCGTGTGCTTACTTTTATCTTCTGAAAAGAAAAAGTAGAAGAAGCAGAAGGATATTAACGCAGGATACTTCTTAAGATTAAGAAGTAAGTGCAAGTTTCTACTTGCTCAGACTGGTGCTCAACATACTCTCAGACTCAGTCATAATTTTAATCGAAGGACAAGTTCTTTTTTAAGAATGATTTACGTTCATCTTCAACATACAACACACATTCATGATTTTTCACCTTTCATGTAAGTACGCAAATCTGGACAAGGGATCTGTAGGTAGCAGGACCATTCAAGCTACAAGAACTCTTCAGATTCATCTAAGTACTAATACTCGTACTCCAGCGCCAGCTCCTCCATTCGCGATGATAGAAAGGATAAGAACCGAGGATAGTTTGACATACAAGTTTTCAGGAGTTATTGTTCATGATTTCTTGAGTGCCGCTGCCGATGTGGTCATTCACGTAGACAATTCATAGTAATACCTGCTTCTAGAGGACACTACTAGAAATCACAAGTATTACGGAACGAGTTGACCCGTAAGAACTTTCTGTCGTTGATAACACTCACACTCTCCGTAACAGACTGACACAGACACTAACACTCTTATTTCAGAAAGACGAGTCTTTCTGTCTCTGCATCTGAAAAATAAACACGGTACACTGCTCCCACACATGTCCGAATACTAGACGGGGAGCGTTGGATTGTTGATGTGGAACCTAGACTTCTTGAATTCTTGTTTTGGTTGCCTAACATGTTTTCTTGTTGGGGCTATGTCCTTCCTGGGTCAGGGGGAGTTTTGGCTTTGGAATGGGTCAACATTTTTATGACAGGGGAGGATGTGTCCAAGAACAACAAGGACTTTCTATTGATCGTTAGCGATCGTGCTATGCTCCCGGAGTAGCCGTCGCTCTAGTCAGTATGGAGTTCCTCATATGCCAACATATGGAATGGGAATATTAACATGGTCGTCTACTACTGTGCATTTGCCTATACATTGGTCACGTTCATGATCATGGTGCTCGTCATGTTACACATGATGCATGTATTCGTATAGGAATAGGTCCATGATCAGCTATAGCGGGTTCATTTCACTTAGGCTCGCTTGATCGGCTTACGCTTAATTTCGAAATCCAAACGACATCGTAACCTTGGATGATTACGATGTCGCAATTTTAATTTCAGAATGCCGCACGGTTTCATGTTACCCACGGCAAGATTTTTAGTTACCTCGAGGAAAAAAATATCATGATGCATCTGCGTCCTCCTGAGAATCCAGGAAACTACTACACTGGATTTCCAGGAGATGCTTGACGAGTATAGTATTGCTTACGAGCGAATGGAATTGGAAACTTGAGCTATTTTCTGACAGATACTACTGCTTGTTTTGAGGTAATTCGTTGATATTTTCACTAACCTCAAAAGTAAAATACAGAAAACGAATACGAGACGAGGCAAGGTCGTGCAAGCCACTATTTCTTATCAGCTGGCAGATCATACTCTTGCCAGCGAACGATTCGGGAGGTCAATTTCTCCATCTCCGAAACGTACTGTTTTTCCGCGCGAAATAGCTCAGCCTGATCCGATGCTCCCTTCGGTACGCCAGTTGAAGTGTCGTAAGTGCGGATATAGTGCGCCCAGCTGTTCAGCTCACTCTTCGTCCTTGCGATCTGGGGGTTGTTGTTGAAAGATTTTATAAATCAGTATTTGAATCTTTGTTATTTTTGACTTTGAGGGGCAGGAAGATAATGCATTGCCTGAGGAAGATAATACAGGAGAATAGAGTTAAATGTAAAAGGATAATCTGTACAACTAGTGCAACTTACTAGGTAGAGTTGTTAGTCTCAGTGATAAATTTACTAGTTGTTCTTGATGTTGTTCCAATTGTACTTAACAATGCTTCTCGCTCTGAGAGGGTGGTTGTACTTGCTTCATCAACAGCACTGGAGTACAACAGTTGTTGTACCTTCAACCGTTCGCTCGATACGGCTTTCGAAACGCCGACAGGAGGTTCGATCGCGACCGTCAATTTCACTGGAGGTTTTCTCTTCTCCAAAATCTCTTCACGCTTTCCCACATCCTTTTTCCGAAAAAAATCCGTAAATGCGGAACGCGCCTGGTGAGAGGCAGGTAGGTGGACATTATATTAATACACAATCACAAGCATCAAAAAAATACCTGCTTGATAGGACATCATGATCATGGACAAAAGAGAGTTCTTGGATTGATAACAGAACTACACAAGTTCAACTTAACTACAAGGGAGAAGTTCTTGGATTGATAACAGAACTACACAAGTTAAGGGGAGAAAGGGGAAACCTCCTTAAGGGGAAACCTCCTTAAACAGTCCTATGTCCTTTTTCCTGGTGAGTAGATTAGAGTAGTGGTTGGAGTACTTTGTTCTCTACTTGTACTTCTTCTTCCAAGTTAGATGTAAAAATCGTGAATATTAAAACAAATAAGTACCTCATGTCCCACTGGTGACGGACTCCTACTTGGATATTTTTGTCCCGCAGCGCCTTGGTCGTCATCGTCGTCTGGTGCGGCGACGTGAGGACCCGCCGGCGGAAGGAGCTTCGGCGCCACACGAAAACGAAGCTGAAAACTGTCTCGAGTGAACTTAGAATACGGATTCTTGCCAGCACACCAGAGCCAAATTATATCAACCAGGTTTTTTAAGTTTTTAATGTGCTGATAAATTCTTTAATGAATGACTCTGCCTTCCGCTGGCCCTTTTCTTCACAAACAAGCTCCTGGCATCCTCCGGCTCAGCTTCTGTTGTATCTAATATTAAGAGCAATAAAACTTTGCAAACACATCCCTTCGGAAGCCTCAACCTCCAACACCCAAACCCAAAACCTCCAACACCCGAACCCAAAACCTCCGACACAAAAACAAACAAACCCCAAACCCATGAACCCATGAACCCATGAACCCATGAACCCATGAACCCATGAACCCATGAACCCATGAACCCATGAACCCATGAACCCATGAACCCATGAACCCATGAACCCATGAACCCATGAACCCATGAACCCATGAACCCATGAACCCATGAACCCATGAACCCATGAACCCATGAACCCATGAACCCATGAACCCATGAACCCATGAACCCATGAACCCATGAACCCATGAACCCATGAACCCATGAACCCATGAAACCATGAAACCATGAAACCATGAAACCATGAAACCATGAAACCATGAAACCATGAAACCATGAAACCGTGAAACCGTGAAACCGTGAAACCGTGAAACCGTGAAACCGTGAAACCGTGAAACCGTGAAACCGTGAAACCGTGAAACCGTGAAACCGTGAAACCATGAAACCACGAAACCACGAAACCAGGAAACCAGGAAACCACCCAGGAAACCAGGAAACCAGGAAACCAGGAAACCAAGAAACCAGGAAACCAGGAAACCAAGAAACCAGGAAACCAGGAAACCACGAAACCAGGAAACCGCGAAGCAATGGAATTGAATTTCGGGGGAAAGGGCTTAAAATCAAAAATTTTAGGATCTTAGCGCTTCAAACTCACGAGACTCAACCCCAAAACGACGACAAAACGTGGAAAATTTTCGAAATTTGAAAACGTTAACCCAAGGAATTAAATTCCAGGGAAAGGGCTTAAAATCAAACATTTTGGGATCTTAGCCTTTCAAAGTCAAGCGGTTCACTCTCAAAATGACGAAAAAGGTGGAAAACTTTCGAAATTTGAAAAACGCGGAGCCAAGAGATTGAATCTCAGGGAAAGGGCTTAAAGTCAAATACTTTAGGATCTCCACGCTTCAAACCCACGAGACTCAACCTCAAAACGGCGAAAAAATGTGGAAAATTTTCGAAATTTGAAAAACGCGAAGCCAAGGCATTAAATTTCAGAGAAAGGGCTTAAAGTCAAAAGTTTTGGGATCTTAATGCTTCAAACTCACGCGACTCAATCCCAAAACGGCGACAAAATGCGGAAAATTTTCGAAATTTGAAAAACGCGAAGCCAAAGCATTGAACTTCGGGGGAAAGGGCTTAAAATCAAAAATTTTGGGATCTTAGCGCTTCAAACTCACGGGATTCACTCCCGAAACGACGAAAAACGTGGAAAATTTTCGAAATTTGAGGACGCGAATCCAAGGAATTAAATTCCAGAGAAAGGGCTTAAAATCAAAAGTTTTGGGATCGTAGCACTTCAAACGCACAGAATTCAATCCCAAAACGACGGCAAAACGTGGAAAATTTTCGAAATTTGAAGAACGCGAAGCCAAGAGACTGAATCTCAGGGAAGGGGCTGAAAGTCAAAAATTTAGGGGCTTTAGCGCTTCAAACGCACGAAATTCAATCCCAAAACGACAGCAAAACGTGGAGAATCTTCGAAATTTGAAAAACGCGAAGCCAGGGCATTAAATTTCAGCGAAAGGGCTGAAAGTCAAAAAGTTTTGGGATCTTAGCCCTTGACTTCAAACTCACGAGACCCAATCCCCAAACGATGGCAAAACGTGGAAAATTTTCGAAATTTGAAAACGCATATCGCTTACGTCTTTGCCTTGCTTAGTTTCTTATTTTGGGGAGGAGGGGGATCCTAGTGGGAGGGATGTTATCGGACGCCCCAAGCTAGTATTGGAGATACTAAGTGTCGTATCAAGCATCATACTCCTGAGTGATCCTGCCACGACGGGAACGAACCACGACAAACACAACTCGATAATAAAGATGAAAGGACTAGACGGTGATTTTTAGTTAGATTCTAGTAGTCTACACAATTCGAGAACAAAAAAGTTGAAAAAAAAAGAACAAAATTTTAAACCCTTCTGCTTAATTGTTTTTCCGACTATCCCTCTCTCGGAAAAGGCTATGGGCGCATCCCTCTCCAGCGCACACTGCAATGCCGTGTGGCTTACCATGGGACTGAGCCATGACGTATTAAACTGCGAATTTTCACCACGCGAGTACCGTGAAGGAAGCGTCCGTTGCCGGTAGATGCAAGTGCGCACCTGAAGGGGACGACGGTGAGAAGTAGAAGAGCCTCAGGATTATATTAAAGTCAGATGAAACTTCTGTTGCTAAACAAGATAATGATCATTCGATCAGTTGATGATCGTGATGTTTATACCGCAGGTAATGATTAGACCAGGCGATGGCTACATTGGGTCTAGGTGGTAATGGTTCGACCAGGTAATGGTAGTTAGAGGACAACATCGACTCTCTTTTAGCAATAAAACGATTACTGTATAAATATCTTCATAAGTAGTTGAATAGTAAGTTTCGCTACCGCTTTATCGTATTTATTCTTGTCCAACTGAGTTGAGAAAATTTTCGTGGTCGCGATGTTCGTCATCTTTGACGCTGCTGCCTTCTTCAGCCTAGCAATGCCGCTCCCACCACCTATTTTTCCTTTTTCGCCTCCCGAAGAGTTGCCTCCAGGGCTGCCAGACTCCTGGTGTGTCGGTGTGAGCAGTTTAGGAATAAACAAGAGAAAAACTACTGCTACGCAATTTTTCCTGTTTCTACTAGTACCTTTATGGAGCCGCCCTTCAAGCTAGATGCCGGTGACTGCCGATTATTCGCGTCCTTCTTGCTTGGGTCTTCTAGAAGTCCCTTTTTTGACTTGTTATCCATATTAGAACTGTAAGAGAGGTTATCCATCCGGAGCAGCATCTTGGGCCCCCTTTTCCCTTTGAAAACGGGACCTGGAAAATGTTGTCTGTGAAAATAAGGGGACCTCCAATAAGAAGGATGATGAACAATTTGTTTAGATTGTAGGCGCTTTCATTAGTTAGTTACTAATTTATTGTAGCCTTAACCAGAATTTGTTTAGATTTTTGTAGGCGCCTTAACCATCGCTTCCTTCTTCTGAGCTTTCTTTTGCTGCGAGTACATCATATAGCTTCCCTTTATCGCATTCTCAACGGCCACCACATGCGACAAGGACTGGGACAAATTCTCCACCTGTTCGAAGAGGTTCTTTGTTTGCTTGGAAAGAAAAACTCAAGAGAAGGCGACAAGATGGAAAATGGAGGTTCTTGTTCATGTTATTTTCTACACGTACGGCATCCACGACGCACGCAAGCATCCTGTAGAGAGGAACCTGCGTAAGGCCTCATAAATGTTCTTACTAACTTTTTTTTTTTTACCTACATGATCAAGAACGTCGGACAAGAGAACAAGACCAAGAGTAACAAATACAAAAGCAAAGTAGACATAATCATACCACTGCATCGACTTCAAACAAATACAAAAGCAAAGTAGACCACTGCATCGACTTCATTCTTATCGCGATTCGCAGCTTCGGTTCTTAGTTGCGGATCCAATATGTTACTATACTTCTCCTCTTTCTTCTTCTGTCTTGTCCGCAAAAGATCTGACAGTACTCCTCCCTCTTGTGGCCGCGTTTCCTGGTGAAAGGAGAACAAGAAGGATTGAAAATATTTTTCAAGTACAAATACAAGGCTCCTGTTGTGCATTGATCGCTAATTTTTTTTGAAGGGCTGCTTCAGTAGATTTAATCATGGATTTTTGAAGGCTGTCGTGAAAGACTATGATCATGAACAATCAAGATCGTCGTGGAAGATTACCTGAGTCCCAAATTTGAGTTCCGTCTTATCCGTCTCTTGGAGAAACGCTTCGCCCATCGTGACATCTGCATAGGGATGCTTCACTAGATCGGTCACGAAAATCTGCTCACGAACGCGGTGTATCGTAGTTGGCTGTGGCGTGAAGCCCGTTAGCTCGAAATGAACAATAATCCCTAGAAGTTGTTGCAGGTGAAGATGTTGAGTATGTTGTTGAGTACGTTGTTGAGTATGTTGTTGAGCATGATTGTAGATGTCATAATGGAACAAGTAGATGTATTGTAATCGTACTAATGTATAGCCCACGTCGATTCGACTCGTCAAATTATGTAGGAGCAAAAGAACCTTGTAATATGATGTGAGGTTGTACCTATCCTTCTGACTACTTGTTGCGCTGCGTCGATGAAACCGAGGGGGCCGAGCTCGAAGGAGTCCAACAATGCTCGATAAATCAGCTGTGTGAGCAAAGCGGGCAACAGCTCCAACACCGGACGCTTTGTTAGAGATTCTAATTTTTTTTTGCATTAGATGCTTCTAAAAAGAAATAATGTTTCTAAACAGCAATGCTACTTGTAGTCCTTGTAAAAGCGGAGTACTAACATAAAGGTGGCGCGTTCTTGTAACTACTTGTCATGTACGTAGCTCCAAGTCCAAGTAAGTACTAGTATTTCCTACTTAGTCAACATGTAGTTCTGAGTATCATCTTCCTCCTTGTAAGTCTAAGTACTAGTAGTAGTATTTCCTACTTAGTCATGTAGTTCTGAGTATCATCTTCTTCCTCCTTGTTCTGCATGCTTTTTTAGAGAGGGCAATGATGCAGCTCTTTCATCTTAACTGTAGTATCTTTCCTCTGACCTGAAGCAGGTAATCCTGCCAATTTGTGACCAAGCAACTACGACATCTTCGCGCCAGCGACTGTTCCTGCTCCTGCCCTTGGACGCTGCGGAAGAGCACACATAGCGTCAGATAGAACAGATTGGCGAAGACACGATGAAAAAGCGCATTCTGGTGCATCAAGGAACTCCAAGGGAGCTTCTTGTTTCTGGCTGCGAGCATGCATGAAGCCTCAGACGCGTGGGTCATGTTAGAGACATATAGGAAAGTACCACCTACAACAACCGCGCCACCACCGAGATTATTCTTCATATACGCAGATGGCGAAGCAGAGGAGCTGGTGGAAAAGAAAAATCAAGGAAGACGAAGACGAACTGCATATATATTTTTTGTGGTGGAGCCGACCTAACTAGAAAAAAGACAGACCAGAGGGACTGCATATATATGATTTTTTATAAGAAAGCAAGGAAATGCATCTTCCCTGACAAACAAGTCATCGATCTGGTTCTGGTCACCCCTTTTTCTTCGAAATACTTGCAGAAAGATGCAGATGTTGATGTCTAGAGTATCCCTAATGGATCCTCGTACAGTAAAGACACAAAAAATCATAATCATGACACTCTGGTTGTGTCCGCCACCCTCGGGACCAGGGCTGCCGTTCGTCGGACTGCCCACGTTGCTGGTGCTCCCATGGTGTCCGAAGTCGGTGCTGCCTTGGGGCTTATTGTGATCCCGTAATCCCATTATTAGACACCACCTTACAAAAAATTTTTTTATTGAAATCTACTAGTATCTTGGCTGGTGCAACACCTTTGACCATTTTTCCCTTCTACCATTTGAAAGCGCTGGTAGTCCACGTCAACAAAGATGCCTTATTTGCTTCTTACTTCAGAACCAAGATGAATTATTTTGGTCCTCCTCGTCTGAGCCTTAACAGTAAGAGCTCATTCGTGAAGCTCTCCGACTTTGCGCTGAACGGGGGCAGAGTGTTCACATCCTCAGGCTGAAACAGAAATACATCCCGCCTCTTCGCTAGCTCATCCTGAGCCGACATTGAGGAGGACGTCACGATTGAGGACCTCACTATTGAGGACGTCACTATTGAGGACGTCACTCTGCACGTTCACTAGCACTTCTTCTTCATCTAATGGAGAACCAGATTTTCATGATGGGTAGGCCGTAGATGAAGTATAATAGAATCAAAGTATTTATTTGGAACAAGAAGCAGAAGACGAGGAGAAGTTTTCTTCCTGTCGAAAACGAAAAATCATATCACTAGTTTCTTCCTCGAGGGGGATGTTTAGGTGTGTGGCTGACGCTCCATGACGAGTTGACCACCAGGAGACCGAAGAGCAGCGAAGATGTCAGCAGAGTCAGTCCCTACTAGTAATAGTACGATCCAACAAATTGCGAATTAATTTTTTCTAGTGGCTGACGCTGTAAAAACTTGATAGATCTATCGAAGACGAGATCGATCGGGGGAAGGATAAGTAGGTTAGGTTAGGTTGGGGCCTACCATCCGATGTGGCAGACTTTAGCGGCTACTGAAGAGCCTAACAGACATCATCTCAGTCCTCGTAAGAGTAGGTCAGCGTCAGTAGGTAGGCGTAGGAGCATAAGAAAAGGTTGTCGCGCTGTGCGACGCAGCTCCACTTGTCCTGCTCGCGAATGGCCCTTTTGTTGTTCAGCTATAAGCGTCCTCGTGAAAATCTAGTAAAAGAATTCTGTAAAAATGTCATAGTTCGTTGTAGTCGTTGAGTGAAAGCGGATCATAGAACCAGTTTTGGTCAACAGCTTGTCTCATACTGATAGCTCGTTATGGTTTTTTATCTAGAGCTCTGCATATGCGAGATTCAGAAGATGGAAAAGACATCTTTTTACACAGGTAATGACTGAACAAAATGAAAATGACTTATTTCTGAAGGCGTTTATCAGAAGTGACAACTACTAAGCTGACTTCACTTTTTCATTCATGAAACTAGTACCTGCTCCAATCTCGGAAGAGAAATACAGAGGGCATCTGTTCAAAAGAAGGATAATGAGTAATGGGTTTCAACAGAAGATAGAATCAATGGCGGACTACCAGTATAAGTTGCATTTGCAATGTGAATGTCTTATCCGTAGCATCCTTCACTACTCCTGATTGATGCATTCTTAGCTGCATACAAACTCTTTCGGTCTGGACGACCACGACTCTTTGTTTAGGTCCAGATATTCATTGAAAAATTAAATTTGCTTTCAAATAAAGTACGTAAAAAGTACTCTCAGTAACGTGTTGATTGATGAAGATGATGTCAGTCGATGAAGAAGTAGTTTAGATCGTTAGTACCTCTAACATAATTCATTGCGTCACCTCTAACCTCCTCTGTGGATGATTGTTAGATTGATTTTCCCTTCCCATTGATGTCAACATCATAGCAAATAAAAGTTCAGCTGATTAGCACTACTCTACCTCCTCGATCCCATTAGTATGATGCACGGATCGCCCTCCTCAGTGTTGGATCTGACCTAAATAAAAATGAAGAAGTGCGGACATACTATGCAAGAAAAGTTCATCTTACCACGCGGTAATAAGCTGCAAACCTGTACTTTTTCATAGACTATAATTTAAATTTTAATTTCGACGCACGGGAACGCTGTATCAATCAATCTGAAACTACGAGCTAATTTTTCAATGAGAGCATCAAAATGGGAGACTGTCGTCACAATGTAGTTATGTTGATTGTTGACATAAAGGAAAGGGTTGATGGAGATAATCTAAGGCTTGCATTTCATCACTCTGATAACAAGATTTTCATATTTTTTGCTACATAGTAGCAGAAGCAGTTGTAGCACATCACTCACGATTATAACTCATTGCTTACGTTGTCTACCTCTACCTTCAAAATATCCTCGATATGATATCATGCTGCAAAATCGTCGTTCATTATCATGTCATGGTTGAACTAAAAATCCCTCGTTGATTTGCAGGAAAAAAAAGCATCACACTCCGTGTTCTTCAAAAATGTGCAAGCATCCACTGAAAACTAGCACTGCGAACTGCTGCCAACGACAATCGCACGGTCTGCATCCCTCGGGGGACTACTTGAAGATTTTTTAGAGTGGGTTCCTGAACAAGTGCTAATTTAAATTTTGTACCTCCTAAATATTTTTATATTTATGTGCTGGTGTATTGTAATATATTCATACTCATAGTGTTATTTGTAACATTTTTGGGTAGAAGTTATACGACAGATGAAGGTAGAATAAACTACTTGAAGAGTACCACGGTGACGCTCTAATGAGTTAAGGTAAATTGAAGATAGTGAAGATCATGGATAAAATCTTAAATTTTATGACTGACGCTGCGGCCCGTTGAGGTCACTAACGCGTCTCCCGCCATGGAGTAGGCACCGTTAACCCGTGTACGCTCCGAGAGGGCTACGCCTGATAGATGGACATGAAGGCACTAGTGGAGAGAAGTGAAGATGAACAAGATTGAATAAGGAAAGATATAGAAAGGACTGAGTAAGGAGTTCGCAGCTGCGGGGCAGGTACACCGGACAACACTGGGATCACCCTTTCGGCGTTTTGGACTACAAAAAAAAAAGGCGCCCTGTGGAGGCAAACTGATTGACTGATTGATTGATATAGAAAGATACCCAATCAGAGATAACGGGTTGTAGTGTCTTGTAGTATACTCGTCCAACAACAAGGTGCAGGACACACAAGTAGTACCCGAGCGTCGCTTTAGAAAATGCTTCTGATTCCCGGCACTATAAGTCGCAGTTTGTTCACCTTTTTTCTCTTGAACGCCGAAACCTATTATTATTTCAAAGGGAGATATTGTAAGTAGTCGTACAACTGCTATACAGGTTACTCTAGGCGCGACGTCATCTTCTACAACTATCACCACACACAAATACGAATACCACTTGTAAAAAAATATGTTGAGAGAGCAGAACTACTAGAAGAAGATGGACGAGTACTTCCTCTAAATTGATATTATCATTATCATGATTACCGCTCGTAAAATATTTTTTCGTTGCAGGTGCCTCTTCTCGGGAATCCTTGGCAAGTCCCATCTTTGCCCTAACGTCAGGTGGAAGCGCGCACTTCGGCATCTATTTAGAAGCGGTCGAACAAGTAGTTTCGTTTACATCAGTCCTTACTTCTCCAAACACTATGCATTCTTGTTGAAGTTGTAACACTTCCTGATAATTGTGGTGGAGCCAGCTGACCTAAGTAGAAAAAAGAAAGACCAGAGGAAGATAGATAATGATAAATTCTTGGTCCGATGTAATTGTAGTTAGTTGGTTGGCGGTTTTTTCCAATGTAGAAGGAGAAGGATATTGTTGGAAGAGCTAAACTCTAGAGGTAAAAACTAACCGGCTGTTTTATTTAGTGCTTTGAGCGCCGCTGGGCCTAAGCCTCAACCTTATGCAAAGGAAGAAGCCAATGAATCTAGATTTGCAGCACACCTCAGAGAAAGGGGAAGTATATAATCTGTTGCTGTTCAGCCATAATTTTTGCTCTTGGTACGTTGGTGTCAAGCTGAGACCCCCAGCTGCATTGCAGACCGGTCGCCGTCTTTCCATACACCATTTTCTTTGTTCAAGAAAGTAGTTCTTGAACTTGAAAAATTTGAGCACTACTAACTTGTTAAATACAAACAGTAGTACTTGTTAAAAACAAACTATTTTGTGTAACTACTTGCTTCAAGAAATTCACGAAGTCAGAGCAGAGCGCCAGAGAGTCAGAATTCTTGCAAACAAGAGAAAACTTCTCAAAAACGAAATTCAAAAAAATAAAAATATAAATAATAGTCTTTCTATGGGTATGATCGGGAAAACAAGAGAGACGACAATATTATTGCTCTGAATATTCAGTCTCTTATTTTTGGGAGGCGGACGAGGTGCAAGGATATACTTAAAATAGCATAGCGTTAGCAGCGCCTATAAATACTGGATTGAAGAAGCCTTTTCTTTGTTTCTTGAAGACAACGAAGATGTCTACATCCTCTTTCTTGCATCTGCGATGTGGCGGAAGTGACCGAGTCAAGTCACGTACAAGAATGCGATGAGCACGACGATAGCTGGTGACGCGATAAGGCTTTTACTACTAGACTGTTTCAATGGCCTGCTCAGAAAAATGACTACCGAGAGTTTGAAGAAACGTATTGCAGGAGTCAGCCCGATGATCGAGTTGTAGCCTCTCTACTCTTCGCTCTCTAATGCTCAGGCACCTCTTTTCTTGATTCCTCTTCTTGTTGTTTGATGACCACGGTCTCTCTCATCTACTTCTACAGATCATACGTCGTCACACCGTAATGAGATCCGAATTGACGTCGACACGAGCACGAAATGGACACTAATCACGTGGATCAGTTGTAACAGTATCTAGCTGTATCAACGTTGAGTACAACTAGAAGAAGATATGAACATTGACAAGGAAGAATTTAGTATGCATTTGTGTACTGCGGGGTGGAACAAGAATTCCCAAATAAATTATAAGTAGGCCTATATTTTTTCCAAAACAAAAAGAGCGTTTTTGCAGTTAAACCCAGACGATGTTGACCTTTTGTTCCCTCGAGAGGTACTTCTGTTCCCTGAGGTCGTCTAAAAATCAGTCTTCAGACCCTGAGTCGTTGCGCGCTTTTTGTTTCCTCTGGCGTTTCTTGCCCGCCTTCGAAACTGCTTTTTTCGTCTTTTTTGCATTATTGTTCTTCTTTTCTCCTGTAGGGCTATCTGGTTTTTTACTTTTAGTCAACGGAGGTGCAGATGAAGATGAAGATGCCCTCGTCTCATTCATTTCGACATTCTGATGCTGCTCCTCGGTCGCTGGAGTTGAGGGACCATTTTCTTGACAGGTGGTAGAACTGTTCGCCGCCCCAATGCTGGCACCAGAGTTAGCGGTACTAGTTGTTGTTCTCCCGGCACCCATACTTTTCTTGTCCGTCCAACCGAAAACATAGGTCTTTGCTCCTGTCTTTAGGATTTCCTCGTTCTCGGCAGCCGATACCGCGTCCTTGAAGCCGATCGTTCGACGATGAGCATATCCCGGAAACACTCGCGGATCAAAGTCGTAGGCACCCTGCACTCTGAGTTTGCCGTCGCTGCCCTTGAAGCAGCAGCCTGCGATGCGCCACTCTTTGTACGCATCTGCGTTCTTGATGGTCACGTGCACTGCCGCGTTCTTGTTTTGCTCGTTCAAAACCAAAGCGCACTCGCGGAAGAAGGCCTCCAGCAGTCGCTGATGCTCCTCTACATTCTTGCGTCTGTCCTGCTCTCCGCTACCCGAGTGCGGGAACTGAAAAACGATCTTGTCCCACGACTCCTGCGACCAGTGGCCTGGATTATTAAGGTTCTCATCGCGGATCTGCGACAACTGAGTGCAATCCACGCCGACTGCAACGTCGGCACGAGGTGGAGAAGTCGATGTAGTTGTGTCTACAGTATAGACATTACAACTAGCTGAAGTTGATGTTGAGTTAGAGGTTGTAGAGAGGTAGGTTTTTGATGGTGTTCGCGTGCCCCGTGTGTTCTGCCTCTCTCGTCTCCCTTAAGAGCGGCAACACAAGCGGTAACGTGAACGCCTTTATAACCTACCGCTACGTACTACCCTTAATTGAAGTTGTATTCTTGTCTCCTTCTACTCCTTTACCTTTGCAAGATGGATTTTCCACCTTATGATTTTCTTCTTGCGCCTTAGTCCATGCTTTGAGAGCTTTGATATTAGCTTTGACATCTGCGCCATACTTCGTGAACAGGGTCTTCTGATCATCATAGCAGGTCGCCAATAGAAACCGACTTCTTCCCTGATGTTGCTTAGTTGTCGCGGTCGTGTCTTCCTGCTTTTCTTCTACTTCGGCGGAGCTGATCGATTCCTTGTCGGCTCCCATATTCTTGTTTGAAGATGTTGTTGTAGAGGTCGCATCTGTACCTCTTTTTTGCTTTTGACCGAATGGGTCTGTGACGAGTGCACGGGCAAAACTAAAATTGCCTTCGCCCACAAGGAGGACGCGCTCTTCGGGTCTGTCGTAATTTTCTTTTGCCTTCGCGATCTTGATTTCGAAATCGCGACGTTCCCTCTTCGTCATGCGCGCGAGGAAATTTTCACCTTGTGCGCTCGCAGACAGCTGACACGCGGAAAGCCAGACCCTCTCGGAATCCTTCAGTTCGACCTTCGTAGATTCGGGACCCTTATTGCTACTATCAGCCTGCTCAGCGTCGTCCCCTCCATCAACTTCATCAGTTGTTGCAGCGAATGAAACCTTTCTACCGCTTGCTGATGTCGCAGAGGCACCAACAGCACTATAATCTTCAGAAGTTTTTGTTTTACTCATAGTACGTCCCACATTTCCGCCGCCAGAAGCACCAAGCTGAGTGATGAATGCATTCCTTTTTGCGACAGCAGAGTCTGCGCTTTGGTACAGGTGAGGGTTCTCTTTCCGATGCTCCTCTTTTGCGGCCTTCTCCTGCTTCTTTTCCTTCAGCTGGAGCTTTCTTTTATCTGCAGTCTTCATATCACGCCGCACCGAGCGCAGCTTCGCCTTCTTCATACCCCTTAGTGCGTGACGAGCCATCTTGAAATAAACGCAGTTCGTTGTGGAGGAGGAGGTTGACCACTAGTTCTAGATCTAGATTGTTTTAGATCTACGACTCACAAGAACTCTATTTCTCTATCACGACTTCTCCTTGTGGTCCTTGAAATAAGCGATATTTATAACAAGCAGCGAGCCAGAGGACCGTGTTGACCTTGTTACTGAAATACCTCCACTTCTGTGTTGAGCATGAAAATCGAAAAATCGTTCTTTAGGGTTTTGAACTTGAACTTTAGGGACCTTTAACAGCACCGTGAAGATGAAAAAAGAACGAGGGACTGGATCTGAAATTGCTGAACGAGCGAGAACATCATCAGGATACCTTGAAGATGATGAACATAGTACCCTGAAGAAACTAGATCTGAAGATCAGCATAACGAGTATTAAGTGTTTTCAACGCTTGATCTGTTCTTGATCTTCTCCACTCTCATCAAAAACGTATGTACTACTTCTTGACGTAACATAGTTGACGAGTAGATGAGAAGTAGATGAACGGCGTTACTGGGATCAGTAGAAATTGATTTGTCATCCGTAGAGAAATAATAAGCTTCAAGTTAAAATGGAAATGTGGTGAAGATGCGAACCTGAGTGACAAAATTCCTGAGATCAGCGTGTTGAAGAGACAGAGAAAAGAGTTCTTCAAACCGCCATCCTGGCCCTTGTTTCTGGTACGATACGAGCGACTTTACCTTTACATCCGACAACATTGTTGATGGATCACTATTTGGAACACGAATGCACCAGATTGATGCACCAGATATGAAATGCATCAATCTTCATCATGCAGCCTTAATTTTCATAGGATTTGTAGATAGAGGACAAGAGTTTGTGAATACAACGAACATCAAAGATGAGGAAGTAGATCAATTCTTGCACAGCTTGAAATGTAGATGAGAGAATGAAAATTTTCAAGCAGCGAACAATAGCAATACAGGTTGGTTGTATGTTGATCCAAGGGAGATCCAAAATGTTGTACGTTGTATCTAGAAGAATGGTTCGCGATGCTATCAGATGAAGATCCTTTATGATCATGATGGCCTTCCATCACAATATATTTTCTGGATTATACTCCTGTATGTGAAAAGCTTTTCTGTGTAGTTCTATGAGAGAGTGAATAGTATAATGGGTTCTTCGAATTCTTGTAGGTCTAGTAACTAATGTGTACGTGAGCACGACGTTGATTGATCAAGATCAGTAACAAACATTAACTTTGAGTAAGATCGAATAAATATGCGTAATATGCGAATATATTTTTAGCTATGTAAGTTGAACAACTGCTTCTATGTATGGTATGTACTACTATGTGTATGTGTATGTTGTGAATGAATGGAGAGAACGAACAAATAAGACGATAAATTATATATTAAGGATAATATGGTTAATGAAGTCGAACAGGAATTTTTTCTATGGGAATGGATATAATCAACTTCAGCTATATCAAACGCAGCATTTGCAGCACTTGCACATGTCTTTCCAGCTCGATGGCGTCTCCGGCGGACGCGGATCCACATTTGCAGAGAGAATTAGAAGAGCTCTAAAATAGTCACGAAGTAGCGAGTAGGTTAAGGTTAATGATATTCCTCTACGACTGGAAATTTTTGGACTTTGACTATCATACTTACTGCTGCATGGTACAACGAGGAACACCATCAACAAGTCCCTGGTCGTCTTCACAACTCTTCCTCAAGTCCATGATGGCCAACTAGTACCTTTAAACACCTCCACTACATGATCAAGGTTAAGTATTCGAAAAACTGAAGTAAGCAAGGAGCTACAACTTAGAATACATATCCGAGAATCCTGAGGAAGGGATAGCATGATTAAGCCCCCCTGCTCCATTTATTTCAGTAAGTAACTCGGTTATTGTCACTTTTCGAGTAGTATCTTAATCAAGTCGCTCGTCATTATCAATAAAAAGATGAAGATCATTTACACACGAATTAAGTCCTCTACATATGATGTTGAGTCGACAAAGAAAAGCCATAACGGTTTCGACGGCACCACATCGCTGTCTCGCGTGGATATCTTGTTGCCGCGTGGACTCAGAACTTCTTCTTCCTTCTCCTCGATATAGAGCTCTGGTGGCGCAGCACCGACCACAGGTCCGACCATGGTGATTATGAACACTGGTCCGACCATGGTTGTAGGTAGGGAAACATCAAGAAGTAGAAAAAGTTGGATCTTCATACATTATCAACAACTAGTTGTTCTTGTAGGATCTTCATTATCATCAACTAGTTGTTCTTGTAGGGAAAGAACATCAAGAACGAAGTAGGAAAAGTTGGAAAACAACTTCTGATCAGAAGGGAAGGGGAAGAACTAGGGGAGTTCTTGTAGTATGATGATCAACAGGAGTTGTAGTCTATTTCTACTTTTATGAAAATATTACTGCAAGGAATAGACGGTGTTTAGTTAAAAGTTGATTTCTCTTGTTTCTATTCACCTCTTCAGGAGTATAATTCCGGAACAGGAGTTCTTGTGCTTCAACTTCTTCATCAGATTTTCAGACTAAGTAAATGAATCTAATTCTTCTTCCGGTTAGTCGTCGTCGTGTCCTTCTTTTCATCTTGGTGCGGTTAAAAATCTGATCAAAGTAAACCTGATGTGAACATAACTTGTCCGCTACCATATTTATAGCTACGGGTGCCGCCTGGTCCCTTGCGCTTGTTATGATCCATCGAGTGAGCACCCTCAAATAGGTAAGACCCAAAATTAGACACTTGTTCTGCCGATATTCATCTTGAAGCGTATCTTTGACCATTTTTTCCACCTATTTGGAAATCACACGTCAAAGAGTAGAGACGCTTCTGAAGATGAGTTTGAATATGGGGATGCCTTAACAAAATTGCCGAAGAAATTCCGAACTCCACCTACCATACCAATGCCACGGGAAGACGATGGTCCTGCGTTGCTAAATTCGTCTTCCTCCTCGTCCTCTTCGTCTGAGGAACTCACATCCGAGTCATCTGAGAAACGAACCAAGAGGACTCATCATGATCTCAACATTTATTAACGCCGTCCCTTACTGTTTAGGGGACTCATGATCTCAACGTTTAGGTGGTGAAGTTGAAAACTACTACCCTCAGCCCCATCACAAGAACACGGAATCATGCACGACAATGCATAGCACTGAAGAAAGACAAAGTGCTTAGTACCATCTTCACTCTCAAAATTAGGAGAGTCTTCATCGAAGGAGGCGCCTGTTCCTGACCGCGACTTCATGTTGGAGTCTCCTGATACCCGTGTGGTGGTCTTGCTTCCTGGCGTACTGAAACTTGAGGTTAGGTAACCAAATTCGCCACCTAGAAGATATTAGAGCAGCTGTTGAAGAGTCCTTGTGGAGTATCAGCGAAAGCGAATTCTATATCTAGAGGTTATTTGTAAAAGAAGAACATGAAACTAAAACTAGTCAAACAGCGGACTCTACTGTCGGAGATTATTCATCGCCATCCCGCCTGCTCATGTAGTTGACCTGTTGAGTCCTCTATTTGCATGGCGATGGTGGATCATTCCAGCTGCAATAGATTTGTTCTAATACATAGTGCTAAAAAACGACCCAAAATATAGATGAAAATCACTGTCAAAAAACTTGGCCATAACGATGATGCCGATCGAACCCATCGTTGCGGCCAACGCAAACGGCATCGTGATGTTGCAAACCAGATGCATTTTTGTATAGCTTCTCCAGGTTCTTGCTCTCTTTGTTCGTTTCAAGAAACTCGTTTCTTTTCAATAATCCTTGTGACGGCAAAGCCGCAGCTCCTGCGATACTAGACTCTGGTTGCACTCTTGATGCAGCAGCACCCCCAGGCTCACCCGTTCCTATGTGATATGTGATGTACGGAAAGAGTAAGAGAGGATATCCAAAGAATTTTTGACCACGAGGAAGACAATATGTGATTTTGCTTGTCCTTCCGTTTGATCGGGAAGAAGATCTACGAAGACACCACAACAAACTTTATTACCTGGCGTGTTCGCTGTCACGGAAGTGCTGGTGTTGTAGGCAGGACAGGATCCATTGTCGCTGTCGGAGTCGACCTCCAAAGGGAAAACCAGACGTTCCTCGGCCATTGTCGCTTGATATTGAGACGAAGCTCGATGAAGTAGAGCAGCGTGTCCTCGTCTCGGACGAGTCCTTGTCCTCGTGACAACAAGTTGATGAAGTCAAGGTCAACTACGTTGTACTTACTACACTGACTTGACATCCAAGAAAGTCAACCGTGACAGTCTGCCTTCTCTTCCTCCTTTAGCGGTACGAGAAGCGGACTTCCTTGTCCTCGAGCTCGTTGTACTACTGTAAGCCAAAAAGGGGCTAGTTGTACTACAGCTACTTCTGATGCTGAAAATCTTCAAGATGTCGAACCGAAGAATAACAAGATGTTGTTCTTGTTGCCTCCTCTTAGGTACTACTTCTGTCAGAGAGATTGCGAAAATTATGAGCTACGTTGAGTTGGGTTAGTTGACGACGTTTGTTGATGTAGTTGTCAAAGAAACAACTTGATCATGTCAAAAAAACAACTCTAGTACATCAGGAGATCATGCGGTAGTAGTAGTTGCTCCTGATAAGATAAAAGAGAATCGTCTACTTAGGTCGTCTTAGGAAGTTGATATGTGCAATGGAGTGGAGTCTGGTGGAAATAAGAGGTCCTAGAGTGGAGGTTGAGTCTGGAGGTAGAGTCTGTAGGTGGCATCGCTCTTGGAAAGCAACCGATTAAACAGTTGTGCGAACCGATCGGCCACAACATAGTGGTTAACAGGAGTTGCTCACAGCATTGACCGAGGTATAATATGACCACGAGCAGTGCTTGTTTTCGATGGAAGCAGTTGCTTAATCGAGACTGACTCGTGTTGACTACTCGCCTCAGTCGCTCTTCCATCTTCTCCTCCACCAACACCTCATCTACCACGACTACCTCCTTCTTCGTTATTTTCTTCCCTTCTTTCACCACAAATTTCATCAGCATCATCATCATCAGCATCATCTACTTCAAGATAAAACAAGACCGATAGGAAACTTCGAAGAAAATTCTCACGAAAAACGGACAACACGCGCAGCGTATGCGTATTCCCAGTCTGGGATGAAATAAGGTTGTTCGTCATTTTCATCACCCCCATCCACAAGAAGGAACATTAAAGGTATGAAGAAATTATAGTGTGTGTCCAAAGATGACAGCACGGCTGTATCCTAATTATTATCTACAATCTCTTCTAGTGCTTTCTAGTACGTAGGAAGCACACATCAAATACCTCCTCCATCAGTCTCCATGTCCATCTTGTTCACCTCGTCTCTCCTCATCTGCGATACCATCCAATACAGTTTGCAGCTCGTAGAATTGCGGTAATTCCTTGAAGCTGTTGAAGGACACTGGGAAATTGCTGAAGTTAGAGGAGTGTGGTTCTGGAAGCCTTGGCTAGAATCTTTTATCAGATAGCTGTGAAGATGGCGTTCTTTATTCCACGCAGACGCACTAGTACGGGGTGCATCATGGATCAACAAACCGAAGGAGAATGACATAGAAATAAACCTCCAAAAATCTTCACCTTAATGAACGCTAATCTGGGCATGTGGTTCGGACGCCCGGCACAGTGCAGGAATTGCTCAGTTCTCGCCTTGAAGTAATTCCAAGATGCGTGAGTCCTCTCTATCCAAGATCGCATCGGATTGCGGATCGGAAGCTCAACAGTGTAGTATCTCGAATATGGTACGATCACAAACGCGTCCCTACCGAATTCGTCACGCACGATTCCATTGTTAGGGGACATAGTTGTCATAGGCGAGTCGTGCTCATTTTTCTCAGCGTCAGCCGCGTCAGCAAGACGAAGGTGGTTCTCTTCAATTTTAGTCCACCCAGCAAGGCGGTCCATTTTTTCTTTCGACAAACCAAAGAGGTCAGGGTACGAGCCGACCTCTGTGATTTAGACGTTATTTACCCATAGAGATAGATATTCATCTTGTTGAGCAGTCTCTTTCAAGTGTTATAAATATTTCTCTTAGATGAAAATGAAGGACGATGAGACGAGCAAAAGCAAAACACAAAGACGCTCCTGCTCAATTAATATGAATCAAACAACATCTGGGCGGGTAATCTGGGAAAGCCTTAAGCTAGACAGGCATTCAGAAATTTATCTTCCCGGTGACCCGTTTTGTAGGGCTGGCACTGTTCTGGATCCAAACCCGGCAGGTTGGAGAACCAGTTGATGTTTTGCAGATGTATTTCCATTCGTCCTGCCATTAGAAAACAGAAAAGAAGAAGAAGCCATACGTCACTAAAGAAGACAAGCCATACCTCATTAAAGAAGACATACCTCACTAAAGAAGAAGAAACCATACCTCAAGTAAAGGAGGAAGAAGAAGAAGGACCGGTGGAGCTGTCACCTCACTAAAAATTTATATATAACATAGATATTAATTGATCACATAGTAGAAACTGCAACGTTCTTGGTGTATCCGTCCCCCGCGAAGTAGTTAGTTGTATTAGAGCTTTTTTAGCTACATCAGCATAAGTAGTTAGAAAGACAATTCTAGTAACGAGATATCCCCGCTAGCATAAGAGAAACTGTCCCATCCGTTGCAAGGCTCCGGCACTGATGCAGACCCCTGGGCCACCGTCATTCCAAGGCCTTCGTCCGTCCTAGGTTAGCTGTAGTAGCTGTTTCATCTCTTTTTAAGTTGTACTTCTGAGCTGCTCCTCATGGTACTACGGTTAATACGGTTATTCTCTTTTCACTTCTGTTGAGCTCCTCATGGTTGTACCTTTTCACTTCTGAGCTCCTTGAGACGGTTAATACTTACGGTTTTAGGATAGAAAAACTAGCCTTAACCAAAGTTCGTATAACTGCGGCAGTCCCAGACTCGTCCGCCAGTCTTTTACGTCTGCATTTCGTACCAGCCGGCGAAAATTCGCTGGTATGAAGAAGGTATCCCTTTCGAGACGACAGGTCCAGAACGCACCGCCAGGCGATGTTATACTCTGCCAATCCCGCAACTTGACACTCAGATCGCGATACGAGAGCGCCAATGTTTGCCTTTGCTTTTCTCCTTGCCTTTGCTTTTCTCCTTTCTCAACGTGCTGTAGTTGCAGTTCCATCTTGACATGATTGGTTTTATCCTCAACGTGCTGTAGTTGCAGTTCCATATTGAGGACGTGATTCCTTTCAACATCTTCCTTTTCTTGCTCCCCTAGCGAGGAAGATGAAGACAGTGACATCAGAGCTTCGCTTCTCTGGAAAAAGATGTCGGCAAGGCGATTGGCTCTCCTTTGGAGCTCTCTAGCCAAGCCGCCGCTCTGAATATGCTCCATGATGTGGAGAACCTTAGTCACCGTGTTCTTTTCGGCATCTTTCTGCCACTTCATGCTCCAACTAAAATTTGCGTCGGAATACGTGACATGAAAAAAGATGATGAGAAAGACCACAGGTGGACGAGAGAACAATAATAAGATGAACCTAGGACTTTCTAAGACGAGAGAACAATAAGACATTTTTGAAGTACGACAAGAAGTACAAGTAGATCACAATTGATTATTAGCTCGTAGTAGAAGTCTTCAGAAGGGTATTAATAGCATAATCATTATAACAGAACAGTTTATAAGTTTCCCGGGGGCCGGTTGGCATGGCACGAATGGAACGGTTGGAACGAATGGCAGGCATCCAATCCGGGGCTTCAATGTGCTCCGCCATTCGTGCCATTCGTGGACCTTTCAGACCTTCGAGAGCGGGGCGCCCTTCGGGCGCCCTGCGTTTTCAAGCGGTACCTCCCCCGCGGCGTTGCCGCTCTCTCCGAATTCTGCGCACATACTTTGGGAATCCCACTCGGGCGCCCTGCGACCAATCTGCCACACCCTCCACGGCGTTGCGCTTCAGTAGGCTCCACAAGCCCGGCGCCCTTCGGGCGCGTTGCTTTTGCTCCAGCCCTCCTTTGCCACCCGCGATTCGAAGCTGCCACGCATCCGACCCGCCCCCCAAGCCACGGCCCACCTCCGTCGCCGCTCTCCCACAGCGGCGGCGCGGTGGATCAGCTGAGCACCCTAGGGCGAAGGCCGCATGCTAAAGCACCCGCCTCGTCGCAGCATTCCTCTCGTGGAATTCCGCGGGGGTCATGCAAGTCCACCAGAATTTGCGTGGCCCGCGCGGTAGTTCCAAGAAAGAAGCCAGCCCTCCGACTGTCAGCCGCACTAGGCTCCGCACTCTTTAGAGAGCAGCCAAGTCAGCTCTGTTTCTGGCTAGCTCCCTTACCATTTTGAAAATGGCAGGGGGGCTTTCCGTAGAATTGCAGCCCTTCGAATCCCCATCCCTGTCCGCTTGCGCCAACGCCAACCGCGCCATTCGTGGCACTTTTTGGCTTCGTTGGGTTGTTCCAACCGTGTCATTCGTGCCAACCGTGCCAACCGCCATTCGTGTTATAAACTGTTCTGTTATAATAAAGAGTACGCTGCACTAATTCTTGGCTAGTAATGTTGAAATGAACTAGTGTTGAATAGAATGGATCTTCAGCTTCTTTCGTACTTGTAAGAAAAGTCCGACCGGTCGGGAGGAATATGCAGAAAGACACGCCGAAGATTGATGATTCCTTCAGGTAGACAGTAGTCCTGGTGGTCGTAGTCCTCGTTCCTGAGGTTACGTGCAGCATCGTCTTCTACTTCCTCACAAAGTTGTGTACGGAAAAAAGAATCGTTGGTCGACGACTCTTGTTGAGAGAAATCTTCTTGTTCTTCTACATCAGGTGGTCGCTTGCTCGCTTGACCTTTAACGACCTCACGGTTGCCGCTTGTTGCCCAGTCGTGGATACTCTGACGGCCAGTAAGCAGCGAAGTCGGTGTAAACTTCAACAACGTGTCAAGATCGTGGTTCTTGTAATCGTGCTTCTTCTTGTTGTGACCCGAGGACATCAAATCATTTGAAAAGTCCATTTTTTCTTGCTGCATTTCTTTATACGCTGCACAAAAGTTTGTACAGAAGTCGTCTGGCAGAGCCGTGAAAAAATATATTTCGTCGCATCCGCCTGAACTTTCGGCCCCGCCACGGCCCCACGTGTCAAGAATGGCGCGGCGAAATTCAGCTTCTGTTGGCCACACGAGAGGGACAGCACATAGAAGCCTTGACGCAGCGTGCTCTTCGTGCTCCGTGTGGAGATCGTCGTCTCTTGCTTTGCCGGTGCAGCTAGTCACACTTTGTCTTTGTTCCTTCCCATCTCCACAACTGTCAACAGGGGTCTTTCCAGACCCAGTGTGCTCGTGCTCCGTGTCGTCCTCGTCGGATCTCTTACTTTTAATACCGGTTGGAGTGATTATACTTTGCTGCTTCCCAACTACGCTGTCAGAGGTCTTTCCAGACCCAGCAGCACAATTTGCTTCTCTTTTCGCCAAGTCGGGCGTCCACAATTGCATTGTGTTTGCATAGTTCGAGATCCCGCGCTCCAGACGCAGTAAGAGATCATCAACGACAGCTAGAGCTCCAGGTATAGCAGAAGGCGCGATGTAGATTCCTACTCCACTTCGAGGTCGTCTGCTCACCGTGTCTGGTGCGCCTCGTATATTTTCAGAATCATCAAGATGATCACGACCACCATCTTCCAGCTCTTTTCTAAGTACTAAAACTACGGCTGCTGTCTCGCTCAAAAAATGCTTGATTACCGTCAGGCTATTCTGTAGGAGGTCGCGGCTGCAATCTGCCTTCCCAAATTCCAGAGCACCTTGCACAGCATCCAGGATATCACTCGGTATCTCGTTCTCCTGCACGACTCTCGTCATAGGTTGTTGCTCAGGCTCAGCAAGAGCGCCAGGTTGATCCTCCCCGCTTTGCATCTGCATCAATTCACTGACGAAAGTTGCCACAATCATACCAGCACGCCTCGATAAGCTTTCTCCGTACCTTTTGCTCTCAAGGAACCCATCCAATGAGGAAATTAATTGACGACCATTCAACGGCGGACTCGTCTCTATCCGCAACACTCGTTGCACAGCTGATATTCTATCCAAGGCCAACACCAGCTCTGCGTTCGCACCCTCTGTTGCCAATCTTCGCGGAGTGTCATGTATGTCTTTCCATAGCAGAACATCACTTTCGATCCACAGGACGTCCCGACCCGGTTCGGGGCACACACCACGTCGATCATCCTCATCCACACCGCTATCAACATCCTCCTGATCGATCATCTTCATCTTTCGCTTTCCTCTTTTAAAAATAGACCGAAAATGAATCGCTTTCGTACCGTCTCCTGGTTCTCCCTCGGCTTGAGGGGAAACCTGCCCAAGCCGTAGTCCTAGGTCCCATTCCATTTTCCACTCGTATTTCGTGTATTCCCACCAGGCCAGGTATTTTTCGGAAACGATCTGCGCAAAACGCTCAAAATTACCCACAATTACGCGCGACGTGATCCCATAGCGTGTGGCGTATGGAGTGCGCTCATAGCATTCAAGTCCAGCGATTTGCAGGTAGTCTACTGCCGCCTCTTGCTTAGAGATTAACCTAATTATACCGCCAAGATGAATCCAGCATCTCTCATGTAGTAGTTCTACTTGTGCTTGTACATGTGCCTCTATCTTTTTTTGGGGCTTGTTGAATCTTATATTATGCCACACAAATCAGGACGAGGAATTTCATAAGGAATTTCTTTATGAAATAGCGTTATCGTCCTCCTGCTTAACTCTGAAAGCTTGAGTGAGTAAAGCTTGGTCCGCATTCAACGTCATCTGCGAGCAACGGACGGCATTAGCCGCCAAGTCTGCTGGACAGAAACTATCCATCTTGAATGAAACCGTGACAACTGGACTTCCAATTTGATCGTCGAATCGTAATCGTTCTACGCAACCCAAAAAGTCAGTCGCTATTGGTTGCGGCAAGTCAATGTCAATCTTCTTCATCATGTAGTCCTCCTGAGTGGTTCTCGTTCTGGTTAACTGGTCATTCTCTCCATGTTGTTGTCGTTCTTTCGTTTTCCACTGTTCCCAAGCGGTGTGCCATTGCCATCTCTCAAAAACATACGACTTAGAACAAAGCCTCAATCATGTATGTTGGTATGTATAATCTAACTATGTATATATAAAAAGATTTCCGACCAATCCACGAAGTGGCATAACCACTGTTAATGATGGCTATGACCATGTGATCTTCCAAATCATCTTCATCTCGTCTAAGTAAATTCTGCATCAAAATGCTCCTTCGTAGTCCACCGAGGACCTTAACAAAAAGAGTCTCGTCACCACAGAAACAATCGTTTTCGGTATCTTCTACTTCAGCCTCCTCTGCTCGATCATCATGGGTATCTTGTTCTCGATCAACGGGCTCAGGAAGTTGATGTTGCCGTTCTAATGCAGACAAAAAGGCACCATCGGTGTGGTCTCTCGGCGTCGCACTCTCACTTGCTTCGTAAAGAGCTTCAACGTACAGGAAACAGGCCAAAGAAGAAGTTGAGAGAACAAGGGTTCTAGTTCTTCTCGACCAAGACCTGGAAATCGACCAGCACGACCTGACATTAGTGGTGCAGCTGGACGACACTCGCCGAGAGCGAGAGCGAGATCGAGCTCTTCGCATGATAGGTGCCTTCATTTTAGCTCGTCACCAGAATTTGTGTTGTTGCTTCCGTCTTTTCTTCCGTGACCTCCGTGACATCTTCAATGATGGCCGAGTTTTGGTTTTGGTCACCGAGAAGGCCTGCTGATGCTCGCAGCAGCATCGGCTTGTTGATGATGGCAAGGCCAGTCGGCAGCGGGGTGACGGAGCATGCCCAAAACCCGCCTCCAGAAACTTTTATGAGTAGCAGAATAGCAACTCTGCTACAGTATGCTGGTCGTTCCCGAGTCCATGTTTTAGTGTCGAATCATGTTGAAAATATACATCTTTTGGAAGACGAGCAACATCAAGAGTCCAGGAGGCGGACCCACTATATTTCCACCACATCTTCGATCAGATCTTAAAAAGACAACCGGCGATCCCGTCCGCAACCTCTACCTCCTCGTCTTCATTCTCTTTTATCATTCGCTCTTCTCAGAAAACACTGAACTCCGTTCTCGTGGTTGCGTTGCAGCTCCTTACCAAGTGTCCTATCTGCTAGCTTACCAACACTTTAGTTGCTCTCGTTAACGGAGAGTTGCACCACAGCATGTAGATGTAGTTGCCCTTGCAGCCCATGCTTGGCCTAGACTGAACTGGCAGACTATCGATTACTTTTTATCTTGGTGTGACGAGTCAGTTTCTCATCACTAAATGAAAAGTTACAAGAATCTCGAGTTGCACCTGCAATTCAAACCCATAATTTCCTTATAACTTCTGTAATTGCAAGTAACCAATGCTTTCAAGAACAAGTTCAACACTTTTCCACCTAGTATAACGGCTCCGCGGTCGTGCTTTCATCCAGCATCACGGCAGGGGAAACTTCTACTGCTTACAAAGCTTAGTAGAAACCCGTTCTTTTGTTCTTCATCCAAATAGCCATTAGCTACACTTCGTTTCGTTCCTCTTCTTCTTCAAAGAATTCCGATTCAACGTCCTGAATCCACACGAAGGCGACCTCAAGATCGCGGCCATCCGTCAAATATTTGATCTCGAATTCCTCATAGAGTACAAAACTGTTCCAAATTTCAAGCGCGTCTTTCAGGTCAATCTCTTGTCCGGAACGCGTCTGCATCCAATCTCGGATCTGCATCACTTGCTCGCGAATGTAACGAAAAAAATAGAATTAGTGGCTGCAAGCTGACGCAGACGCTGACCTATCAATCTATATTATGTTAATCTAACTCGATATCTAAGGCTATGCCTTTCCATCCCCTTGAAAAGGTCAGGAGGTAAAGGGGAAGGGGAAGCCTATCCTGTATCTAAGTATATGTTGTTTGAAGGGCTAAGTCTAAGGATAGAGCAGGTGAAAACGAAGTATATGGTCTGATAGATCCAGAAAACATCATCCATCATGGATATGCGCAAATTAGATGAGAGGTCAACGTCAACTCCTTCCACGCGGCCTTAATAGAAGGGGTCCCCCTCGTTCGGGGTAAACTCTAGGGCTGCTACTCTCGGAAACGCGGTTTCGAGTAGCCACTCGACGTTGCACTCCGAGTAAGTCCGTATACTGTCTAAGGTTTCCATGATGTCTGATAGGCTACCGAACTCCCTACCGTGTCTTTCAACCATCCCGCCCCACCCGAGTGGTCCGTTTACATCATCATCATCATCATCATCATCGTGTCTTTCAACACTTTCCTGCCTTTTCTCCTCCCGGTCACGCTCAGCCATAGAAGGGTCCTTCCGGAAAGTGGCATACAATTTTCTCATGGAGAACCGGAGGACGCTGTCGCGCGCCAAGCTGTACTCGCAGATATGAAGAGGGCGACCGGTCGTGGAGGGTGGACGAGGACGACGCGATCTAGAAATATACACCTCAAGCAACAATTACAATTATTAGTATTACTATTACTTATATATCACCAGATGAATAGGGATGAAATTCAAATCAGTGCAGAATTTTCATGGTAAATCTAGTTGTCATAAACGAAGGGCGCTTTGGATATCACCTCGCGTTCGGTCAGCATCCAGTTTGCGTGCATGTTCTGCGGGTCTGAGAACATGCTTATGGGAAAAAAGTGTTTCGCGACTTTGCTACTGCGGAAATCCGAATCCTCCTGTGCTCGCTCAACCACCATAGAAGTACTGGATGATGATTTCTTGGGCGCATTTTTCGGTCCCGGTGCAACGAGGATTACCTTGACTCGTGGAGGTGGAAAGTGGCTCTGACCCGCCTGGTTCCTCAGAAAGTGATTGGCTACGTACTGCGCTCCTGCGGGATGTAGCGAAAAACTCTGGAAATTCCGCGTGTACTTCAAGGACGTCTCCATAGCGACATCGAGAAGAGCCGAATTCTCCTCAAATTGGCCGTCATCTCCTGTCGTATCGGCTGCTCCTGTCGTATCGGCTGTAAGGTTGAATCCGGCAGTTGGAACAGTTTCATTTCCGGCAAACTTTTCTTCCTTTGCCGCGTTTGCTTCCCTCAGCCACACGCTTCGCCACATAAAACGGTCAACAACGGGACTAGGGCTCGTGTTTAGATGAGCTACCCTCAACCTCCCCCCCACCCGTAAAACAGTCTCGCTCTCGTCATTAAAATATTACTGGATCAACAAGAAGTACGGGACACAGTAGTACTATATCAACCCGAGACTCTGCCAGTCTCTACAACCAGAGGAGTACTCTAACGGGATTCAAAAAGTTGTGGGCCCAGGTGCTTTTGAGTCTTAACTTGTCTTCGAATTCGTTACACCGAGTCACCGTTTCTGTTCTCGGTAAGAACCTATCCAACAGAAACTCAGGTGCCACCTTTTGCTGTCCCAAGAGCGCAAGCGACTTGAGAATAAACGCCGAAACCAGCACAGCAAATTCTTCGTGAGTCTGGAGTGTAACATCGTCGTGTAGCAAACGCACACCAGCTCCTTCTCCTCCGCTCAACATCATGATTGTGGGATCGGAAGTATGTTCATCATCTTCTTCTTGATCTTTTTGTTCTACTTCATCATGGCTTTTCAATAGAAGATCTGATATGCGTTGTGCCCGCCGGAATTTTTGTAGTACACAGCCGTCCACCGAATTTCCAGGCTCGGTCTCCATAAAGAGAGTACGCATGCTCTGGAAAAAAATCTCGCGAAACACTGTTTCTGGAACGTACACCGAAAACGCACTTGGGATCGATTTTTGCCACATTTCTAGCAAGAGCTTCTTTTTCTTCCTCGCATTCGCTTCTTCTTGCAAGGCGCTACGTTCGATAGTCTGCAGTTTTTCCCGCTTCACTACAACAGATTCCGTGATGATGTTCTTGCTGCTCTGCTCCCCGCGAAGAAGAAAACCTTTCATCGGCATTTCTTTTTTAAAAGAGGAGGAGCGTACACCAACTACACCAGGAGTAGTTTGTTCAGAGGAGTGTACTACACGTAGTACACCACTTTGCGTTTTTAGCCCCCGCGTTTCTTCTTGTACTTGTACTTGTTGATCCCCACCTCCAAGAGCCGCCACACCAAGAACCTCGACACCAAACTTCTCGCCGTTCGCGAGTACCTGCTTAATCCGGACTCGCTTTCCATTCAGCTCTGGTCGACTCGCCAGACCCTGCAACCGCGCAAGCTGCCCAACTCCGAACAACGAACCCTCTTGCTGGTGCTCCGCAGGAGCAGGACGATCTTCATCGTTATCAATCGAGTAGTACTTCTCGAAGACTTCTTCGACGACCTTTTTCGTTGCGGCGATGCTCGCTTGGAAATCTCTCTGAGCTTGTTCGAAGTAGTAGTCGTCTTTAGATGCACGAAGCCTTCTATTCTTCGATACTAGAAAGCATTCGCCAAGTGGAGAACTTCTATCCAGGAGACCGCGGAGCCGCTCCTCCCACGAGGACATCTTGTCGTAGAAGGTGTTCTTGTTGGACGAGCCTAGCTCATCGAAAAAGCCGATATCATTCAAGGAGCGTCGAAACTTCTCAGCACCCGCTTTCCATTCCCGGTAGAATGTCTCGGCTCGCCCAAGGAGCACATGATCTTCTTGTCCTTTTTTATCTCGTCTGGCGCCTGCGTTGGGGTTGGCTTCATCTCCTTCATGGCCTTGATCTTCGGTCGTGCCTCCTAGTTGAGCGTAGTTTTTACCACCTTTCTCTTCGACGTCTTCTTTGAATTCCTTTTCATCATGTAGTACTGCTGGTGAAGCAACTTCTTTGTTCTCTTTCTCACCAATCAGATCGACATCATCTTCGCCCAACTGCAAAGAGGATGACGATGATGTGTCAACTACAAGCTCCGAAGCCGAGCCAGAACTTCTGCCGAGAAGGTTCAAATTTTTACCGCTCTCGTGGGTCTCTTCGATCGCTGCGCGCCGCCGACAGCCGCGAGGACACCGAGAAATGGCCAGCACCTTGGAAAAGTGAGACGAAAGATTGCCGACAACAACCGCATCTTCACCAGGCTGCTCGAAAGAGCTTTTCATGGCCTGAGCTCCCGTCACTAGACCCGAAAAGGTAACGCTGGACAACACTACGCCACAAATAAGGACGGCCGTGCTCATTTTGATGAGCAATTCTCCTGCTGAAGACGACGTCATTTTGGACACAGTCTCTAACTACGTTGTAGAGGACGTCGTTCTTCTTGTAAGAATCAGACCTGTAATTTAACACTATGAAGAAACGAATTGACGGTCAACAAAGATAAAAATGAAAATGTAGTATGTTGTATAGTAAAAATTATTAAAATGCTACGTTATCTACTACAGGAACGTTGTATTTCTTGTTGAAGTAGTAAACGAAACTGTTCTTCTGCATTTTGGGTGTAAATGGAGGGAATATTCGCCACTAGTGTTATCATGATGGTCAAGCTCTAGTATACATAGGACACGACAGACCAAAAAATGTGCTTATGCGACGCATTGATCTTACGGCCTAGATGAAACGCAAGTGGTCACTGTTGTTCTTTTTCTTTGATCATCATGAAGATCAACTATGTGTGAGTTTCTGATAAATATTCTGGCGTCGCTTGTTCGCGTCCTTCACATGTTTTTCTTTCTTTTCCACCGTTTTTCCGCAGAAACCCTACAAGAAGTCCGCAGCAGTCTGACGTCAACCACTCGAAGATGATGTATTTTTTTGGAACTCGTCCTCCTAACAAAAGGAGAAGGATGAGGATGACAAACTGCTAGTATGGGATATATGTTTTAGGGAATCATGAGATGAGCGTAGAGAGTTGAGTTTTCACCGCTTTTTCATCGTGATCTTGTGAAATAAAAGGTCTCGCATAATTATCAGTACTAAATGCTTGTTTTCGTAACAACTATGTATAGAAATAAATGTATGCTCTTGCTCGTGCTCTTCGAAACGAGGACTATAGTGGTTGTAGTCGTGCCACTAAGTATACATAGCAGCCTTGAAATCTTCGCGATAAGCTGAGCCTGAGGTGGATGCCTATCGAATCCCTGAAGTAAGCGTCGATCCCTTTCCACCCTAAGATATTGGAATCATTCAAAAGGATATAAGTCGAAGTCAAAGTAGTCACTGTAGTTGTGCCTACGTATTTGCTAGCGTACAACAACAAGGCCCCCCTGGGGTACAATTAAAAAGCAATTTTTTAGTTCATAAATATGTTGGGGGTGAACATTTCATCGCGAATAGGGTTAATGGATATCTTGGATCTCTTTTTTCTTGAGTCCACATTTCCTGACTTCGAAGCGTGCTGTCACCTTCAGTCTATTTCTCAACTTGTGGCGCAAGTTTTTCACTGTCGGTTTTGTCTCATGATCTTCCTCTTCTAGTAGGTCTTCTTCGCATGCTACCTATGGTTCTCAGTACAAGTAATCCAAAGGAACAGAAATCTTCGTCATCTTTATTGATATCATCGAGCAATCTGCATCAACATCACAGAGCAAACTCACACGTTCACGCCAGTATACGAAGTAAATCCTTCTGCTTCTCCGTTCTGTGGCGCGACAGAAGATCTGTTGCCTCCTGCGCCTGTGATTTGCTCACCACCTAGCGCGATGTCCATCTCGGCATCCCCGTTTTCCCTCTCCTGCTCGTCATCTAAGATTAGACGGCTATTCTACAACTTCAGAAGTACTCCTGCTCATCTTGTTCTTGGTCCCATATGAGTGAATGAGTGAATGAATGAATGAATTCGCCTAACTTGAGGTGATGCAGTGTTTATCTTCTCGTTCTATCAAAAAACGGCCTGACATCACATTTACAGAGGATGAGGAGCCCTAATATATTTCTAGCAAAGAAACAATTATCACCTTTCAAACAAGGTGGACGTGGATGAACAGCGACTAAGTATGTCGTTGACATAATAATGGACGAGTATGAGATAGATTGTAGGTTATTTGACTTCACTAACTAGCATGTCGACATAATAAATCCATTGTTCCCTCCAAGCGCTGTGGTCCCGCTGGCGCCTCCCTCTTTCCTTTGCCTTTTCCCTTTTTGCCCTTGCCTTTCTCCGTTCTTCTGTCATGGTCATCATTAGTGAGGTGACTGAAGTAGAAGATGACGACGATGATGTTGACAATGCTGCAGACGAAGAAGGGTCGCCATTACCAATTACACTGCTTCTAGCAGAAACGAGGGATTTCATATTATGTCCTGCAGTTCCTACTTCTCAGCAATCACGAATTTTCGAAAAATAGTCCGTTCTTCTGTCATGGTCATCATTAGCGAATTTTCGAAAAATTAGTTTGCAAAAAGTAGCTGCACATGCATCTAAGACTAAAATCCAACATCCTTAACATCTGCTAAGACCAAGACTCGCTTCTTTTCTTTTATGTCCTCAATGTCCTGCTCGTCCGACGGTTAGAAGAGCAATGACTAGCTTCTAGGAATCAATGGCAATTCTTGAAGTGAAAGAAGAAAAGCGATGCGCTTCTAGAAGAGCAGCTAGTAGCGTGGTCCCATAAAAAGATGTACTTCAACAAAACTCAATTATAGTAGAGCATTTACATTTTCTAGTCTCTTCAATCTTCTCCGTCTCCCTTCGGCCTTCGGCATATACTTTCAAACGATGAGGGCTCCTGACTAAAAGAAGCATCTATTCTCCATAACAAAATTTACGGAAATCGTTGCCAACAGATTTTTCGTTGTTTTTGCGAGTCGCGCGAATATAGAGGCCTTTATGTTTTGCCTCGTCTTCATCGGCATCGTACAACTCTAAATGTTAGACGTACCGCGTTCGCATCCCTGAGTCTGAGAGCATCGATTTTCCTCAAGAGGGTTATCCTTGGGCGCTCCTTGTTCAAGTAGCAAAAAGGCCTTGAACAAGAAACCAGGGATCGATACTGCTGGGGATGCATCTGCGGTAGCCTTAAAAATGGTCCGGATGGTGCTCCACGATTCTTCTCAGACCCTCTTCGTTGAATTTTTCTCCAGCACTGGGGACGGCTTGCCAGTAAACTTAGAGCCAGACAAAGCTCCTTCGTCGAATTCGCTCCTCGGAGTCGGGTCCGTGGTAGGGAAATTACTAAAGTTATTTTGAGCTATCAGTTGAAAGAGTGAGTTACTAGAAGAACTTCTAGATGGGTCCCAAGCAATTATATCAGAGAGGCAGGGAGATAAACCACACCAGTATTCAATCGTCCTTAAAAAACCCAGTTGGAATCGTTATCGGGAAACTCATCGCGCATCTTGTACCGCAGCCACTTCGTGATGGGTCCCGAGAACTTTCGGGTGTCCTTCTGTTCCTCAGTGGCATGGTTCCAAGTAGAGTTCCACGAGTTCCAGTAGCGATTGCCATGATTACGTTGGCCCCCACGTCGACCACTCTGGTCGTTGCTACGATGACGCACGCCACGATCACCACCCATTTTTGTGACTTTTCTATTCGTAAGTTCGTTGTCAACTAAAAATTGGGTCGTGTAAGAACAAAGAGATGAGGGACGAGGCGAAAAACTATGAAGAGGAAGATATATTTATTCTAAGGACGCTTACAGTTTTTACAATAAAAACGATTGTCTTATACTTTTTACGGTAGTACTAAATAATAAAATAGATAGATGGATGTAGTAGAAAGTAAGTACGTGTACGAGTCGGTCGACGTTGATTGAGATATATTTTTGGATGTTGAACGTGTGGTTTGAGTCTGCTGTTATTTCGTGAAGAAGTTGAGTCTCATTATTCCTGTGGGCCGAATATTCTAGTGAGGCTAAGAACAAGTGTAGATAGGCGACCCTGCGAAGGAGTCTTAAAAACGCACATTATAAATGGCCTCAATCAACAACATGCTTCTAAGTACTCAGAGATCAGCAGCCAACCGAATTGCCGTGATAAGACAGACGCGGACAAGAAGAAGCTGTTCGTAGTGACTCGATGAACAGAACTTCATTCATTGCACAATAAAGTTGTCCTGACTTGTTCTCATTTCCTTTCAATGCCTTTGGGTAAAGGGACCACGCACCAGCTTGGGTGGGCGCAGAGAAAGCAAGCACTTCACTACAGACGCAAAGAGAGAAAACAGCACGATAGTGAGAAGTGAGAAGATGGTGAGCTGGTGAGGTGAAACCACGCAGAAGTGGTCGTGGCTCAAGGTTTTCTTCGCTTTCTTTATTTTTGCTCACGAAAATTGTGTGTGTCGTCCTGGGATCCTCACGGACGTCGGACAATGAGCGACACCTTCTTCTATGAGCATGAGTCTGTTGTAGTTCTTTCCTGTTCATCATCTTCATTTTTTACAAGCGCCAGCGCTATGATCTTCAGCAGTCATGAAGGAGATACCACCTGTAGTGTGGTAAATACGTCGCCTATGTCTGCTTTCATCTTGTGACTGAGGCGCACCATCTCACGGCACAACTTCAAGCTCATCTAGATCTACATTTCGTTCCATCTGTGTCATCTTGCTGGAAAGTTGAATTCATTTTCATTTCGCGTTCTTGTGTAACGACCAAATAAGACAATAAAAAGAGCAAAGCTAGTGAGCTAGACATACTTCTTTCATCCGGTTCTTTCTTCCTTCCTTGCAGTAGAAGTAGAGTTATTTGTTGTTAGATTGTTAGCGTAGATGATGAAATCGTAGATGAAATTGATAACTTGTTTTTCTGTTGTTCAGCGACATTCTTATGACATTGTTGACATCAATCAAATACAACAGTTCGGCGCTTGCGCCACGCGAGGGGGCTTGTGGTCGCGCTCCTTGTCGAACAACAAGAACGCCTTGTTGATTTTAGTTAAGTAGATAAAAATTTTAGCCTAGTAAATCTTCTTCTATATGTGTGATCATCTATACATCTTCATATTATACCCTGAAGCCGAACCAGGCAAGAACCAAGCAAATAATTTGCTTGAATAGTCATACTAGTACCGAGAAACTGAGAAAACATCTACACGATCATGTGTCACGAAAGTATATTTATGTTCTTATTGCGAAAAATAAACCATACACGAGATCGAGAAACCGCTAACAAAGAATCTGTATCACCAGTAGGACCGTTGTGCGTGGTACTCCTGCAGAAGCGAAGACCCCAATTCATTTGACAGTTACATAAGTACACAGAGATAGACCAGCGCTCCTTAGATTTCAAGCCACGGCGCCCGGCTGTCGCCAGGTCATTTGATGTCGTCACCAAGAACCGCGCAATGGCTCTGATGTCATGGTACTTTTAATGAATGCCTTTCTTGTAGAGCGAGGTGAAAGCATCTTAGTTTTTCTACTTCTTCTATCTGGTGTTTCTCATTTGATGTAATTCGAAAATGGTGTTGTAATCAGTATCAGGAGTATGGTAACAAACTACCATACTTACTAAGCAGAAAGTAGCGAGAAAAATATTTTGCAGAGAAGTTGTTGTATCATTGGAATCCAGTTGTTGTTGTATCATTGCAGCCGTACTAGCAAGAGTACTTCTAACTTGATAAGCTAAGTATAATGATTGATTTTCTTGATCAGCTATGATGAAAAGATAAGACCTCCACGAGGAGACGTGTTATAATTTCGAGCAACAGGTGGAGCAGGATGCTCTTAAGTGCCTGAACAGTACAACACGAGAATCGATTCTTCTACGGAACCAAACAGCAGCATTATCACTTGCTGCCAAGGAGAAAAGCTGTTATTTCCCTGTATCGGTCGGAAACATTTCGCTACCCCAGGACCCTGCCCATCCGCAAGCTACGCCACCACCGATCCCGCTTTCTAAGGCCTCGTTGAGCATTGCTAGAGGCAAGTCGCGTCTCCTCTCCTCGGTTCTTAGAAGAAGGTTTTCTCGTCATCCTACATCACGACGCTAAGGTGACAATGATGTGAACGAGAGATGACTATAGTGGTATAATTATTTTCAACAATGCATTGTCATACTAGTCTACATTCAGTGTCTTCTTGCACTTTTGTGAATGCTATGTCACAAGGATTATACAAGTAGACAGGTCACTGTTCTTGAGAGAAGTTGATATAAGGGAAGAAACTGTCCGTCGTAGTCCTCCCTGTTTTTTTGCTCAAGAGAAGTTCGTTGGTGAAAAAATACTAGATGAATCAACAGCCACAAGAATGATACAGGATCTTGTGGCGTTGATGAAAAACTAGTTTTTATATTGCCCCCTTAAGGTTTGCACGTTGTAGTAGACTCGAATGTCTGATTCGTCGTCAAATGCTATCCAGGGTGACAAAGCGCGTGCTAAATTGTGCGCTGCTCCGCCACCTAAGGTCACTGCCGCGGCACTAATATTCCCGAAATCGAACGTGCTTATTGCAGGCACCTAGTTGGTTTTTCAGGAAAGCAGTCGTTCTTGTAGTTGTCAAGCACTAGTCATAATATTCGAAGTGAGTCAATGTTGACTGACAGCTTATGTAGTTGGCCTCCGTATGTGCTGTCATGTCAAAGTGTTGAATGGATGTACAAAGTGTTGAATGGATCTTCTAGTTCTTTCCATAGTACTACTCGCCCTTCTTGGTCAAAAAAATACACCAGTTCTTACGCACAAAATTATAGTACCTTATGCGTCTGTGTCGAGAAGGATCGAAGAATGATCGGCACATGATTTCTTCTTCCGCCACGCTGATGCCACTCTTGAAAGCATTCGCCACAGTAGGCATCTGACCGTAGTTGGGGAGGTGATGACTCAATTCAGGGTGCATAGCATGATTAGTCTATAATTTTTGAGTAGAGTAAAAATATTGCTATTGATGTTCAGGATTTTTTAAGAAATAAGTATGAGAACAAAAATAATGAAACTCTATTGATTCTAGTAAAAGAACTACCCTGGCACTGGACACAGTGGTAGACGGCTAAGGCCTCCTCGCATTCGGCGCATGTTCCTAATTCGACCCACGTTCTACGATGGTGCTTTCTTCGCCCTTTACTATGCAAGCGGTCAAAACACTGCTGACAGAACAAATCCCGACAATGATCGCAGTACCTGAGAAGTTTTTGTAGAAGGGCATTTTTTTGGGACCAATGGAGCGAGAACGGTCATTTTTTGAGGGATCGATGGAAGAGAAAAACTAAACGGTCATTTTTTGTTGAAACTACTAACGAGGAAAAGATATGATTTTTTGATTTGTTAAGTGTCGAATGATGAATGGTAAAACAAGATATTTCTATGATGTTCCAGCTACAACTAGTGCAAAATTTATGCAAGTACAAGACTGCGTCGCGAGGATTTGCACTAGGTGCACATTCAACGCACTGCATTACAGCTCTAGTTTGCTGTTCCTGTGCCGCCTTCGCACGTTCGTAGCTGAAGGAAGAGAAGTGGTAAAAGTGCAGACGAGCTCTCAAACTTGATAAAGTCGGTCAATAGGTCGTAGTCGACACACACGTATTCATTGTATTCCATTCCATGAAGTCTATCATTGGCTAACATACCAACCCCTAGACTATACGATGACACTCTGCAGCCTCAAATGATATGAAGTCACGAAGCGCAACGCTAAAAAACATAGTAACGAAAATAAGCAGGTCAATTTCCGAAAGGGAAGTTGGTGCCTATTATCAGCGGAGGCTCGACAATGGCCGAGCAGTCCAAAAGAATTGAAGCCGGGCTCCAAATCCATACTAAGCACTATGATCATCGTGAACTCATCACGGCATAACCACTTCAATGTTCATGAGTATCATATTGATTTTAAGAAGAAGTGACAATGTTAGAGTATCAAGTACTACAAGTTGAACGTTCACTTTCTCATAGCTGCTAGCTAGTTAAGAAAAAACAAGTTTTAGTTCAGAATCCCTGCCTGGTCGTTGTAGCCCCCAAGAAAATAATAACAAGTCACGTCTATCGTTCTTGTAAGAATACTTTCCGACGATGTCTCTGTATCGCTGCATGAGATTTCTGAAGTCTTCGACGTCTTGCACCGCACGTTTTTCCTTGACTACGACCGCATAATGCCTCAGGGCTCGCTTCAACACGTGCACTAGATAGGGTTCGTTCTTGATATCGACTTTGAAAATCCTCGCCATCTCTAGCACGTTCTCGACTGTCTCTTCTTTTGTTAGCGGTAGTTTTTCACTATCCCGAGTCGAGTGGGTCGTTGCCCTCTTTGCCCTTTAGTTTGTTCCCCTTGAAATCAAGGAGGACTTCACTCAGCAACATAGCCCACGCGGGAAGATAGTTATCAACTACCCTTAATTTTGGATACACACCGCTGACCTCCGCCTCCCACGTGAACAGCGTGGAAAACAAGAACTCTATCTGGAAAGCCATGATGGCCTTCCAGTGGGGCAAGGTCTTCTGTTTGCGGCACACTTGGAGCATCTGCTTGTACCTGGTGGTGGTCAAAGATTTCAGAAATCTCTTTTTAGTAGTAGTAGTGGTGTACCCAATCTTGGGGTATGATAATCAGTGAAAACTACTAGATGCTCAGGCTTGCTAAACGTTAGAAATCTGAAACAAAAACAAGTGACACGTATCTGATACTGATTATAAAAAGATTTGTTAAATAAACTACAACAAGTAGAGTAACAAGTAGTACTTGTCATAGTGCGGATGCTTCCACGTCGATTCCTGTGTCCTTCCATCTACCCAGTAGAACATACCATTCGAGCAATACTGATAGTAATCGCTCGGAAGCGGCTCGTTCATAAACTCGTGCACAACCTGGTCGTGAAGGGCACTAGGATTGATTACGTGAAGAAGTGGATGAAATACCTAGTAATAGTACTAATTGGACTGTTAAACGTGGTTCTTGAAATTGATGAGGAAACATGTTACCAAAATTCTTGTTGACGTAAACTTGTTAACAGGAATCGATGAGTAAATAGTTATTGATGAGGAGGCACATGTCAATAAAATTCCTGTACCCATGAATATGGCTCATCGGTGTCGTAGTTAAAACCCAGATATCTTTCGCATTCCTCCAACGTCGGCTGCGTACCATTGGCACAATAAAGGATACCTGCAGCGTCGAGTAAAGTAATTTGGTTATTTATAATAGATGTAGTACTTTAGATGTAGAACATGATTGACATTGTCGAGAGCAACCACTATTAGATGTAGGAGGCACTTACTGTATTGATGGGAGGGAGAGGGACTAACCGAGGATTATTACTGTCTTGAATGGAGGTACTTAGACTGTAACAAGTTGTTGTTCAAAAGTCGAATACCACGAGCGCGTTGAGAACTGAAAAATACACGTATAAAGATGCGATGACTTCTGGACTTTCAGTGCTACTATTTGTCAAGTACTGATCACTTATTTTGGTGCTTCTAGAAAACCTCTTGTAGTTACATCAAGAACTACGAAGACAAAAAAATATACCGTCAACCACCGTTTTCTGGTCCACATTTTGGGCTACTGCTATTTGGACTGTGTCCTCTGTTACACCGAATGTCTGCCATGGCCCCGCCGCAAACATACCCATATCCTTGTCCTGCGTCTCGAGCACCTGGAGATCGAGGTGGGAGAGGGAGAAGGAATTATCAAGAAGAAATCATGGTAGTTGTTGTTCGTAGAAGACATCACACGAAGAATATCCGCATCTGTTTCATCATGGTAGACACCAGAATCAACACGACACAAGAAAAAATTCTAAATATCATGAAGCCTAGTAAAATTAACATCTTAATCGAAAAACCGTTCTACTTCTTCTATTGAGTACTCCCACTTACTAAAAACGAGAAGCTGTATTATCACAAAACTATTAGTACCGTGAGGAGCTGATCCCATATTTCTGCTATGTTTGGATTCCACTCGAAGAGAGTGAAGTCCTCTGCTACTGCTGATTTTGGAAGGTAGATTATCTGGAATTCAGGACCGAACGAGCCTTCTCGCGTCATAAAAACGATCTCATCGTCGTCCCATTTCACTATCGCCTTATACCCTACAGGTATGTGATACTTCCCCTCTATTTTGTATTTGCTCGTGTGAACCTGTATTTGTCGAGAAGTATGGGTACATGGTTGAACATGAAATTCGAATTTTTAACATCAAAATTTGAAAATGAGTAGAAAGGAGGCCGAGGGGATGAAGCTAAACACCTCCATCACTGCAATTACTATTACATTGAGTTCACGTTCATTCTTCCTAATGCTACATTTTGTCTAGGAAAAATGTATTAAGATTAACTAAAAGTCTAGAAGATTGAATCTCCCCATCTTCGGCAAAGCTACAACAACTTCTAGACAGTACTAGAAAAACTTCTCGACAGTACTAGAAAAATTGTTGGTCAAGGTCATAATCCTAATGGACTCACAAAGATCACAAGGATAAAGATCAGCAAAATGACCAAGATCGCCAGGCAAAAGGTTACCGGAGCACCATCCAAACGCCCGACGGGTTTACCGTCGCGCGGGTGTCTCTGGCTTCTCCTCTCTCTCTCGTTTGTGGCTCAAGCCTCCCAATACAGTCAAGGACAAAACAGCACCGGAATGATCTCAAAGATAACCTACAGACCTAAATGCATATAGTTCCAAAAACAGTGATCATCAGGCAAAGGACCTTCAACGTATTCAGATAGAAGAAATGATGAATGTTTCATAGCTGTAATCAGGTTCATAACGTACTGTCAGTTCTGATCAATGATGAGAATCAACATAGGATGATCGTATGAATCAATGATGATAGCATAAGCGTTTCCATATGAAAGTTTCCCCATGCAACATGATATCCCAATGATGAAGCTGAGACTTCCTCCATGTAACCCCAATGAACATCCACAGGGATCAAAGCAGCCAGAGATCATTAGTCTCAGGCTGTGAGTGCAAATTGTGCAAACAGTATCACTCTCAAGTGTTTCTCACCGAGAAACTAGACGCGACTTAACAGTCTGTGTTCGAATGTATCCAACACTACTTTGACCCTTGAGCTAAGTATAGAGTAGAAATCCATCTAGAAACAACTTTTCAAAATGTCCTGCGATGCGAAAGAAATTTCGAAGAAACTCGGACAGAAGTCCGACTGGCGAGCATGGCAACTTGCCATACGTCAGGAAGCTAGCCGTCTCGGCCTGCTTCAAAACTACACGAATGTAGTCGGCATTCCGGCAGCTCCTCATGGTATTCCTAACGGAGTTACCAATCGGGAGGAAACAATTCGGCAGAAGTGGCGCAACCTGAAAGATGCGATCATTCGTAGTCTGAAAGGTGCCGCTGCGTCGTTCATCAACAACCAGAACGATATTGGTCAGGTGGATGCGATGGATGCAGGTGAGGTTGTTGTGCTCCTTCGTGATGTAGGACACTTCGATCAAAACAACCGTCAGGAACAACGGATGAAAGTAAAACCGCTTACGGATGGTGTGTTGAATTTTCACAACGCGGATCAGCCTGCAGATGTCACGGGATTCTTGTCGAAAGTCCGAGACATCATGAACCAGTCGCCCACCGTGTACCCGCCGGAAGCAGGAGTGCCTGAAAGTGACCAACAAAATGGCGCACTGATACAGAAGCTGCCCGAGCTGTTCTGTAAGAACTTCAAGGCAACGATCGAACGCATGCAGGAAGAAGATGGTCTGACATTTGACCAGATCGGTGACCGACTTGAAAAGCGTCTTGCGACGTTGATCGAGGAGGGAACCTACAAGGTTGAGAACGATTCCTTCGGGAAGGCGTTTCCGGTCAATGTTCAGGAGACCTCGAATAAGCGTTCTCGTGAAGAGGAGGACGACGAGGAAAAGGCCAACGAAGGTGGTAAGATCTTTCTGTCTAAAAGTGCTCTCAAGCGCTTCAAGGCAAACACAAAGAAGAAGATCGCCGCCGAGGTCTATGCCTCCAATTCGAACGGCAAAGGAAAGCCGCAGAACAAAAATAATAAAGGATCTGGAAAACACGATACCCGTCCAGTCTGTTGGATCTGCAACAAACCGGGTCACAAGTCCGCGTCTTGTTGGAAGAATCCACAGAACCAGGCAAACTGGAACTGGAACACCAGTTCCCAATCTAGTAGTGCTATGGGTAAAGGTGGAAAGGGTAATGGCATGGTTCACATGTCTGCAGTTGCGGAGCTGTGGCACGCTCTCAACGGCGGAAAGCAGAGCTGAGTTGCGGAACCGGTGGAAAGCGGATTTTGCTCGCTGAACTTGGATGAAGATGAGGGTGAAGAAATAAACGTAAATAATACAGGGGAGGTAAAACTTGTGGGACATAGTCTCTCAACTAGTTCCATTACTACAAGAGAAGAAGTTAGTCTGGTTGATAGTTGTGCAAACAAATATCTTTCAAGACACAAAGATGATTTTAGTGAAATAACTATGAGAATTTGTAGGATTACTGGTAGCGCTGGAAGTAAAGACGGAAGAGTAGGAAAACTAAAGTCAAACATCTTAGGGCTCCAGTATGGTGTTTATTATGATTCACTACCAAAGGATTTAGATCGTATTATACCTTGGCTAGGTGAAGGGAACTGCTCGCAATTAGGATGGGAATTCAACTTCAAAGGCACAGGCGGTTGTCTCGTACATACGGACACCGGCCAGGCCATACCCATAAGAAGTCATCCACGCTTGCAGCTTCCCATACTTGCATGCAACTTATTTAAAGAAGAGACTGATAGTGGTTATATCTGTTCAACAGTAGAAGAAGGAGTCAGTAGTTGTTATCTTACAAGACTTGAACTTCATAGAAGATGTGGGCACTTTCATATAGATGGCCTCCAGGTAAATTGCCCTGAGTGTGATCTACATAAAGGCCAACGTGCATCACATGCAAAAGCTAGAGATACTTCGAACTACAAACCTGAACCATTGAAGTTACTAGCAATCGACTTTGCTGTTGGAATCAAACCCGTATCAGTCAGGTCAAAGAGATGTGTACTAGTGATCATCTGTGATGTAATTAAGAAGGTGCTCTGTCGACCGCTTAAACTGAAAAGTGACTGTGTGGAGGAAATAGAAGAAGTTATCAAAGGCATTCGCCAGGACTACTCCTTATCACTTGATGACAAGGTAGTGTGGTTCCTCCGGAGGGATGGAGAACCTGTCCTGAGCAGTGATGACATGACCAAAGTTATGCAATCGCTGCGAGTCTCAGACAGTCCGGCTGTTCCTTATAATCCGGAGATGAATGGTACCTGCGAACGTTTTATGCGGACTTTGTTCGGCAGTGTTCGCACAATGCTGACTAAAGTTGATAAACGCCTCTGGTGTTACTGCGTCGAGTACGCGGGTGACTGCTGGGATCGTTTACCGCATAACTATGCAAAAATGCCTCAACATGATGGAAAGAGTCCAATTGAAATCTTAGAAGAAAGGACTGGTAGAAACTCATCGAAGAGCTCAATCGGCATGCTCCGCCGATTTGGTTGTCTAGTTTACTTTCGTGAACAAATTCAAGCCAACACTCCTGAACCCAAGCTCTCGGCCAAATACCGCCGCGGCGTCTTCCTTGGACTCTGTCCGAAGTCGTCTGGCTGGTTGGTTGGAACCTTCGCTCATGACGATCGTTGCAAGCTTGGACATCGATGGGCGGAATACTCTACCCTAGATGTAAAGTTCAGAGAGGACTATCTAATTAAGAATATTGATTGGCTTTTGCCAGATCAGAAGGGCATCTACATTGAGTATGACGAGCTGGAAAATCTGCAGAGTGGCGCGTCGTCGCTGGGCTCCCCCTTGCTTGGACAGTCAGTGCAAAGGCTGGATCATCAATCGGGGTTCTCTGGCACGGAGCACACTCCAGGTGGACCGACCGCGATTTCCGACGAATTATTTATTGAGACATTGGATAAAGTAGAGGAATCCAACGCAGCTGACTCTCCTAAAGATGTTTCACTTGAGGAGGGGAATGCTGAAGCGAAGGATTGCGAGACATCTGCTCCGCTAAGTCTGTCTAAGTCGAAAGCGCCTTCTCCAGCACGTGTTGTGGCAGGCGAACGCCGTACACACGTCAAGAAGCGTGGCCGACCAAAAGGAGCGAAGGACAAAGCAGGTAGCAGGGTTCGAAGAACAAAGAAACAGTTAGAAGAACTGAGAAAGAGTGTGGCGCTGTTCGCTAGTGCAGTAGGTGGCATGTGTGAATTAGACGAAGATGAGGAATTCGTCGAATCATATGTGATTTTGTCCGTTGCTCAAGCACTCAAGTCTCCTGATGCCGATAAGTGGCGGGAGGTTATTGACAAAGAGCATGCGAGACTTCTAGCCTTTGAGACGTGGAAAGAAGCTTCTGACGAGGAGCTTGCGACCGCGCGACAGGCTCTACCAATTGCCATAATTCTAACTATTAAAAGATGTGGAAGATACAAGGCTCGCGCTTGTGTCCTCGGTAATCTAGATCGTTCAGGAGAGCTAAACACCTTTGCTCCCGTAGTTTCACACGCCGCTAATAGGCTGCTCCTGACTTCTGCTGCGTCAGAACAGGACTATGTGATCCCGTTCGATTTAGATTCTGCGTTCCTCAATGCTGAACTCGATCGCGATGTCTTCTGTCGTCTCCCACCCATCTGGGCAGAGAAGCATGGACGTGAGATCGTGAAGCTCAAGAAGGCCCTATACGGCTTGAAGGACGCACCACGAGCATGGTTCAAGAAATATCACGACACACTAGCCAGTATTGGCTGGGAGCCGTGTGATTCTGCGCCAGGCTTATGGAGAAAGCCGAGTGCGAAGGTACCAGGGAAGTTCCTCAAGATGTCCGTCTATGTTGATGACAATCTTGCAACGGGTCCTGATCTTGATGAACTCAAGACCGAACTAGAACTCATCTTCTCGCGTGCCCCTGGCCGTGCGATTGATGTGGAGTCCGTTCCAACCCCTTGGGGTCAAACGTGGCTCAGGTTCGACTTCTTAGGTGCCATCGTGTACTACTGCCGTGAAGCTCGAACATTTCGGCTCAATATGGAGGAGTACATTGATAAAATCGCAAAGAAGTTCGAAATTGATGTCGGAAAACCGGTTTACTCGCCCAATTTTGACGAGTCGGCTTTTCTTGAGGAGGGGATCAAGATAGTCGAAGGGTATCCCTTTCGTGAGGTAGTTGGTGCCTTGCTATGGGTAGCTGTAACCGCGCGCCCGGACATTTCTGTACCGGTGGCAGCATTGGCTAGACATGTCAGCAAACCCGCGCCAACAAGAATGGTTAAAGCAGCCAGAAAAGTGCTAAAGTATCTGGTGACAACGAGAGACCAAGGACTGGAATACTCACCAGAACAAGAAGAAGAATTCAATAAAATCTATTCAAAGTTACTACCTGAAGGCAGAGATATGCCAGAGGTGAATATCTTTAGTGATGCAGGTTTCGCCAACTGCGTAAAGACTATGAGAAGTACAAGTGGATCGATCATGTATTTCAAAGGCGTTCCAATTGCTTGGAGAAGTAACCGACAAACGGTTAGAGCCTACTCAACGGCTGAAAGTGAATATATTGCAGCTTCTGACACTATTGTGCTTAGTGAACTGCATGACTTTACAGACTTCTATAGGCCTCTACCAACTCAGTTGGTACACACACAGAACGGCTTGTCTCCCTCTTTAGACAATGCTGTGCTCTGGATCGACAACCAATCCGCGATCACAACAGCTAAAGCAACTGACACACGCCCAAAGAGTCGCCATTATGCACTTCGCTATTTGCGTGTGCGTGATGCGGCCAGTAAGATAGTTTTCTGTCCAACTAACTTAATGAAGGCTGATGGCTTAACTAAGCTAGAATGTAGTTCGTCTCAACGTAGACTACTACTTCACCATATAGATAACCCGATAACTAAAGTTGAGTATGATGATTGTGATTCCTCAGACGATGAAACGAATGGGGATGATTTAGTCTACTATAGCGTAGTATATTCGGTTTATTTTGGTTTCTAGCCAAGTATACCGTAGCCATAAAACAGTAGCTAGGAGATATGATTTCCGTGGTAGTCCAGAAGACTAGGGACTTCGACACGCAACGATTGAGGAGGGGTGTTGGTCAAGGTCATAATCCTAATGGACTCACAAAGATCACAAGGATAAAGATCAGCAAAATGACCAAGATCGCCAGGCAAAAGGTTACCGGAGCACCATCCAAACGCCCGACGGGTTTACCGTCGCGCGGGTGTCTCTGGCTTCTCCTCTCTCTCTCGTTTGTGGCTCAAGCCTCCCAACACAGTCAAGGACAAAACAGCACCGGAATGATCTCACAGATAACCTATAGACCTAAATGCATATGGTTCCAAAATCAATGATCAACATGCAAAGGACCTCCAACGTATTCAGATAGAAGAAATGATGAATGTTTCATAGCTGTAATCAGGTCCATAACGTCTTGTCAAGTTCTGATCAATGATGAATGCCAGTGCATGATGATCGTATGAATCAATGATGATAGCATAAGCGTTTCCATATGAAGCATATGAAAGTTTCCCCATGCAACATGTTATCCCAATGATGAAGCTGAGACTTCCTCCTTACAACCCCAATGAATATCCACAGGGATCATTTCGCCTAGTGGTCAAGTGTCTCAGTTCAGTTTCTCCGGATCTGAATGACGCATGGTTCGAATCCGACTGATGTCAGAATTCGGCACACCCGTCACTGGGAGGGCTAAGGAACGGCATCCATGCCGCGAAGCCGCCGGGCAAGGCCTGTGTACGAGGTAAGACACGGCGACCCAGAGGAAGGGCCCGGCCCGTCCTGTGCTCGCCCCGGAGAAATGACCAACCAGAGATCATTAGTCTCAGGCTGTGAGTGCAAATTGTGCAAACAGTATCCCTCTCAAGTGTTTCTCACCGAGAAACTAGACGCGACTTAACAGTCTGTGTTCGAATGGTCCAACAAAAATAAAGATATTAGAATCTCCCAATCTAGAAAGCTAGAACTTCTAGAGGTACCCCTTGGTATTTCATTCCGAAACTCATGATGAGGAAGGGTTGGTCATCGCGTATCATCAGGTGGCCCTCGCGCTCCCTCCTGAAGTCCTGCAAGTTTTCTGCCTGATTCACGCTCTTCATCTGGTCCAGATGTGCACCCATGTGCACGTCCGGAGCGTGTCCGTCCGCCATCTTGTTGTGTGAAGTGATCTACTCCTGGTGGGTGCGTGTGTGATCTACTCCTGGTGCGTAGTGTGTTAAAGGTTGAAATATTTCATTTTTAAAGAGCACTTATCTAGTTGTATCTTAAGAGAGAATCAGAAAAGCCTGTAAATATGAAATATTTCAACCCTTAATGGTGCGTCCTCGTCTGGTGGAGGGGAGGGACGGTCTTCGTTCTTTAGATGTTGCAAACTGCTAGAAGATAGTACTGTCGACGAGTGTCGACGTTGGAGTTCTCGTTGTAGTTCTGAAATCTAACTTTTACATGATCTTTCTTTGTCGTTGTGTTTCATGCAAAAGGAGGTGAGCAGTCACTATTTTTGGTCCCCAAGAGAGAACTGCAAAATTCGCCTAGGCCGAATTGAGGACGTCCACCTAGTTGACAAGACGAAGTTGTAATAGGAGTAATTGTCGCGTTTGTCTCCTCCCTCGAGCTCGATACAAGTAAAATCGTACTTGTGTGGACCTCTTACCGCGCCTACTAGCACCTATATTTTGCTTCAACAGCGATTGAGAGAAGATATTGGGGTCGCTGATCTGTAGCTCCTGCTCTTGCTGTTGCACCGTCTACTATTTCTACTGCACCAATCTTTTTTGCTAGTTATTATACAGTGTCTGCATGCAAGCACGAGCGCTGCGTGAGATGCAGATGCTCAGGTGCTGCTACTGGTACTGCCACGATCCCTAATTCGATGTTCTCACGTCTGCTGCTCTCGCGCGTGTCCGACGCCGTCGGGCCAGCATAGAGCACGGTATTACCGTGCCGCTGCTACCCGCAACCGCGGAGGCATAGGCGAAAACCTCGCCGTTCTGGCTCTCTTGTGGACATGCTTATATCAAAATTGTCTTCAACTAAATGTAATTATATAATCCATAATCCATTCAACGAAAAATGCTACCTACTACAACTTCTTTTTACATTAAGGAACAGCACGGAGATGACGACAACAACCGAGAGAGAAGAAACAGTTCTTGCAGCACGATCGTCTTCTAACAACCAACGATCAATCGAATACGAATTACTTAGTTACAACAACTACATCAACGCTCTCCACCCGACCCCGCAGCCTTCGATGTCTAAACGATGGAAACGGTTCGATAGTGCATGATCGAAAGTTTACGATTGAAGAAGAAATGTATAACAATGAGAGAAAGTGAATCCTCGGTATTTTTCTCGTCATACGATTCGACGACTACAACAATTTCTCCTGCTCGAAGGCACTAGTTGTACAATGTCGATGGAGCAAGAATAGCCTCATTTATTTCGAGATGAAGAGTGACTTGAAGATGTTGTCTCTCACTTCTCTCGCTTTTTGTCTCGTCACATCTGTCTCTCTCATCTCTACTTCTCGATACCTCTGCTCTCATGAAGACGTAGCAGAGGCACTCAGTAGGTGGTTTGCTCCGCTCGTGACGCTCAGAGAGGCTTTCTTCGATGGTTGGACACCACAAATTCTAGGACGCAGTCGCAGACTGTGTATCAAGAATCGCGAATCAATGGTAGCTTTTACTTTCACCAAAGGCTGAAGCACAAGCAACATGGAAAAAGAGGTGTATCACAGCTCATAGATAGTACATGATGGTACCAAGAACGAATGTCATAATAGAACTCACGATAATCTTTTTGATGTTGTACTTATTTGCTCTGCATAAACATAAAAAATGGACAAATGATGCAGATGCTGCTCAAAGAAAAGGGAAGATCTTGTTCGATTTTTCTCCGTATTACAAATAAAAAAAGTTGACAATCTTCCATAACTATATAATAATATGTCTCGTTTCTTATTTCAGTTTTACACCTCATGCTTCCATATTATGATAACGTCCTGGCGGCAGATTTTAGAGTAGCGGATCCGACCAGCCTACAACATGTTCATGTCCGCCCAGGTCAAGCGACTCAGGAGCTACTGTCGGAGGACTCAGTCCCGATGTCGGAAGGTGCAGATACTCTTGTGGAAGCGTCGGAGTCTATCTCTACTTCGTCCCTGGATAAGTCAATTTGCAGGAGAAGTCACCACGACAGTCACAGATGAGAAGGGGATTGGATTATACTTCATATTCAAAAACTCAAGTCTCCTGTACTGGAAGTATAGCTACAAACAGACGGGGGTCTTCTCGTTCCTCTTTATGCATCAATAAAATTGAAAATGATGAAGATCTGACGATACTATAGACTAGTGAGTGAACATGTGTAAGTAAGTTGTTACTTACCTTGATGATATTGAATCTTCTTCGTCGCTGGTCGTCCAGCCGCTGGTCGTCGAGCCTCTGGTCGTTTGACCGCTGGTCGTCGAGCCGCTGGCATTCGAAACGAAGTCCTCTCTGAGAACCATGAATAGCAGCGCCCGGATCACCTTCTTCGTCTCTCTTGCTGATTCTGATTCCTTCGGGTATAAGTTTGGCGAGACGTCCCGGTTGTAAAATTTCAATACATTGGCCAATGCACGTACGTACAGGTCGACATCGTATCGTTCTAATTTGTCAGCGTCCGCCTCTTCACCTTTTGCAGCACGGAGATCACGGAGCTCTGTCTGAGCGTCACATTAGAACAGTCGAAGAAGAAGTTTATAAGGTATTTATCAAATTGATATCTTTAGTATACTTTGATTTAGATACTTACATAGATTATAGATGTTATCCTAGTTGATCTCCAATGAGATGAGTCTTCTGAAACGGTCTCTCGGCGTAAGAAAGATTGAATGATTGATTTATAATATCTATTCAGGAGGTGGGGGGGGTCGCTGCATGTGAGGTGTTCACCCGTTCGATTACGGTGGAACCCTCTCGATCATTTTGTGTCTGCCGCCTACAGAGGTGGACGACGTTGTTCTTGCATATTAAGTAAGCATATAGTACTAGTTTACTTATGGTATATTATATAAGATAAACCCTGATAAGATAGGATACTGTGGCGCGGTTTTCCATAACGAGAAGAGATTTTGCTGTCCTCATCCTCCACCAATTGCGCCAAAGCTCCGATGAATGCTGATTCTATGTCGAGACGAAGGTCGTTAAATATGGTCCGGCCGGCGGTGACGTAGTCGTTGCCCAAACCACTTCCAAGTTGCGGCCATCGTGTCGCCCAATCCTCCATAGATTTCTCGATATGGACGTAGCCACTCGCCACCCGTGGCCATGTCAGTCAGGTGTCCGCGTCTACAGCTACAACAGCTTGGGTAACAAAGGTAGTTCGTCGTAGAAGAAGTGGGCGAGTGGGAGTGTGGTAACAGAAATAACGAACAAGAGCACCATCCACAAAAAAAGAAAATAAAACCCCCAGCGCTTGTTTCTTCTTTGCTGCGCTGCAGCTGCTTGCATTCGAATAAAAAGTAACGCAATATTGACAAGCTCGCCATTCTTAGAAAGACCAAAACCCTCCGAAAAAGTTGCACTTTATTACTTTTAAGCTGTGGAGAGTTGTGGACGCTCTGGCCTGGGTTGTGGGGGTTGTGGCCTAAGTTGTGGGGGCTGAGTTTGTGTTTGCTAAGTTGTGGAAGTTGTGAAAGCTGTGGCGAGTTGTGGAGGTGGAGGTGGCGAGACAGAAAGCACACGAAAGGGCCCGGCTCCGCTCTCTCTCAGGCTGTTCGAATTTGAAAGGAAGCCATAAAGCTTACGCGATTCTTCGGAGTCTCATGGTGTTCAGATTCGCACTTCATAAAACTTAGCCCACAACCTCGACAAGCTACGCCACAACTGAGGACACAACTGCCACAACCCAGGACACAACTGCCACAACCCAAGACACAACTCCCACAAGAACCGAGCGAGGCCACAGCAAGACGCAAGAACCGCCACAGCCCCCCAGATTTAAGGCCAATCGAGTGAGGAGCGCAAAGGCGACCTTATAGGCGAAGGAAGGGCCTTTCTAACATTCTTAAACGCTAGGCCCTTCCCTCTCCGATGAATGGCCGCGGTGAATAGAAATAGATACCAAAGAAGCGCCGCGCTGGGTTGCGTGGTGTTGATTCAAATGCATTCAGGCGCCTGCTGAAAAAGGTCCAGCCACTTGCTTCTGTCTTGTGTATGTCTCCAGAGCGTTGCCGGTCAAGTCCGTTCTTCACCTTAAGCCTTACTCAGTCAACAAATCTACGCAACTAAGCCGCCCCAAAGTTTTGTCTTTTCTGTGGCTCAGCTCTCAACAGATAAAAAGAAAACAACGAACCCCAACAGACTGGCGCAGTGTGGACCCCTCTCACACCCACCAACCAAAAAACTTGCGACGCGTGACACTTATCAAATGCTTCGCGAGCAAGGTCGACACAGCAACGAGCCAGAGGCGCTACGCTGAGGAGCGCACACGGCGACAAACTTGAGACCGCTGGGCCATACTTAGCATAATCTAATGCGAGATACTCTCGCGGAGAACATGCGACGCCCTTGCCTTTTGAATACGCGAGCGCCTTGGCTTGTTCGCTACGTGTCTCGACTGCAGCATCTTGCTTGTGCTTTTGCTCTAGATTCTTCTTTCACTTTGAAAAAAAAATAAGCCTCAGCCTGCCAATCGAGTCGGCCTCGGCGTAAGAAAATGTTGACAAGTATCAGCAAGCTGCCTTTCGTCATCGATCAATCTAGATGCCCGGAGAACAGAAAGAAAAAAACGCGCGGAGTGCTAAGCGTGTGCTTAACAGATCGCTTTTTTAGTTCCTACGGGGGACTTTGATGGGTGTAACAAGTTAAGGGATCACAATGCCGCAACCTTTGCGCCAGGCCCTATGAACAGCCTGCCTAGCCGTCGCGGGCGCCTTGATCAAAAGAGGCAGGCGGCGCAAAAGGTTCGGCATTGATCGCGTTCCAACATCCACGACGTCGAAAGCCTTACCGCGTAAGAATTTAGGCCAAAGCCTGCCCCCTATGCATGCTTTTCGCAACATAACGCCCCGCCCATTCTTGGACTCTTGTGCCCGTTTGAACTCTTTACGTGAGTGATGGCCGAGCGTTGTCGCCGTCGCCAAGAGTGCTGTCCAATCTACAGCTAGCTAACTTACTACGCGAGCTCGCCAAAACAACAAAGAAGCGGGAACCCATGGCGCGCCGGCTTACTGGAAGCGGAAAGAGGTGCCACACAGTCGCACCCCAGGCCCGTTGGCGTGCTGGTGTTGGTCGTACTTAGCTGTCTACGCCGGTTACCGTCAGAGATGAAAAACGAAAGCGCGAAAACTGCGAGGAAAGAACTGCGGCGACTGTAACTAACCAGCGACAGCTAGTGCAACTACGCGGGGCTTTTCTACTTTCATCAGAATCAGACGCGTTCGGATTCCATTCATTGCCACGACCGTGGCGGAGCTCTGCTCTCGAAGTTTCGCGCAAGGCTTTCCAGTGGCGCCACTGAGTGGCCCCAGATGAGAAGACTCACAACCGCTCCCGACCCGGTGAAAGTGCCGCAAACAAATCAGGCCAAGCCTTGTCAGTTGTCCAGTTTAATCAACCAACCACAACGAACTGCGAGGCGCTGCATGATTTATCGGGCCTCTTCGTGGTCTGCTCTGTGCTGTCTCAGAGAGGCGCTGCAGCAAATTTGGACGAGTTCAGTATCCTTCTCGCAAGAGAAGGCCCTGAGGGATCGCTTACCACTAGCACCCCGCCGCACGACTAAGCCACAGCCGAGAAGAGTAAAGCCCTGCCACAAAGGTCCAGGGCCTTCTTTCCAGTCGTCACCAAGGGGGAAGCAACGTGCTACCTGTTTGCAGATCTCACGAAGCCCGCGGCCATCCCCTCCAGGAGGGGTCGGGTGTCATCTACATGCAGATGCAGCCAAGCTGAGATATGCCATAACCCTTACGACCTCCCTGGGGGGAGTCGAGTGGCTCTACTTCTTCGCCAGCCTTTTCGTCTAGTTGTTTAGTGTCCGCCCCTCCTAGATGTAGCAGACATCCATGGACGCATCACCAAAAACGGCTGCACTTTCGGCGCCACACACTAACGAGTAAAGAAGTACCCGGGTCACAGCGTCGCTGCCGATCGAGAACCAGCCTCAGCAAGTTTCTCAGTTATTTAACGCGCGAAACCAGCCACGAGGCGCACCAGCTAAGCCGTACCCGTAGCGAGCGCGAATAAAGACGCTAGCTGAACGCCCTAGGCATCCCATGACCCCAGGCGCGCTTTCCTGAAGTTCTGAAGGCAGAAAATCTACGAGGGGACACTCGGCGCGGGGTCTAAGTTACTTGCCGGCCTTCTAGTTAGAAAGTAAGCCTGTAAAAGGAAAGCAAGCGCGTGCGCTTAGAAAGTCTCCGCCACAAAGTATAGTAACCAGCGGCCCCCGCCTAAGTGCTGCGCTCTGGCTAAGCTACGCGCGGCCCTCCTTGTGATGCCGTAGGGGTGTGTCTTCTCACGTGGCCAAGCCTTACTTTGAGTATCATCCGGATCCCACCAAGCGAGAAAGCTGGCTACTTTTTGGCTACTTTTTCGCTATCCAGAAGGACACGACAACCGCAGCGGGGGCCGCAGACTCTACCCACCCACCCACCCACCCACCCCAAACCACAACCAAAGACGCCACCACTAGGCACCCACAACAAAAGCCAAGCCATCGAAGCCCCAGCGCGAACCACAACCCCACCCACCCACCCACAGCCGCGCCAAGGGTCGGCGAACAGCGATGAACCCACCCACAGCGAGTAGCCTGCACCTGTCTCCCGTGCGCCAGCTTTCCAACTTTCTGCCCCGGTTTGTTGCACTATCGTAGAGCTACGCAGACTCTGCTTCCGCGTTAACTGCTTCCGCCGCCGTCTTGCGTAGCTCCTCGAGTTGCAGCTGTGGCGTCGGGTCTCGGGCTTTCCTGTCAGTAGATAGCAGGCCAAAACAGAATGCGCATCGCTTTGCAGAGCCCTTCGCTGAGCTGGCACACTTCTGACTTCTCCCAAAATATTTTCTGACGCAAGAGCTTTGAGCCCGCTGACCTCATGGGCCCACGCCCTCCGCGGTCAGTCTATCAAGGTGCACCGCGTCCGCATTTGCTGGCTTTTCGATGATTCGCCGGAAGATTCGACTACGCGACTCCACAGATTTAGCACGTGCCACGTCTATCGGCAGCCGAACGATAAAGGCGCATCCTGTTAGACCACAGAAAGCTAAGAACTTGCCCACTGGCGTGCCCCTCTCCATTATCGGCAAAGGCCGACGCAGTACGCTGGCCAAATATGGCGCGACATACGTCAGGGCCGCTAGGATGTCCTTCGGAATTGACGATAACGAGCGAGCGGACCACTTCGAAAGGGCGGCGACTAGTCTAGACGCAGAGCCGAAGACCCCTCGCCGCAGAACTGAACTTGGAAAACTGACAAGGTACTCACTGCGACACATTCTTTTACTTGGGTCCGCAAGCTCCTCCAGTGCATAAATAAAAAGTTTGTTTCGTTACACTCAATCAAGTAATTTAGAAAGCCGATCCTTTCACCGCTGATGGCGCGTTGAGTTTCAAGTAGACACGGACACCAGGCCAAGAGGGTGGCGCGTCGCTTCTTACTCGAGAAGGCCCAACGCTTCTCTCTTGATCTTGTCCGCATGCGCGGGTACGATAGATGGAGGTGGAGCTTTCCTTTTCCCCGTATGCGAATGGGGCTGCATTTCGCGTGGGACTTCTTCTTCTCCGTCGCTTTTTCCCCTGGGCCTGAGCCTGAGACAAATATTAAGAAGGAAGTGAAGTAAGTGTGTATCTTCTTCTATGAGAAAGAGAAGCATGCTTGCAAAACCGAAGATATCCAAGATGCAAGATAGGTTGAGACATATTAAAAACCGATGAAAACTGAAGATGACTGAATAAAAGAGGTACATTTTGAATGCCTCTGCCATAGCCGCAAAGTGGAATTCTAAGAGGTAGCACGTCAGCCTGCGAGCCTCACGCTGCAGCTGTTTTATTTCATTTGGGTCGCCTGACTCTGCCTTTAGTCGAATCAATTCGGCCACCGTGCTGCCGAGAGAGTTAATAATATCTTCACTTTTCGCCTCCACCACGACTTGCTCCCGTTCTTATTATTAGAGTTGACATCAACGAATGCGTCGCCTTGGCTTTCCAAATCCAATGAATGCCAATCCTAGGCAGAGCTACTAGTTGCATTTGCTCGCTCAATGGCATTGAAGATAGTGAAAAATACTGGGCGCGAAGAACTAGAAAAGATCGGGCGACGCGAAACGGAAACTTGTTAAGTGCCCGTAATTTATCAGCATATTCATTCTTCGTTGAATGTCGTGGCGCAATCGCCTGCTTCCTTTGACAATAGCCCTGGCCAAGCGCTCATGCAAACCCCAGCGGTAAGCCACAACAACTGTCGGGGTCAGCCATGCTTTGGCACGGGTCCGGGCATCTTCCATGAATTCCTTCAAACTCACGTCTGCCATTGCGTCGACCAGTGCCTTCGCGTGGGCTTTTGCATCCCTCTTCCTCCATCTCACCGGCGGCCTGACGCACATGCGGAGATTATAATCAAAAATATATTTAATAATTGTACAACATTCATCAAGTCTATACGTATTACAAGCTCCAGAGCCTTAGAATTCCAGAGACGATCTTTCTAAAAAAACAAAAGATATTTTGCATTTTTTGGGAACTCGATGTAATCTACAATAAGTCAGTGTCAGTGTAACAGGCATCACCGTGAAAAAAATAATAAAGGTGCGAGACTGTGACTGATCACGGTAATATGGCTTCACGACTGAGCACTCTAATCGTGCGCCAGTGGTAGACTTAGCGGTTGAATTACCAGACGGCGCGCAAATTTGCTTTCGCCTTTTCCTTCGCCTCTCCCTTCGCCTTTTCCTTCGCCTTTGCCTTCGGCTTCGTTTTTGGCTTCGTTTTTGGCTTCGTTTTTGGCTTCGCCTTTTGCTTCGACGTCGTTTCCTGCGGCTTTTTCGTCGCTTTTCCCTGCGCTTTATTGTTAACCTTTGGACTTGGTTCTGATGATTGCAGCATAGCAGTTGCGTTTTTTGCATCTGCGAGATCATCCACATCTCCATCCCAATCGATGACTATGCGTTGCTCGTGCTCGTGGCTAATTCCCCAAGCCGGGACAAAAAGGTGCTCCAATAGCGAGAAAGCGCCCAAGAAAAAAGTTAGAGGAATTGTAAGGTACTAGATGAAGTGTTGTGTAAAGACGAGAACTGAAGAGACCACGACCCACAGTCCTGGTGCTCTTGTAAATAAAGAATATCCATGTGGTGGTCATGTTGAATGTTCAAAATAACACGTCGTTTATGCTGCGCATCTTCAGTATCATAACAGTTGGCACCGCGATGCAACTCGTAGTAATCCACTCACGTGCGACGCCATCTTGGAAGTGTTGTTTCTTGGATTTTGATTCTACTCAGAACTGATCTCTTGTCTCAGTGGAAGTTGCAATAACACTCCTAGTTCCACGCCCCCTAACCTCCCACCCTCCTCCTTCTCTCCACCTGGTTCAACAGATAAGAACAAAGTAGTAATATGAATGTGTAAAGAGGAGATTCCTCTACTAGTCAGCGAAGTTCAGATAAGTAATTATTGATATTAATATGGTAGACAGACCAGACTGAGCGTGTGGCGTTCGAGAAGTAGATGAAAGATTTCTTGTTTTTGTCCAACAGCTGAGTTAGAAGTACTACTGCTATGTATGTTGTTATCAATGCACCTTCGTTAGTGTTGAGAGAAGAATCAACATTTTCATTTAGTAACTATTATCAACTTTATAATTAACTTTAGCTTTCTCGATTCAGATAACTATGTATATATAAATGGATCAGACGACAGGAGCTCTGCGTTGTAGTTTACCTCTCTTCGAATCCGTGTGGGAATGACAACGACGATCCTCGCGACTATCGCCTCGCTCTTCAAGGACGATCTTCCTTACGCTTACCTCTCTTATGCCTTCTATGACATTGACGAGGACGACGAATACAATGTAGCCAGCACGGTCGTGAGGCATGGCATGGCATTAACTTTCTTGTTGAGTGAATGAATGAATTTGCCTAGCAAGAGGTGCTCCTGATGCAGAGTTTGTCACTATAAAGTATGTGATTAATCAACTTTTTCTTCCCCTTCCCTTCTTTTTACTTGTTTTGTTTAATGGAGGTATGACAGTAGTCCAAGATTGTCCCTGATCATAAAACAGCTTGAGGCTGAGGAGCAGGTCGTAAAGTGATAAGACAAGGCGCGTTCGCTCCTCTCATCGCTCGGTGACACACTCAAGAGCAAGGCAATGCCCTTTTTCACTCCTTCTTTCTTTTTCCCTTTGCATTTTGCTTCATGAGTTCGCAAGATGTCTAGTCTTTTCGATATCATCCGCAGCGTCGTCTTCAGTGGCTCAAATTCAGTCTCCCACTCCTCATATTTCCTACAACGCAGTGAGTTCCTAGCAGCCTTGTTCTTCCATGCACGTGCTGGCACTAAGACCTTCGCAAGCCGCGCGTCAGGTCCGAACAAGGATGAGCCAGCCGACCTACACAGCAGGCGACTCTCGGGTCTCCAGATGTTTCGCACTGTGCCGAATGCAGGTGTTGAAGGTGATGCAACGGCTCCCCTGCGTTTCATTACTAGTTTCGCGACCTTGATTACCTCCTGATTCCTGTGCGCTCTGAACTGACGTGCTTCGTCATGGCTCGCAAGTTGGTCTGGAAAGAGAGTCCGCAAAAATCGCATCCATATCGCCCAGCATACTTCCCCCATTCATGCGGTTTGGGTCCTACCGACGCCAATCGCCTGAAGAAGCCAAGTCTGCCAGCCTTTGCCGCTGACTTCAAAAGGGCGCACTTCAGCATCTGCTCCTCCCTTGCCATTAGCTCCATTCGGTCTCCCCGCTTTGTTGACTTGCACGGCACAGAAGGATGATGGAAATCAACATGTTCGCGCAACAAATCAGCTGCTTTACTAGGAGTGTGCTGCGCCCAGGGGTCCACTGCCTGAGCCGTCCATCCACAAGCAGCACAACAGCCCTGAGCATAGTGCGACCTGACCACTGCTCTCTCATTCAAGGTTGCCTCAACATGAGGAGCCAGCGTCAGCGCTGCCTCATTCCCTGGCAGCGTCATCTCCACCTCCTGACCACCTGGCAACAGTAATTGCGACAAGCCTGCACATCGCTCACCAGTGACCGCGCCCTCAGTGGCCGCCACTCTGTCGTCTCCCCTCCATCCCGCTAACAACGCCCGAACATGCAGCGCCAGTGGTGGTCGACCTCCGCCGGTGGGTGCAATCAAGTATGCACGCATAGAAATGTTGACCGGAACACTAAAGGTCCCTAATTAAGCTGGGTCACAGTCATAGTCCATCAAACATGCAGAGATACGACTAAGACTGTGATCGTCGTGTTGAGGTATATATTTTTTATTAGTTTATTTAGGGCCAGAACTTCATCGGCCCCACCCACTAGATCTAGACATGAAAACCAGAACACTTTCACGATCACGACAGCATGGATGTAAAAGACATCAGATTGATGAACCTATCAGATTGATGATTTTAAGAACATCTTGTTCTGTGGGAACAAACGTGTACAATGCGCAGTATCTTTCGGGAGGTTTCAACATGTGCTAAGAAACCTCATCAAAGAACAGCTTCTTTGGCTCTTTGATTTTCTCCAAGCGTAGTCGTGATAGTGAAGTTTTCTTCAATTGAAAATCAATCATTCATGACATCTTGATCTTTCATATATTATGGAACAATACATTAATAAAGATAGAATGGGTAAGTAAAAGTACTTGTCTTCAGTTAGTCGTGGACAAGCAAGTAGTTGTATCAGGGAAACTGAGGTTACTAGTAATATTAAAGCAAGGCCACCAGGTTCTGGATCATCTGGAAAACGATCCTGTGGCAATGCCAAGTAGGTTTTTCATTTTGCAATGAATAGGACTTCAGTACTGTAAAGGTAACTCTAAATCCTATTTTTTGTTTGTGGTCTTTCGTGGTCTGAATATTGAAGTCTACTTAGCAGACTAGTAAATGTTTTTACGTATTCTCTTCAACATCATGATTTAGAATCACAAAAAGATGACTCGCACATGCACAACAAGATAGTGTCTATGAAGGTCTATCAAGAACTTACTTGTTTTCTTGATCTTGTGGCAGTTTCACAACGGGCTCGATTGGCGCTGGCAGTTCAATGTCGGCGGAAGATACAGACTTCTCTCGGTTTTTTATTGCGCCCCATGGCAAGCTTTTCGTAACGGCGTCTAGAAACGACGCTTTCGCGTGTTGTACACCGCCAGCAGTGCCAAGCGGCGCTTTCTTTGAAGTAGAGGTAGAGGGCGATGGGATATTAGCCATAGCCTGACTGGTCGCTCCTCCGGAAGACGAGACTACGGAAGCTGAACTGGGAGCAATTGTAGGATTAACAGAAGTACTTGCCGCGAGGACGGCCGCACAAGAGTTCTTGTCGGTCAGCGTAGTCGTGGTAGCCGATGCGGTACTGCTGATCGCGCTTCCTGTGGGCCCTAGACCCACAACGACAGCAGGAGATGAATCGTCTTCTTTTCTTATGCCAGTCGGGCCTACGTCGTTAGCACCAGTTCTCGACTTAGCAGTTGCGCTCGTACTCGTTTGACTACCTGCATCTTCTACTTCCAGTTCCATGTCCTCGTGCACTGTAAACGCGCTACCAGGTGAGTCTTCTGACGAGGAGACAAGAAGTACTTGCCTCCTCCTCGCGGTGTCTCCACCACTCTCGGAGGTGGGCGACCAGGGGGAACCGCCCCCGGTACAGCTGGGGGACTCTTGGTCGCCCAAACCTGTGGCACAACTGGGGGAAGGGTCTGTTTCGTCCAACAACTGGTCTAGCAATGCGCCGACGCCCACAGGAAGACGCTTCCACTCGAGCGTTTCGATCTCCTTCAGTGTAGGCGCAGACACCTCTGCTGGCAAGGTCGTGACAACTCCAGGAGCACCTGTTCTCTTCATGTTCTCCTCGACATGTTGTGACAAAACCAGATTTGAAGAAGAGCTCCCTGTTGACGTTGTTAGCGAAGACACGAAACGACCTGAACTCGTACCCGAAGAGCTGCAGCTCGGATGAACCTGGTGGTTGTAAATATAACGGTATTGATCATGGTAAAAGATACTTGCTGATAATTTAGCACAGAAGTATTCCGAAAAGTAGCACCTTCATATTTGTCTAGATGCATGGAATCTTCAGTAGAAGGATCAAAGAAAAGTTCAAATTATATATATGTTGATCAACATCTACACATCCATGAACGTGAACGAATCTTAATCGGGTCCCAGGAGCAACCGGGTATTTTTATCACACATGATGGTCTAGCAGGTCTACGGCTACTGCTAGCACAACTTATGATGAAGATCGCCCGGAACACCTTACCTCATGCGTAGAAAAGGTGTTATAAATAACAGAATCAATTATAATACCCCCAATGAAGAGTTGGCCCCCGCACTGAGCGCAGTCGCATAGCTTATCCGAGAACCGGCTATTGAAGTCGATGCGACACCAGTCGCAGCGGACTTTGTGAGGATGTCCGCATCTATAATTGGACTACCCTGAGGAGAGCACGTGGTGATTGTAGTTTCACTTTTCTGCTCGAGAACCGAATCTTCGCGTTGCAGAGAGAGTTCGGGTATGGCGGCAATAGAAGCTGAGGGTGAGATCGACAGTTGGGGTGACGTCTGCAAGCTGGTCGTGTCTCCTCTGCTCTGACTCATCTGATCTAGAAGAAACCCGCTACTCGTTCCTCGGAAACAGCTGTTCAGGCTGCTCTCCGGCAACGAGGACAGGGGACTTTCCAGCACTTCGACTTCGCTCTCCTCGATCACAGAGGAGAGAGAGCTGGCACACCTGGCCAACTGTGGCACTGCTCCGATCACAGATGGTGCGGAAGCGGCGCCGCCAACGACTTTCATCTCTGCGCGGACACGAGCCGTCTCACGGGAGACGTCCAATCGCGTAATCAGCTCACCAGCAGGGGATGAAGAAGTCGTGTCTGTCGTGCTGTTATGATCGAGTCCATTTGCTTCGAGTCTTATTTCTTGTGCTTCTTGTAGTTCATAATTAACCTCTTCCTGAGGACCACGACTGGCCGTGGCTGCTGGATCTTCATCAAGGTTCATCCTCGTCGGATCCGTAGTTGAAGTCGAACTTCTTGCAGTAACTCCACCTGCCTCGTCAGCGCCTGGACTTTCAAGCCTGAGGGACGAAGCCAAGTCGAGGGTTTTTGTGCTCGAAGATGAGGGTGAGGACACCGGATTCGCAACTCCAACTGTCATGGCTCGTGATAAGAAGCCATTATCCGTCTCGCCCTTCTTGCCTCCTCCACGTTTTTTTCCACTTCCCTTTCCACCGCTTCCCTTCGAAGTGCCATCGACGTCCATTTCCTGCGACGGTCCACCTCCAGTAGAAGATTAGAGCAGAGCACCTTATAATTCATCTTAGAGCAGAGCGTCTTTGGCGTGCTTTCCCGCCCCCCCTTGGGAAATAAATAAGGCTCGAAGAAGATGCTTGTTCTCAAGATAATAATGGAGTATGAGATAGATTGTAGGTTTTTCAATTTTACTATCAAGATAATAATAATAGGACGTCGGCTTAATAAGAGGAGCTCTTGCTCTTCTTCAACGCACTTCGGAGACTGCCCCCATGGCTTTTGTAGTCAATCTGCAAGTCGGAACTGTTCTCCATATTCAACACCTCACGTACTTTATGGTCGACTTTCACCAGCCCCTTCTGGTTTGCACGCTTGTTCCACAGCTCAACCTGCAGAATAAAGGAGAAGAAAATACGCAAGTAGTACTTGAAGAATTATAAATGTGTATTTGATTTTTAACTCACTGTTGTTGATCTTGTTGAAGGTGTATAAGAAGAGTGAGGAATTGTTTAGATTGTAGGCGCTTTCGTTAGTTAGTCATTCATCTACTTCTTGAGTTGAAGCTCAAGTCTTCCTTTCTGTTCTCTCTCTTCAGTAGCTCTTTAGTATCATCTTCAGTAGCGTTTTTTACCTTCTGTCGCATTTTTGAAATCGATAAGACGCAGCCACAGACAGCATCGTCGAACTCGCCAAAAAGAGAGTTGAACTGTCCACCAATAACTCCAAGCACCAAGTCCGTAAACATTTCGATCCTGAGTGAGGGAGCAGAGGAGCATTCTATTTTAAGGTAAAGGTTATTGAGAGAGGTGAGAGAGACAGTGTGTCTGTGTGTGAAGGTCATGGTCAAGATGTACTTTCCTAAGGATGAGTTGTAAGTACTACTTGAGCATGAGTAAGTCCTAAAGAGTTGGTGTACTTAAGCGTAAGTACCTGCGGTGATTTTTGGTCTTGTGATTGTGCACTGAGTTGCTGGTGAGAATCCATCTTCCGCCTTTCGCGTTCCAAGGGTCTTCCCATACAGGTTGTACGCCTTCACGAAAAACACCCAAACTCCCAGTTTCAAATTTAAAATTTATGTTGTTCCACACGCGCCAAAAGTCCTGCACGCTCACCACGGTTCCAACCTAAGAAATATAAATGGAGGAGGTTCGATCCAGGTTTAGGTTAGATTATAGATACAGCATTTTTTACGACGTGGTGAACAACATGGTTATCTATTTTGAGTACTCAAACTCGTCATGAATGTGAAGGTGAAATTTATACAGAGATGAGTGGAAACAAGGAGGTGGAGAATCTTCGAGTAACTACGGAGTAATATCAGTAAATGTATCATGATAGCCAAAATGAAACAAAGCTCACCTTGGTAACTCCGTCTTGGTAGTTGACTTTTTTCTGTGCGTCGAACCAGATCACATAGGCTTGAGGCAGTTTGTATACGCGCGTAGAGGGCACCAAGCGCTGTCCCGACGGGTTGAGAACGAGCTGGTCTGGGTTGGACACCACTGGCACGTCATCCTCCGACAGAAATTCTGCGTCAGAGCCCAGATCCTCTGCAAGAGCGCCCTCTTCCTCATCCTCGGGAAGGTCACCCCAATTTAAGACACCCTGGGGTAGGTCAGAAGAGCAGGAACTGCTGATCATCTGGTCCGTAGTGTCACAGCTGTCGGGAGAACAATGGTACAGCTCGTTTTCTAAATCAACATCTTGGGCAGTAGGCGGGGTAGAACTCCTCGGTGTCGGGGTAGCTCCCCCTCTTGCCGCACCCTCCTCCTCGTGTACGGTCCGAAGCGGCATTATCGGACAACAGTCGCGGTTGATAAGCTCTGAAGCAGAGAACTCAATCGTGGATGTGCCGTGATAGAAGTTATTCTTGATTTTGATGCTGATGCTGTTGGATAAATATGATTGTACTAGCTGGTGTTCTTATTTGATGTCAGGTAGCAACATGAAATAGGATAGTCATGCATGTTCGTCGGTCAGAATAATATGAAACAAACTAGGAGTACAAGTGGGTGGTAGAAGGAAATATTTATTTATCATCATCAGGCGCTCTAACGATAAGTTTGCTGGATTTTTACAATACTTTCACTTTCTCTTTCTCAGCGTGAACGTTATGAATACATGATTATAGACGATAAAAGCATGCACAGCAAATTTTTCAGATATGATTATGAGAGCGAGAGGTAGAGCCCAAGTTTTGATATGATAAGTCCTCCTGCAGATGAGTTTGAAGAGTTGACATAGATATCAATAGAAATGGCGATGAAGGTCGTAATGACAGAAGCACCAGCGTTCATGAAAGAGATGTTTGACACTATCAATTTTTCTTTTCTATCCCGAGTTGTAGTGAGCAAAACAAGTGAGACGTGACGGCTCTTGTAAGACCCTAGATCCAGGAGAGTAGAGCGAGTGAAAGTCAAGAGGCTAAGATCTTTCTTATTCCTCAACTACGGAATACGATCTTAGGAAGTCCGACGAGGAACTTATTCCTTTATGTCCGTTCTCACAGTCGGAACGTTTCTAATTTCTTCATTTCAAGGATCTACTTTGCACTTCTTTGCACGTCGAGCGTGATTCTAAAATTCATTGCACCAATAAGCTGATTGAATTTTCGAGAAAAAAGAGAGCGATTGAAGTCAGAGTCACAGGTATTCTACTACTACTACGTATAAATTTCCGAAACTATGATGCCCAAGCCCATTATGAGCAAATAGATTATCATCTCTTCCAAGCAGCTAGCATATCTGATCATTGAAGAGTCAACTTCTTGTGTCATTTCTCTGGGAACTGTGACCGCTGATCTTCTTACTGTCCTTGCGATCGCTGATCATCTTGATATTATAATGGTCGATGTCACTGACAGAAATGACATCATCTTCTAGTTGGCCCCGTGTTCTGCTGGCGCTGAGGCGCGGATATAGATCTTGTAGTTCTTTTCTGATCCTGATCCACCAGGAACAGATGATCTTCGTTATTTCTTAATCAAAGTTATACTAGGATGAGTTGACCTGGTCGTGATCAAATTGACTGTCTGTTAGTTTGAGCCAGACAATCCTGATCTTCGCGCTTTCCTTGCGGATACAAGCGGAAGCCGTCCAACGGAAGGACGACCATGAAATAGGTCGTCAAAAAGTCGTTCTTGTACTCTTAATTGCAGACTAAGTAGGTCTAAAATTTGTACACGACGAGAATGCAGTATGTTGCAGATGCTGAAGATGCTGAAGATGCTTGCTTGCGTCGTCATGATGACATCTTCTTGTTGTGAATTACTTAGTAGATAGAGTATCAATATGCGACAGAAGGACTGCATTTATCCAGGATGGCTCTCCAGTGTTGTTCTCATACCACGACACCCATTTCACTTGTGGTTGCGTTTTTCTCCATATTATGAAGTTGAACAGTAAGCTTCTGCTATTGTAGTACTTATGCAAGATCAAGATGGTATTGATAGCGTCAGGTCGATTTTATGCGTGAAGAAGAAGATTGCGGCTTTAACATCAATCTTTATTGTGATCGATTTTTTATTGATGTCAATTTAGCAAAATGAAAATCAGGAAACTCCTCAACCTCAATGTGGTCTCATAGAGACACTTTTTGCAATCAAAAGCAATAGATGCTGGTCATCATCTAGTACGAGTACCTGACTAAGAAGAAATAAGAACATGATGAATCATGTAGTAGTAGAATGTTGATCAGAAGCTCATTATCTATTCGTATTCTCGTGGACATACTGACAAAGCGGAAAACGACTTTTAGCATGGGGTTGCCAAGGTTTGACAGAAACCGTGCCATATTTACCAGCGTGATGTTGCCGCTCATGGTTATTGTAGAAATAAGGTCTGACAAAAATGCCACCAACTGAACATTATTAAGACAACTACTTCTACAGATAGAAAAATCCTCCTCTCTCATCAACAAGCAGAAGCATCAAATTCAAATACAATGAATTACCTAGCAGTACAAGAGGTCTGAATAAACACTGCAGGTGTAGGTTGGCGTGAGCTTGAGGTTTACCAGGACGGGAAGAACAATCGGCACGCCGCTCACACTCACCACTCGTAGAAGTATAAGGGAAAGCCGAGCTCGAAGGATAAGAGAGTCTTCAGAGAACTAGTAGATGAAAAAGTAGCGGAGAAGACTAGCTGCGTGTCTGTACACTCGTTGTAACCGCGCTACTGAAAGCCGGAACGCACATGATAGGCGTTCTTTCCACTCCATCATGATCCTTGTAACCATTGATAGCATAGAAAGCCGCCTCCTAGTAAGGGGCACGCATCCCAAAGAGGACCGCAATCCGACGTAGAGCGAGACCACAGGTAGCGATTATCCTCCAACTCCTGGAAGACTTCATGGGCGTTCTCAATTAGGAAACCAGACCCGTGCGCAACGGCGCAGAGACAACAGCAAGTAACTACGGCGCGGCCGATGCAATCGCAGCGCGAGGGAAAATAACTGTTGTTTTGCGCGTCCGTAACAGTATTTTCGTAAATAAAGTGGAGATCTTGATGTTCTTCCGGAGTGGGAGATCTTGTACTTCCTTCGTAAATAAAGTGGAGATCTTGTACTTCTCCGTAAGAACGGGGCGCACCATGCTCGTCTCGTCGTGCTGCAGCATGCATCCGTTCCTGTACTATGGGTGGTGCATCCGATAATTCCTCGGAGGTGGCCTGTGTAGTAGCGCTTCCGTAATTATAGTTGCGTGGTCGCAGAAAATTTCCTGCCGGAGAAGCTGTTGCAGGCGACACTTCTCCCTCACCTTGAGGAGGAAGTGGACGACCACCATAGCGGTTCCTTCGCGCTCTCAACAACCCAGAAGGGGATATTCCTGCTTCATCCTCTCCACGTAGAAATTGTGGGACGGGTGGAATGAACTGACCAAGACCATCACCATGATCTTCTCCTTCAGGAGTGACTGGGGTGGTCGATCTTCTCCTTTGTTGACGCGAACCAAGAAATATTCCTTCTGCTATTGTCCTTAGAAATTTCCGCTTGATATCCTGCAACTGAATGAATCTGGCTCACCGTCGACTGACCTAAGCATCTCCAAAAAAACTATGTGCCTGCTCTACTAGTTGTGCTTCTCGAGATCATTCTGGAAGTGTTGTACTTCTCGAGATCGAGATGAAAGTCATATTACATCAGCAGCAATATGCATATTATAGCCAGAACAGTTTCTAAGGTTTCTGGGGGCCGGTTGGCATGGCACAAATGGAACGGTTGGAACGAATGGCAGGCACCCAATCCGGGGCTTCAATGTGCTCCGCCATTCGTGCCATTCGTGGACCTATCAGACCTTGGAGAGCGGGGCGCCCTTCGGGCGCCCTGCGTTTTCAAGCGCTACCCCCCCCCCCGCGGCGTTACCGCTCTCTCCGAATGCTGCGCACATACTTTCGGAACCCCACTCGGGCGCCCTGCGACCAATCTGCCACACCCTCCACGGCGTTGCGCTTCAGTAGCCTCCCCAAACCCGGCGCCCTTCGGGCGCGTTCCTTTTGCTCCAGCCCTCCTGCCACCCGCGATTCAAAGCTGCCACGCATCCGACCCGCCCTCCAAGCCACGGCCCGCCTCCGTCGCCGCTCTCCCACAGCGGCGGCGCGGTGGATCAGCTAAGCACCCTAGGGCGGAGGCCGCGCGCTAAATCGCCCGCCTTGTCGCAGCATTCCTCTCGTGGAATTCCGCGGGGGTCATGCAAGTCCGCCAGAATTTGCGTGACCTGCGCGGCAGTTCCAAGAAAGAGGCCAGCCCTCCGACGGTCAGCCGCACTAGGGCCCGCACTCTTTAGAGAGCAGCCAAGTCGGCTCTGTTTCTGGCTAGCTCCCTTACCATTTTCAAAATGGCAGGGGGGCCTTCCGTAGAATTGCAGCCCTTCGCATCCCTATCCCTGTCCGCTTGCGCCAACGCCAGCCGCGCCATTCGTGGCACTTTTTGGCTTCGTTGGGTTGTTCCAACCGTGTCATTCGTGCCAACCGTGCCAACCGCCATTCGTGTATATTTTATAATATACTGGTATCAATAGGCCACGATCAGAGTAATGAATTGAATGTAGTTGTAGTCTGCTTCTGCCTTAAAAGCATTTCCCTAATATCCAACGCCTCATCTTCCTCACTTTGTGCTGCAGCTTGTCGTGCCTCACCTCGTTGCCCATCACCATCCACTTCATGATTCCTTCCATTACCGTGCCTTCCACTACCATTGCCAACGAGATGTTCCGCGCCGCGTCGCAAGAGTCCCCAAGTTTGTGCTGTGACGCCACGCGCAGCACCCAACAACATACCACTTGCCGCTGAGAGAAGTCCACCGGAAGTAATAGGTGATCTAGTACTTCCATTTCGGCTCCGAGCGTCCTTTTGGCTGTCAAGGCAGCGACAGGTAAGACCCTGCGACGATAACTCGCCTTGTTGATGATGTGGATGCCGCTTTCCACTTCCACCAGTTTAATATGAAAGAAGTACCGCTAATACTCTATTTAAATACTATTAAAAATCCCCGAACACTCTTCGCCTTTAATGTGAACACTAAAGGACCCCTAAGACGCCTTTAATGTGAATGCTAAAGGACTCCCCTCTCCTTTAATGTGAACACTAAAGGACCCTTAGAGCGCCTTTAATGTAAACACTAAAGGACCTCCCTTAGGGCGCCTTTTATGTGAACACTAAAGGACCCTTGAAGCGCCTTTAATGTAAACACTAAAGGACCCTTAAGGCGCCTTCAAAGTAAACACTGAAGGCCTTCTATGTGGGCAGCAGATGGCCCTGAGGAAGAACAAGAACAGCAACAACAGAAAGGACAACAACAGCAAGAACAGCAAGAACAACAACAGCAAGAACAACAACAGCAAGAACAACAACAGCAAGAACAACAACAGCAAG